AGATGGCACCGATTATCAGGGAGGATTTAAGGGATTTACTGGAGAACTTGGCAAAGGTATATTCACAATAGTCGTCTCTATCACTAATGACACTATTGCAAATGAAGGTATCTTTGTAATATATTGCTGTACCTCCACCTTTTTTATTAGGCCTGCAGTTATGAATGGCTTTATAACCAGCTAAATTGAAGAGTTGGGTATAGTCATTACTTAGCCAAGTTTCTGTTAAAATGATGAAAGATAATTTAGTACCTAGTGCTGTAAGTAGTGCATTTATATCATCAAAATGTTTACCAAGTGACCTAACATTTTGGTTGTAAACTGATAAGCAGGTGCTATTTAGGAGTTTGTTTTTTGCAAGATTTGCTGTGTAATACCTGCAATAATGATGATCAATGTGCTGATTTGTGTGGATATGGGACAGAAGATTTCGATCAGGATCAATATCAATAAGCATATAGATAAGATAATGTCACGATACAATAAGATAAGCAATTACAGGAACAGATGAAAACTAAATCTACTGTAAAATAGAAAGTAATTATAGCAAAACACAACAATATAATATAATAAGAGCTTACAAAGTATTGAGTCTGCTAAAATTAGAGAATAATTATGGCAAAACACAACAATAAATGCAAGTAAACAAAAGAATTGAAACAATTAGAGGTAGAATAAAGGTCACTAGATAGCCTTGGAGGATACACAAGTTTGGTGGAAAGAACAAAAAATCAGTAGAGACTGTCAAGATGAATATATAAAAAAAAAATTGACAAATGATAATTGTAAAGTAAAATAATCTTAAAGATAATAAATTTTATTTAGCTTAGTTTTAACCTATAATTAGTATGAACTTAATTAAACGAACAAAATGAGATCAATAATTGATTTCAATAAATGACATAGATCAATACAATTAAATTTAAAATATAAATGGAATAGGGTAAGATTAGATTTAAGAGTAAAATTTTACAATGAAACTGAGGTAGATGCTTGCATAAGTGCATGGAGACTTGACTGATTATTTAGGAAATTATATGAATGAGAGAACATTAGGTAAATGGTAAGGCAGAGACAGCACCTTAGACAAAGTTAGATTAAGTTAGGTTAGGCTCAGGCACTGAAAGAGTTATTTTAAGTACTGGCATTGGTCGGGTTCAGGTTTTCAGATACTGTATACCACAATCACTTAAGAAGGCGCTAAGGCGCTCTATCACTAAGATAGGATCGGTGTCTGTATTTATGTCTGCCTGTGTCTATCTTTGTATGTCTGAGTCTGTGTATGTTTGTCTGTCTGACAGACACAGACAGTGTGCACTCACCAAGTTGTTTGAAGGGTTTTAGCTTTTGGTCCTGCCTCTCTACCGTCAATCTACTGGTGTTCAGATTCCTGAACTTCTCGAGCTCTATCATATCTACATATGAAACTGTGTATGGAGTCAGCCTCCGCCACATCACTTTCTAGAAGAGAGTGTGTATTAACCTAGTTGTGCTTGCGGGAGTCGTGCTCTGGCTCTTTGGCCGCGCCTCTTAACTGTCAATCAATCAACTGATTATTTCCCCTCCCCCCACACATACCCAGGAAGTAGCTTGTAGCAGGTGTCTAACTCCCAGATACCTATTTACTGCTAGGTGAACAGGGCATCTGGGTGAAAGAAACTGCCCATTCGTTTCCGCCTCCTGCCGGGTCGACGACCATGCCGCGGGGACGCTAAGCTTCGGATGCACCTCAAGGTATCCTCCGGGGATCGAACCAGGACCCTTAGGACTATGAATCCGAGTGCTATACACTCAGCCGTCAGGCCCCTTATGTGTCTGTCTGTGGCAAATTATTCGCACACCCTCCGTCACTATGTGATGGAGTGCGAAAAGATACGTGAATTTAGAGACAATTCTATAACCAATGTTCCAGCGATGTGTCAATATTTCATTCAAAATGATCTGCTACCAGAAATTTTAGCCAAATATCCCCAGTTTGCTAACTGTAGGTAGTAACTAAGTGATTGTAACCTATCCACCGCTGCCCACTGGATGGGGGGCGGTGTGCAGGACAAACATATAAATTTTGACACTAGCTCTCCACATATGTTAGTTGCTTAATTTAGAACCTGTACTTGAGGTCGATCTCGAACCCATTGTTGATGTGATGACTTATATTGAATTTTGTAACTAGCTCATCAAGATTGTAACTTGCTTAGCTAAATTAATTGTGGGGTTCAGTCCCTGAGCCCATTATGTGCCTCTGTAACCCTTTCCACTACCGCCCACAAGATGGGTATGGGGTGCATAATAAATGAACTAAACTAACTAACTGTCTGTGGCTGCTAGTGTCCGTCTGTCTATGTCTGTGTCTGTCTGTGTGTGTCTGTCTCTGTATCAGTCTGTCTGTGTCTATGTCCGTGTGTCTGTCTCTGTGTGCTCACCTATTTGTGCTTGCGGGGGTTGAGCTCTGGCTCTTTGGTCCCAAGTGTCTGTGTGTGCCTCTGTGTCAGTCTCTGAGTTTGTCTGTGTCTGTCTCTGTGTCTGTCTGTGAGTGTGTCTGTATGTGTGTGTCTGTGTGTCTGTCTGTCTGTGTGTCTGTCTGTGTGTCTGTCTGTGTGTCTGTCTGTGTGTCTGTCTGTGTGTCTGTGTGTCAGCCTCTGTGTCTGTCTGTCTACCTTTGTGTCAGCCTCTGTCTGTCTCTGTACTCACCTATTTGTACTCACCTATGTGTCTGTGTGTGTCTGTCTCTGAGTCTGTCTGTGTCTGTCTCTGAGTCTGTGTCTGTCTGAATTTGTCTCTGTGTCTGTCTGTGTCTGTGTCTGTCTGTGTCTGTTTCTGTCTGTGTCTGTTTATGTCTGTCTCTGAGTGTCTCTCTGTCTCTGAGTCTGTCTGCGTGTCTGTCCGTGTCCGTGTCTGCCTGTGTCTGTCTCTCCCTGTCTGTCTGTGTACTCACCTATGTGTCTGTGTGTGTCTGGCTCTATCTCTGTCCGTCTGTCTATGTGTCTGCCTCTGTCCGTGTCTGTTTCTGTGTCTGCCTCTGTGTCTGTCTGTCTCTGTCTGTTTCTGTCTGTCTCTGTGTCTGTTTCTGTCTGTCTGCCCCCGTGTTTGTTTATGTGTCTGTTTTATGTGTTTCTGTCTGTGTCTGTGTTTCAGTATGTGTCTGTCTGTCTGTGTCTGTCTGACTGTCTGTCTCTATCCCTGTCTGTGTCTGTCTCTATCCCTGTCTGTGTCTGTCTCTATCCGTCTGTCTGTCTTTGTCTGTCTATCCCTGTCTGTCTGTCTCTTATGTCTGTGTGTAATTACCTAAGTGTAATTACCTAAGTGTAGTTACAGGATGAAAGCTACGCTCGTGGTGTCCCGTCTCCCCAGCACTAAAATAATAATGGGCTTGACCTGGAGACCGTCAGGACTCCGGCTGTCGTCCCCACAACCTGACCACGACTCTGCGTGTGTGTCTGTCTCTTGCGCGTGTGTGTCTGTCTCTTGCGCGCGTGTGTCTGTCTCTTGCGCGCGTGTGTCTGTCTCTTGCGCGCGTGTGTCTGTCTCTTGCGCGCGTGTGTCTGTCTCTTGCGCGCGTGTGTCTGTCTCTTGCGCGCGTGTGTCTGTCTCTTGCGCGCGTGTGTCTGTCTCTTGCGCGCGTGTGTCTGTCTCTTGCGCGCGTGTGTCTGTCTCTTGCGCGCGTGTGTCTGTCTCTTGCGCGCGTGTGTCTGTCTCTTGCGCGCGTGTGTCTGTCTCTTGCGCGCGTGTGTCTGTCTCTTGCGCGCGCGTGTCTGTCTCTTGCGCGCGCGTGTCTGTCTCTTGCGCGCGCGTGTCTGTCTCTTGCGCGCGCGTGTCTGTCTCTTGCGCGCGCGTGTCTGTCTCTTGCGCGCGCGTGTCTGTCTCTTGCGCGCGCGTGTCTGTCTCTTGCGCGCGCGTGTCTGTCTCTTGCGCGCGCGTGTCTGTCTCTTGCGCGCGCGTGTCTGTCTCTTGCGCGCGCGTGTCTGTCTCTTGCGCGCGCGTGTCTGTCTCTTGCGCGCGCGTGTCTGTCTCTTGCGCGCGCGTGTCTGTCTCTTGCGCGCGTGTGTCTGTCTCTTGCGCGCGTGTGTCTGTCTCTTGCGCGCGTGTGTCTGTCTCTTGCGCGCGTGTGTCTGTCTCTTGCGCGCGTGTGTCTGTCTCTTGCGCGCGTGTGTCTGTCTCTTGCGCGCGTGTGTCTGTCTCTTGCGCGCGTGTGTCTGTCTCTTGCGCGCGTGTGTCTGTCTCTTGCGCGCGTGTGTCTGTCTCTTGCGCGCGTGTGTCTGTCTCTTGCGCGCGTGTGTCTGTCTCTTGCGCGTGTGTGTCTGTCTCTTGCGCGTGTGTGTCTGTCTCTTGCGCGTGTGTGTCTGTCTCTTGCGCGTGTGTGTCTGTCTCTTGCGCGTGTGTGTCTGTCTCTTGCGCGTGTGTGTCTGTCTCTTGCGCGTGTGTGTCTGTCTCTTGCGCGTGTGTGTCTGTCTCTTGCGTGTGTGTCTGTCTCTTGTGTGTGTGTCTCTGTGTGTCTGAGTGTTATTAACTGCAAGAAATTTCATAAAAACAAAATTTAGCAGTTTCGTGCCTCATATTGGTTCTTAATTACCTATGACTTTTGATAATTATAAACATAATGTTCGCAGTAGTCAGTTTCAACTCAACAAAAAGTAGTTCTTCATTTTCCTGCTCTTTCTGCCTTGCGTCGCACACTGTTTCCCGCGTCAACTGCCCCCCAGCCCGAGTCGAGACGCCCCGTCATGTCCGTCATCTCTCCTGTCAGGGCTACCAGTTTACCCTGTCGATATTCCTTCCAGGGCCGTCCGCTTGCCCCGTCCTCTCTCTACCCAGCCCGCCAACTTGTCCCGTCAACTTTCTACCGGCTCCATCCCCTTCCTCGTCAACACTTGCCAGGGCCTCCATTTTGCCCCGTCAACTTTCCCGCCCAAAGCCACCAGTTTGCTGTCAACTCTTCCACCATGGCCGCCGAGACCTTAATGGCCCATCAACTCTCCCGTCACGGTCGCCAGTTTGATCCGTCAACACCTTTTAGCGCCGCCAGCTAGCCCCACCAACTCCTTTACGGCCGCCAGCTTGCCCAGCCATTCTCTTGTCACAGCCACCAGCTTGCCCCGTTTCCCGCCATGACCGCCAGCAATTGCCCCGTTTCCCGCCATGACCGCCAGCTTGCCCCGTTTCCCGCCATGATCGCCAGCTTGCACCGTCTCCCGCCATGACCGCCAGCTTGCCCCGTTTCCCGCCATGGCCGCCAGCTTGCCCCGTTTCCCGCCATGGCCGCCAGCTTGCCCCGTTTCCCGCCATGGCCGCCAGCTTGCCCCGTTTCCCGCCATGACCGCCAGCTTGCCCCGTTTCCCGCCATGACCGCCAGCTTGCCCCGTTTCCCGCCATGACCGCCAGCTTGCCCCGTTTCCCGCCATGACCGCCAGCTTGCCCCGTTTCCCGCCATGACCGCCAGCTTGCCCCGTTTCCCGCCATGACCGCCAGCTTGCCCCGTTTCCCGCCATGACCACCAGCTTGCCCCGTTTCCCGCCAGCACCGCCAGCTTGCCCCGTTTCCCGCCAGCACCGCCAGCTTGCCCCGTTTCCCGCCAGCTTGCCCCGTTTCCCGCCATGACCGCCAGCTTGCACCGTCTCCCGCCATGACCGCCAGCTTGCACCGTCTCCCGCCATGACCGCCAGCTTGCCCCGTTTCCCGCCATGACCGCCAGCTTGCCCCGTTTCCCGCCATGACCGCCAGCTTGCCCCGTTTCCCGCCATGACCGCCAGCTTGCCCCGTTTCCCGCCATGATCGCCAGCTTGCACCGTCTCCCGCCATGACCGCCATGACCACCAGCTAGCAGTTACAAACCCAAAAGATTTCAACTTAAGATTCAACAGAGCAGAAGTTGTTAAACACATGGTTCAAAATCTTACTTACTTTATACGAGTCGTAAGTACTCATACTCCGTCCAAGTAAAACTGGAACAAGCAACACTTAGTGGGCCAGCCAGAGACTTAGGGCCCGCGCAGGAATATCCCTGCAAAAAAAAAAAAAAAAATAGGCTTATCATAGGTACCAATATGACTTCAAAAAATGTCAACAGCTTAATTGGTTTTACCTTACATATGAATAGCTAGACACAACAGCCTAATTGAAAAGATAAGGATTTTGTCGTATTTATTTATATAAAAACGGCAAATCACAAAAACACAAGGTACTTACGAGTGATATTTGTCCGGGTGCACAGAAGGGAATACTATAAAAGATCACTCAAATATATCAAAATTCGGAGAGATATACAACTGTTGATGGTTGTCCGCCGTCGGACGGACTCTGTAAGCCTAAAACTCCACCGTCAGTATACCAAGGGTCACTTATGCTCACTGCTCCCTTGCTTATGTTATATGTAAACCGCTGAATATTATCCTGGGGGCCTCACTAGCAAAGGCACAATAAGACAATATGCTAATATTATTGACGGAAGGTCAACAAGAGGTATAGACAGCAAGAGACTCACCTGCAGCAACCAGTCCGTTCGGAGGCACGACGGCGAATGAAGACGAGATTCGCGGTTCCCGGGTCAGACGTCGCAGCCTCGCGGATTAATACATTCGAGGAAGCTACTATCAAATATAATATTTTAAAATGGTTACATAAAATCTATTTCAAAATCTGATACAACAAATGTTTTGGGCTAAAACTTTATTGCTACAAATATTATTTTATATGATTTTTACTCGCATATTATTTCATTTTGGCATGTCATTTGATATAGATAATTAAGTGCAACAATTTATATACAAGCAGAATTTAGTACAGATTTACGCCTCATATTTGTTATTAATTACCTAGAAATTAAAAATTTAATCTGTGACTGTTTCGATCATTATAAACATAATGACCGCAGTATTCAGTTTCAAGTCTACACAAAGTAGTACCTAATTTTCCCGCTTTTCTACCTTGCGTCGCCGACCATGTTTCCCGCGTCAACTAGCTGCCCCCCAGCCCGGGGGCCGCGACGCCCCGTCATGTCACCTCTCCCGTCAGGGCTACCAGTTTACCCCGTCGATACTCCCTCCAGGGCTGTCCACTTGCCCCATCGTTTCTCGAACCAGCTTGCCAGCTTGTCCTGTCAATTTTCTAGCTACCGACTCCCTTCCCCTTCTTCATCAACAGTTGCCAGGGCCGCCATTGTGCCCCCGTCAAAACCACCAGATTGCCGTCAGTTCTTCTACCATGGCCGCCGTGAACTTGCACTGTCAGCTCTCCCGCCACGGCCGCCAGCTTGCTCCGTCAACTGGTGCTATACAGCCTTCCTGGCTTGGTCCTTCCTTTGATAATTACTTACTTGCCCCGTCAAATCTCCCGCCTGGGCGGCCATATTTCCGTCCTTGTAAATTCTCCTACCAGGGCCTCTAGCTTACCCCGTCTTTCCCTCTAGGGCTGCAAGCTGTCCCGTCAACTCCTTTTACGGCTGCCAGCTTGCCCCGTCAACTCCTTTTACGGCTGCCAGCTTGCCCCGTTAACTCCTTTTAGGGCTGCCAGCTTGCCCCGTCTCTCCCGTCATCGCCGCCAGATTGCCCCATCAACTCTCCTGTCATTTTCTCCGTCAACTTTCCCACTAGAGCCATCACTGCCGCCAACTCTCCCTCCAGGGCCGCCATTTTGCCCTGTCAGGGCCGCCAGCTTGGCCCATTAATTCTGTCAATACCACCAGCTTGGCCCGTTAATTCTGTCAATACCACCAGCTTAGCCCGTTAATTCTGTCAATACCACCAGCTTGGCCCGTTAATTCTGTCAATACCTCAAACTTGGTCCGTTACCTCTGTCAAAATTCCACCAGCTTGGCCCGTTAACTGTCAAAATTCCACCAGCTTGGCCCGTTAACTGTCAAAATTCCACCAGCTTGGCCCGTTAATTCTGTCAATACCACCAGCTTGGCCCATTAATTCTGTCAATGCCACCAGCTTGCCCTATTTCTCCCGCCAGTTTGCCGTAATCTCCCCTGCCAGCTTGCCCCGTCAGTTCTCCTGTCAAGGAGAACATCCTGACACCTTCCAAGTGCTATATAGTCATAATGGCTTGGCCCTTTTCCCTGATAATTCCCGTTCCGTCCCGTCGGCTCTCCTAGTCACTGCCTCAAGCTTGCCCCCGTCAACTCCTGCTAAGGCCGCCAGGTTGTCCCGTCAATTCTTTTGTCAAGGGTACTGGCTTGCCCCTTTTCTCCCGCCAGGGCCGCCAGCTTGCCCTGTTAACACTTGCCAGGGCCGCTAGCTTACCCCGTTGACTATACTGTCAGGGTCGCCAGCTTAATGACCCGTTAACTCTCCTGCCAGACCCACCAGCTCGCCCCGTCAACTCTCCTGCCAGGACCACAGCTTAGCCTGTCAACACTTTTGCCATGCTGGCCAGCTTGCTCCACAAACTCTCCACCAGGGCCAGCCCGTCCTCCTGTCAGCTCTCCCGCTAAGACCACCATTTTGCCTGATAACTCGTCAGGACCACCAGCTGGTCCGGCTGTTAAGCCATTTTCTTCCCCGTCATATTTTTCCCGAGGACCGCTAGCTTGCCCCGTCAACCCTACTGCTAGTGAGGCATTTTGCACCCACAAATTTCTCGCCAGAGCCGCCCATCCCGTGGTGACAAGAATGTTGGTCAAATGTAGTCTCCGTGGTGTAGTGGTAAGACACTCGCCTAGCGTTCCGCGAGCGCTATGTCATGGGTTCGTATCCTGGCCGGGGAGGATTTACTGGGCGCAATTCCTTAACTGTAGCCTCTGTTTAACGCAACAGTAAAATGTGTACTTGGATGAAAAAACGATTCTTCGCGGTAGGGGATCGTATTCCTGCCCGAAACGCTACGCGTACTAGTGGCTGTACAAGAATGTAACAACTCTTGTATATATCTAAAAAAAAAAAAAAAAAAAAAAAAAAAAAAAAAAAAAAAAAAAAAATACTTATCTTCCTAGCCTAAGCAGAGTAGAACTTGCACCCTGAAGCATTTCACAAATGATAAGTCATTACTATACGAATCCTAGCATTTATTCAGTTATTACCTTATGTATCTTAACATACATACACACACTAGCACCCACACACTAAATAATATTGTCAATAATGAATTAAAAAAAAGTCCACTCATGGATGTCAACCAACAAACTCACACTAACAATGAAAAAGACTTACTACTACATTGTATTTGGTAGTAAATCATCAAATCAAATTCAACTTCAGAAAGAAAGACAAGAAAATACATATCGAAGGGATAGAGTAGCTTAGGCTATTTCTACCCCCCCCCCCTCCTTTCTTCTATGATAATCTTCCGCTGTCATGTAAACAATCCTAGCCTTGAAATAGCCAGCATTTCTGCATCATCTTTTAATCTTCACGCAGTATTATCAATGACAACATAAAACTAGCGTGACCAAACGATTTGCATTAGGAAGGACACCATCCTTCGTCCTTCGCCACCTCAAGAAGGTCGTTAATTTGTTCCTTTTTGGGGTCTGTTAAAAAATAATTATAAAGGTACATAGGCTACTTCCTTTAGTCTGTGAAGTTAATTTTGTTACCATATGCTATTCCAACGAAAGCAGATTAATTAATTTCTTCCAATTCTTTATTTTACTCTATGAATGCATGCATATAATATATACAGTACGATTAAAAAATACTTTAGAAAAAAATATCACAAAATAGCATTCATAACATTATTATACTTGACAAATAAAGAATAAATAAACAATAAACAAACTAAATGTGTGGTATGGTCATCATAAACAATTCTCTTAAATATATTTGTATATTTTCATGAACATTTTATATATTTGAACCCATCATAAAATATGTTTGATTTAGTTTAAGTCATCAGGCTTAAGACTTTAGTAATTAATTGGTCAAATAGTAGAATTTGGGATTTCGCGTATTTTGCATATTATAATGAAGTAAAAATGCATATTCATTATATATATAGAATATATGCCTATTTCTGTCAGACTACGAAGGATGTATTAAGACAGTAATTTTGATAAGTACTTTCGTATTTAATAATACATCTTCAGAAGGATCGTGATCGTGATTTACACACACACACGTAGCAGAATCTGATAAAAATATTATTCACACATGTACATATACACACATATAGCTGTGTGCTATATGTACTAGTCGATGACAAGAAGAGAACAAACGCACTGCATACAGCATCCTGCAGTGTCTGGGCTGCTGCCCTTGGCTTCATGAGCTGCCTGAACTCACAAATCCACTGTATATGTGGCATCTTGTATGACTGATCCAAAGTTACCCCTAGAGTGGGATAGACATCACAACTACCACCCTTGAACCAGGAGGCAGTTCAACACCACCCTTGAACCGGGAGGCAGTTTATTAAGTGAAGAGAAGTTTGAGGAGTCTCAACAGGTGCACTGTAGCATAATTTGAGGATTATTTGAGGTAGTCTCCGTGGTGTAGTGGTAAGACACTCGCCTGGCGTTCCGCGAGCGCTATGTCATGGGTTCGTATCCTGGCCGGGGAGGATTTACTGGGCGCAATTCCTTAACTGTAGCCTCTGTTTAACGCAACAGTAAAATGTGTACTTGGATGAAAAAACGATTCTTCGCGGCAGGGGATCGTATTCCAGGGACCTGCCCGAAACGCTACGCGTACTAGTGGCTGTACAAGAATGTAACAACTCTTGTATATATCTCAAAAAAAAAAAAAAAAAATTTCTAGGTACATTGTAGTAACATTTGCGTTCAACATAACAACCATGATATAAGATGATGACAGTGAATACAACGGTGAAGTTGTATGGGCTAGGCAAATATTTTTGGGAAGTGGGTAGCACAAGATATAGTGCGAGTTTGAAGCACTAAGTAGGAAACTATTAGGATGAAATTAGGTACTTTTTGGTTTTACTTTTGAATAAGGGGTAGGTTGGACAGTTTTTTTAATTCGTTAGGGAGTGAGTTCCATAGACTGGGTCCCTTTATTTGCAAAGTGTTTACACATATTTAATTGGATTCTAGGGATATCAAAGTTATATTTATTTCTGGTGTGGTGATTATGGGTTCTATTACATCTGTCAAGGAAGAGTTTTAGATCAGGATTTGCATCTAGGAACACGGTTTTGTATATGTAAATGGCACAAGAAAATGTATGGAGTGAGTTTATGCTTAGCACTTTCAGAAATTTAAACAGGGGGCTGTTTGTTGTCTGAAAACAGAGTTTGTTATTGTTCTGATGGCAGATTTTTGCTGGGTGATGATGGGCTTGAGGTAGTTTGCAGTGGTTGAACTCCATTCACAGATACTGTATGTAAGATACGGATAGATTAGCGCATAGTATAATGAGAGGAGAGCAGAGTGGGGAACGTAATATCTAATTTTAGAGAGTATACCGATCGTTTTTGAGACTTTTTTTAGTTATGTGTTGAATGTAGATGCTGAAGTTAAGTCTCTTGTCTATGTATAGACCAAGGAACTTTATATCATTTTTATTGCTAATGTTAACATTGTGTATCTGAAGCTGAATTGCATTTGTTGATTTACTTCCAAATAAGATGTAGTATGTCTTTTTTATGTTTAGTGAGAGTTTGTTGGTTGACATCTATAAGTGGGCTTTTTTAATTCATTATTTACAACATTATTTAATGTGTGGGGGTTGGGGTCTGGGTAGATGAGGGTAGTATCATCAGCAAATAATATAAGTTTAAGAATGTTAGAGACATTAGGTAGATCATTGATGTATAAAAGAAATAGGAGAGGTCCTAGGATGTTGCCCTGTGTCACTCCTACGGTTAATAGTAGTGGGAGCATTTATATAATTGATGGCTATATATTGGTGTCTGTCACCAAGATAGGATTGAATATAGTTCAGGGCAAGGCCTCGGATTCCATAATGGTGAAGTTTAAGTAAGAGGTGATTATTGCTTACAGTATCAAAGGCCTTTCTCAGGTCAATGAAGAGGCCAATTGGGAACTAATTTTTGTCAAGGGCAGTGTAGATTATATCAAACTGATTAATAATTGCATCATTGATACTCTTTTTGGGAACGGAAGCCAAACTGGCAGGGATTTAGTATTCAGTTGAAATTGTTGAATATGTGGCATGTCATGTCTTGTGATTTGCCCCTCAAGAGAGAAAGTAACCTGTGGAATGTATATCTTCATCAAGTAATTTCTAATCTACGGTATTTAAAATACAGGAGTATCTTTCAAATATTTATTAAACAATTTAGCATGTAATTTTTGTTGTAAACACTGGTGAAGCAGTCATCGCTTGTATTCACTGAAATAAAATTAAATATTAAAATATTCGAGGACAGTGCAATGAATATTAATAAGGGAAGAATCAGGTTCAAAGGTCAAGGATAAAATATTGCTTGACATGACATGAAATACAGTATTACAATAAATCTGATGAATTATGATTTAAAATGTAACATCTTTAGTATTGTAAATAGTAAGAAAAGTAATTGAACATACAGGTCACAAAATGGTGAGGTCATTCATTTCCGTCATTAAATGGGCAATTTGTTTATTTACAAAAATATCAATATAAGGTAAAGTAATTCTTGGGAGAAAGCACTATGCCATTATGACTATATAATACTTGAAAGGGATACAAGAGTAAATATATAGGACAGGATGGAGGAAAAGTAAGTAAGTAAGTAATTATCAAAAGAAGGCACCAGACCGGGAAGGCTATGTAGCAAGGATAGAGGAAAAGAATGGAACCCAATCACTTCGATGGTCGGGGTCAGACCACCAACCTGCAAGAAGCGAGACAGTCACTCTACCGTCCAGTCCAAGAGGTTGGGTTAAATATCAATATAAATCATACCATTTTGAAGATGGGTGTTAAAGCTAATGGTGAAACCACCTGTGTAAATTCGTATCAACTTGGTGGATTTTGATCTACTGATAGTGCTAGTTCTACTGGTGATATTGGGTCTAATGAAGGTGCTGGGTCTAATATTGGTGTTGCATTTACTGACTGTCCAGAATCCAAGGGTAGCGGGACACCTACTGTTTCTGAATCTGTTAGTGACACTGTTTTCTCAGATGACACTTTACCTAATGGTGACTCTGTATCTACTAATGGTACCTTGTCTAATGGTTTCACTGTTCTTACTGGGTCTAATGGGGCCACTGTTTCTACTAATGGTGCAGGCTCTAATTGTAGCTTTAGATTTAAGGGTTGTGATGCATCTAATTTTGGTATTCCATCAGTTAGTTCACCCAAATCCAATAGTGGTGATGAATCTACTGGCGTGTTTGATACCTGTACTTCAGGTGTTGCCACTGGTTTGTCACTCGATAATTGTTTTCCTTGCTGTGCATCCTCAATATCAGGAATGGCATCATTATCCAGGGGTTCATGAGTAGCAGCATGACTATTGTTATGTTGAGGGCTAAAATCATGCTGTTTGGTTACCACTAATGATTCTTCCATATGGTTACATTCATGGTCCAGGTCTGAACTCTGTGGCATTTCAGAGATCTTGTCTTCAATAGCATTTACTGGACAAGCCTGGGATTCTTTAGTCGTGGTTTCATTTATTGTGTCTTGATCCTGAAGCAGATCAGCCTCAGCAGGATAGTTCTCTTCTTTCTTAGGCAGAAGATGTTCAATAGGTGCTAGTAGCTGCTCTAATTTCAGCAGACCAAAATTCTGAAAGTTAAACATGAATTAAATTTTTATTTCTTCAAATTAGGACAGGAAGCAGACAAGACACGTAAGGACAATGTCTTGCTACATGTTACCTCAATGCAAAAGATTTATCTTATAAAATGATGCAGAAATTTTAATTGATGATCACACTTAGAATTTCAATTCTGAAAAAAACAATGGCTTCTACCTGTTGACAACTTGATATATTGCAAAATACTTTAAATTAGTTTTTAAATACTGAAATTTCCACTTTATTTTATTTCTACTCTGCCACTTTACCTGAATCAGACTTTAGTGTAATATAATATGACACTATCTACAACTAGGATCACAGCCTGCCAAGTGAGGACTACGGTTACCAGGCCTCTACATGCTCATGTTTTCAGTACGTATGTCACTAAAATGCTTTCCCAAACTCAGATAGTGTACTCAGAAATTTAGGCTTAGGCTCAGAAATTTAACATCAGGGGGCTATATGGCCCAATTATGAAGGAACCTTCATTCTACCTCATATGTATGCTTTGAAAGTCAATATATGCATTATCCTAATATTACATAGGAAACAAAGCAATAAAAATCAAGTTATTCCAAAAGGGGATACTTAATAATATTGATCTTCTCACCTCTCGTTGAAGTTGTGTTACAGGAACACCAGTAATGAGAGAGATATGCTGGAGTGGGTACAGAAGACGAAGGCAGTTGTTGACATGGGGAAGGAGACCCTGAGCAACAACAGAGCACATTCGCTGAAAAGCTTTCTCCTCTCGAGATGTGAATCCAGAGCTTTCCAATCTATGGAGCTCTGTTAGAGCAGCAATAATCTGGAAAATAAATTAATAAATGCTAGAGGACTACCATTCCTTTTGGCATCCATAAACTAATTTATTTACTCTAAGATAAAGACGGCCAAATGTTTACTGTTTTTATAACACTTCTTTAGAACTCAATGTTAATCCATTTCTTTCTCTGACTCATCAAACTGTAAGCTATTATATCTTTTCAAGTACCTTAGTAAGTAAGTAATTATCAAAAAGAAGGCACCAAACTGGAAAGGTTATAGTACCTTAGTAAGAGACTGTTGGAGAAGTCTGTTGACATCAGGAAGAGTAGCAACAGGGCAGCACTGACGTAATGTGTTAAATGTCGTTACCAACCCATTCATGTAATGTGCCAAAGGTGGAAATTCCATCAGAGTGAGAGGAGGCCTGGTTTTATCCTGATGGAAAATACAACACAGTACATTTATGTATAACAATATCCAATAAATATATGATAATGCTGTATTTTTACTTGTCTAATTTTGTCTTTTACTTTATAATTTTCTTTGCACATTAACTCTATTCCCAGTTAAATATCTGTAACAAAATGTTTTGAGTAGGAATCAATTCACACATTAACATAGTAACAGTAATGAGTAGGACAAGACAAGCATTTGTCCATTACTTTATTCCATATTTTTGAAATTCGTTAAATTCATTAACAAGAAGTATTTGTAAACTATTCAGTTAATAGTTCACATGAACTTCCTATTTAAAAACAAACTATTAGTCATTATTAACCCTTGGGCAGTGCCACTGTTTATAGTGGACAACTAGGTGTACAAGAAAAACAAAAAATCTTTTCCTTCTAAGATTGTTCAAACGCATTTCCTGATCATGGGAAAAAAATCAACTTACTTTGGCTGTGGTGAAGCCCAGTCACGTAATTCAAGAGCATTTATGCAGCATTCACCCTGTCAATTCAGCCTTGCTATGGGGGCAGGAATTGCCACATTTTTTTTTTTTTTGGTAAACTGCTAAGAACTATACTGGGGATAACATTTCATTCACTTGGACCCTCAGAGCCTCAAACCACAGACCACAAAAGCAGAACCTGCAGTTCTATGCACTGAGCCATCAGCACCCACAATAAGAAACGATCCCAGAGACACCCATCTGCTGTCCAACTGGAACTTTAGGCCTCCCCTGGGGTGCCAGCTTTGCATGGAGGTATTAGGTGATCCACATCCTGGTCATATAAATTCATAACCATTATATTGTAGATAGTAACATTTCATTCACTTGGCCCCTTGGAGCCTCGAACTGCAGGTTGAAGTAATGAACCCTCACACCCAGGAGGAGTGCTCACAATTTTTCCAAGATGCTGTCTTGAGGCCTAAAAAAGATGTGAGCACCATGTACATGTGGAACTTTTATATCTTACACGGTAATTTTAAACTTTCCCAGCTGTCTCCCCTAGATTACAGATAATTAGCGATATCATCTCCAGCCGTGTCACAAAGTGGAAAGTCAACGATCTTTCCGATATGCCTTAGAGCCTATGTTAAGAATATAACATTATAATTTTCTTTGCGCTTACAGAAATGCACATTAATACATACCTGTGTTTCAGCCATAAATGTAGTAGACGCACTAAGCTGTGGAGCTTCCATCAAGGAAAAACTGCTCAACGTTTCATCGAATTTAATATTAGCTGTTCTAATATCCTTCTCGCACTGTAACAGAGCAGCTTTCTGAAGGGAAAGATATGTAGATGTCAAAATTCTTTGCAGAACATCCATCTTAATCTTGTATAACTATGCTTTACTCCATCTGGAAACCCATCATTAGCAAGATGATTTAATGTCAATTCTTCTGCACACATCTCAAATGCCTTTAAGAGTTTGATTCAGGTAGGAGCATTTTAAACACATTAACAAATTTCAACTGTTAGATATAAGTAAGAAAAGTATCGAGAAAAGCAGTAAGAGACAAAAAGGCAAGTGGATGTTATGAAAATGCAGCATAGGCCTACTAACAAGTTGTATCGCAGTGAAAGCAGTCTAACACACTTTACATAGCAGTTTCCCTTAGCACTAATGTAGTATATGACTAGAACATCAGAATATTCTTACTGAGTAACAATGCATAAAACATGCTCTTTATCAGAACTGACCTGGAATAGTGGAATGAGAAGGTTGCGAAAATCTGCCCCAATGCGACTGAAGGACTGACCAAAGAACATGCACTGAGCCAGGACCGCTTCCAAGTTTGTCCCAACTCCTCGCTGAAGATCTTTCTCCACTATCTTGATGAACTGGTTAACCTATAATGTGCAAAGACATTTTGTCAGTACAGTATTCATCATTTTTATCTTATTCTATAGAATACTAGTCAATCCTGAATCTGTCTATCTTTTTTCCAAGCAGATAATTGTCCCTGTTCTTAAATCTTGTTCACAAACAATGTAGCCTTATGTCACTTGGTCTCATAAGGAAAATAAGTCATACAAGAATGAAATACAACATGAAATGGGAAGAGAAACAGTTAACCCTTTCACTGCAGCACTTCTATTTCTGCTCCATACTTTCCGGAGGTCAGGATGGGAATAAAAGAATAATTTAATTGCTACATTTCTTTTTTACGTCTATCATAAGAAAGTGACCTGCTCTTTCCTATGGTAAAGCGAGGTTAAAAAACATTTATGAACAAAAAGATATGTTTGTCTCCATTTTCTTGTAGATAATATGGTCCAAATGAAATAACTCAAACTATGCTGTAAATTTATCCACGGTATTGAATATCGTAAATAAAAGAAGTACAAAATCTTAAGTTTTTTTTAGGTATGTTACTTATAAAATTAAAACAAAAAACTAACACTTTTTCCTCATTGATTATTGATTCTCATTTTCCTTTTTTTTTACATATTCAATAAGAAAAAACACTGTTCGTATTTACCATTAGTCATTATGGCACTCTTAATGGCAAGTCTTGATCAAGAACTAATCACTCGAAAAGCTTATTAGGCTAAAAGAGGTCCTTATAACTCCAATAACTGATCTTTCCCCAAGATGTAATAAAAAAAAAGTGAACAGATGCATCAGTTGTAAGGAAACATGAACCACCGTCTCATCCTGCCCAAGATCATTCGACAGAGCTGACCCCAGTGACCACTGTGCATCTGCATCTAGTGTCATTTACTTCTATTGCCGCAAAACAATTTCAGCTACCAGGCTCAAATTTTTATTTTGTGAGCGTATGTTTGGATGAAGTTTTTCTTTATTAAATAATATACATTATAAAGATCATTTGCATCAATTTACAAGGGAAAATACTACATTTATATATACTGTAGTTTATATCACTCAGTAAACCAATTTTTCATATCACAGAGCATGAGCCATAAACTCTAAATGTTATACTTGATCCTGCCTCAAGAATTTCAATATTTTGTCTACTGAGTAACCCCTCTGCATTGCCTAAATACCTAAAATTGCATGTGTTTGGATGAATCGGTCATTCAAACCATTGTTATGATGCATTTTTGTAAAACTTGTACATTGCACTGAAATCTTTGAGAAGAATGCATTCTCAATAAAGGGTTCAATAAATCTAACCGCCTCTAAAAATTACTGAAAAATATTACATACCTTATGCAAAATCCAACCATGGAAGATTGCTTGTTCATTAACTTCAGGATCCCCAAGACTGAATCTTGTATCATCATCAGAAAAGATGGCTCTGTATTGAGTCACAATATCGAAAAGATGGACTCTGGAGGCTTCCACCACTTTAATTATATGTTGATACGCTGTCAAATGAAAAATAAAGAGCATATTTTCAAGTGCAAATCACAGGCTTTGAAAAATGCAGTGAAATCCTAAAACTAATAGATTAATAAAAATCGTAGATATTGCAATTACCCAAAAATAATAAATCTGCAGAATACTTTGTTTTAAAGAAACAAATGAAAAATACTATACTGAATATGACCAACTAATGTACACATTCTCTTTACTGTATTTCATGAGAGGATGCTGAAGAAAGAGTTTTCAAAATACATTTCATGAAATACAGTAAAGAGAATGTGAACATTAGTCTTGTACGTGTATATTAGTACTGATTGTCACACTTCAAAAACAACAACTATATACTTCTTCATACTATATTAAAATTTATTTTTAGGGGCTTGCATAATACAGTACAGTAACAGCAAACACATAGATACTTGCCATCCTCTTTAGGTATACCCTTTAAGATACCATTAAACCAAGAGTCTCTGGCTTGTAGAAATTTGAGTCTTAACTCGGGTTCCGTAAACACATCCAGGCGTCTCAGCAGACCTAAAATTTTATCACAAATTAAAACAAAACCTTCAAACAAAATTTATAATGAAAGTACTGTAGTACTGTACATACAAATGTGTCTCAAACTCAATATTATGCATAATGAATACTAGTACTTTTCACGGTTCATGACAGATATATATACAGTATATATATATCTCACACATGCCCAATTTCCACATGAAAATTCAGAAGTTATTCTGCATCATATGTAACAAAATTAAAGTACCGAGGTGTGTGCACACAAATATGGGGATAAAAATACAGTGCTATGATTATATTGCTCCAATGGGGACAGGTACAACAATGAATGTATAAGTACTGTGGCTTGTTATAAATGTTGTATATGGTACATCAATATTATGTAGTTTATTCAACTTACCATGTACCATATTTAATGTAACAAACATTAATAAATAAATATTTACCTATGACTTTGAGGCACTGTGGTAAAGCAAGGGGAGATCGCAACTGCGCAAGAAGTTGACTCAACATCAGACGAGTTCCTGACTGTACCTCTCTCACAATGCCCTGTGAAATGAGGTGTGCAAGTCAAGCACAAACATTAACTCAGTCTTACAATTTTTCCTATTTCCTAATATAAACCTTTATAAAAATGAAAGCACAGATACTTACAGCAATAATAGGGATGTCTGTATGTTTTTTCTCAAGTCTACGAACATAGGCCAATATTTCTAAGGCTTCTTCATAATAGCCATTTCTCACACATGTATCCATTAGTTGTGGCAACTCCAGAATCTGTAAAAAAAAAAAAAAAAAAAGGCCATCAGGATATTAGAAACTTGCTGATTAAAGTTGTACAGCCAAAGCATTAAAATTTATTAAAATAAAATTTATTAAAATAGCATTAAAATAGTGTGGCTCATAATCAGACAATTGTTTGAAATCAAGTATTAACAGCCTCAGAATTGGTGTTAGGTAACTGGCTTGGGAGGTCTGGGGGCCCCCCACACCTGGGGACAGCGAAGAGTACTGTACACACTAAAGTTGAATGAATGGACAAACACATCAAAGATCCATTCATCTGGGCTGTATGGATCTCCAACCGTGGACCCCACGAGTGTGAGGCCGAAACTGGGTTATGAGTACTGTAGTCTTATAAATTAAAGTTTCCAGAAGCAGCATCCTGCTGCCAAACTGGAATTTTTTACTTTTCCTGACTTCTACTGAAGCTCAGAGAAGTCAGTAATAGTAGTAGTAGTCAGGAAAAGTAAAAAATTTCAGTTTGGCAGCAGGATGCAGCTTCTGAAAACTTTTCTTTATAAGACTACTCATAGCGGAGTCAATAGAGCTACGGCCTCACACACGTGCAGTTCACGGTTTGAGACCCATACAGCCCAGGTGAATGAAATGTTTATTTCCACGGAAGTGTGGATGGCAATTTACATGAAAGATCCCAACTGCTGGATGGAAACATCCATTGCAAACAATAGCATCTATTTTTTGGCAACAATTACAATATCTTGTTACTTTTTACTGTTAGCCCTAGTTATTAGGCTTTTATTAGTTACAAAGATAATGCTTTTGTACAGTTACACTAAAAATAACACTTAAATATTTATGGCTTTCAGGACCACATTCCCTGCACAACTACACAAAAGTACTTGAGCAGGATAGCCAATTTTCACTGGATGTGAAGATCACAAGGGCAATGAACAAGCAGATTTACAATTCACAGAGTACATTTGTTGAAAATAACCACAAAAAGAAAAACAAAGAAGCGACTGCTTAAAGGAAATACAAGATAATCAGGATAATAAGACCCAAAATAATCTTGGCGGATTTTAAACCATCCAAAGATAGAAAAATGCCAAAGACAGCCAAAGGAGGGAGGGTGATCTCCCCCCCCCAAAAAAATTCCAGCAAAAGGCTTCACAAGGATCAAATGAACTGATGTGACAAAGTAGGAATTAACCTGTGAATTAAAGCTAGGACACCAAGCGGTGTCTACCATCAGATTCCTAAAAAGACAGGAGACAAGGCTGAGAAATACACTACTCCAATATCCGTGGAGTCTTGAACCATCAAGATACAGTGTTCTGCCAATCCTCAAAGACAGGATCATCATCAGGAATGAAAGAGGGTCAAGACAATAGGCAAGCAGGGAATGGAACCAGTGGTGAACTGGCCACACAGAACACAGCCTTCAAAAGGCCCCCAACCAAGTCAACATGGGAAAGAAGTAGCTTGACCAATGGTAGGAGGTAAAGCTATTTCCAACACCTGTATACTTAATTTCAAACAACTGTATTGTATACTTATGGGCCATTACAAGTAAGTTTCTACAAAGATAAAATTAATGTACAGTATATTTATAATAAAATACTATTGCTATATTTACATAATAAGGAATTGCAGAGAATAAGTATTTATGATTCTCCAAAATATTGTATTCAATCTACCATACTTCTCACCTCCAACAATTGTGTATGCTTTGTAAGTGTTAGGGATGTTAGGTGCCGTGAATGCGCTAGAGTCCTCGATGTAGCTAAGAATGCCTCTACTCTCCCCCTCAAATTCGGAAGACACGATGACAGGCCCTCAAGGTGGCTTTCTACTCTGGTAAACTGCATTGGAAGGAAACAGATGTGAATATAATTTTCCTAAAGTACTGTATTGACTTATTATTACAACAGCCAGTTGCTGAAAGTGCCTTCTCTGCTGCATAAGCATAAAAAAATAGCAGAAGTAAAATGTTCTTTAAATTCAAAATTATGTTCACAAAATGTTAAAAAATTTGAATTTTGTTAAAAATTATCAATATCACAGTTTAAAAAGAACCATCAGTGAGTTTTAGTCAAACCGTGAAGACTAAAAGTTAATACTGCCAGCATATCGCGAACACTTTCATGCCATAATACAGTAATCTTGCTGTGGTGTATAACAATCAGAACGTTCTGGTTCAACACCTGTTATACAAAGCTTAGATTAATGCAACTTAGTCTGCCCCAGATTTATAAAAATTTCGAGGTATTTCATATCTACAGGTAACATGCATAAATATTTAACCAACAAATATTTGAAAGTACAAAATTATTATGAGGATAATATGACCAATTTTTTCTAATCAAATGAATTTTTATTTGTATATTACTGTACTTGTACAGTATCATATAGGACAATGACTGGCCAAGCTATTAAGTATACCAAAAGTGTATAAAGCCACTATGCTCCTCCCCAACTCAGAAAGTTTGAGAAAGTAGCTAAGAATTTTTACTTACTGAAATAATAGAACAGCTCCATATATTTTTTTATTTTTATAATTTGGTTTAATTTATTTAAATACAACTAAGAGATCATTAGATATGCCAATCTGTTCTGTTTGACAACTCGGATGCTACTGTAGTACTTGAAGATTATCAAATATTGGAAATAGTGAAACCATACAGAAAATCAGATATAATATTAAAGATAAAAATATCAATTGGTTGATGTGCTATACAAACATTTGTTGTCCACCTTCCCAAGAAATAAGATATACAGTACTTACATCTTTATATATAGCTCTGGAACAGTCTGCAGTATGGATAAATGTCTTGTAGTTTGAGTATGCCAAATCTCTTGTCTGATCCAAGATGGCTGATCTCTCTTCCCGAAGATGAGCACCTTCCTTTGCTATATGGAAATATATTAATCATTTAATTTAAGCATGATAGACCAACAAATGCTGGTAAAATTGACTCATATTGCAGACCTTATCAGATAGTATAATGCTGTTAACAACCAACAAGCTCCTCTTAAAAGAAGCTTTATTTATATCACCTTTGAGACCAACAATATTCAGCAAAATTTTAGATGTTGATGTTGTAGATGTTTAGATGAATTATAGATGGTGTTATCACCATCAGTGATTAAGTACAGTATTTGTTGCCCCTATACAGTGTTAACCTCTCAATCACAGGGTGGTACTAATGTATTTTCCTTGGCTAGCATATGGTGATATGCTAGCCAAGCATCTTTAGTAGCATTTCAACCATTTTATAAATTAGGCATAAAGTATTGTATTCTACTGTTTATAATCAGATTGCTTTAACTCAACCTTACTTAATATCAATTGTGCAATGTATCTCTCTTATGTCTTAACTCGTTCCATTGTGAATGAATTGGTGGCCACATGCAATCTTAATCAAGAAACCTGTCAATGAACTCTACAGAATGGTTTGGCTATTACATTTATTTATTTATATACTAGAAGGTACTGTACATTGGATTATTGTGAGTACATATCATGGATGTTTATAATTCTTGCTAAGCCACTAACATGCATAGCATTTCGGGCAGGCCCTTATTCTAACAGATAATTTTAAGTAGGCAAGTTGTAGCAAAATTTGAAGAATAGGTACATTGTGGTAAAATTTAAATGAAGTATATATATGAAGTATTTTTACCTACTTGCATGCTAAAGACAAGGTCTAGTGATATAAATTTGATATAAATGACAAAAAGTTTCCATTACCTAGCTTTTCTACACCACATGATGCTAGCTGTATGATGTAATTGGAGAACTCCTCGCTGTCTTTCCAGGAGTCTGAAAATATTCCAAGTATCACATTAAGTTTCAACAAAGTGTACATTGACTGGAGCATAAATTACCATCCAGGATGTGACCAGCAATCACCAAAGTCAATTTTCATTATCATTTGCTTAGCCTAGACTGCACTTGTGGTTATTCTTGAACCCATCGTTGATGTAACAATATACATAAACTGTGTAACCACTTCATCAAGACTACAACTTGCATAGTTAAATGAATTTGACGGTTCAGCTCCTGGGCGCATTGTGTGTGTCTAATCCTTTTCACTTCCACCCACATGATGGGTATGGGGTGTATAATAAATGAACTAAAAAGAGATTTTTTTACATTTACATGAAGAAGCATACATGTTTGTTAACTCAGTTGTGAAATAATTTTTTTCTTGAAGTACAGTATTAGAAAAAAATAAGTAACTGGCATCATGAGATTTCTTACCCTTAAAAAAAAAGGCACTATTGTATACTGTATTAGGAATTTATTTGCCTTGAAGACTTTAAATATGATATATTTAAGTCACTGTATTAATGGCTCAACACTATAACTAATGATACTAAATTTATCCATATTAATCCTGTCATCCCACTCATACTTGGATACTTAAAATAATTACGTGCTATGCTATGCTATTATGACATTTTCTTGTGTAAATGCAGAATGTACTTAAATCTGTTGCAAACTAAAATTATTATAGTTAGTGATTGAAATTTTTGTATTAGAGTGCACAGTTTAGTATGACAGTCATAAATAATCGTTATTGTAACGTATAATGAGCGAATGAAGTATCATATCGTTACTGTAAAGTGCAATGAGTGAATAAAGCATCATCCTTAAAGATAATTTCACTTTTATTCATAAAGATATGAATTATATCTAGTGAATAACTTAGAATCATTATCTTTCCCCCACACCTATAGCGCGAGGTGAGGCACACTCAAACAAGGACACAAGACACCACTAACAGCTCAAACTCCGTGATATACCTACAAGTTTACAATACTACCCCCCGGTTTACCAAGTATTCCCTCAGGAAAGAGGAGTTTGGCCACGTCCTCCACCTCCACGTCCATGACTGCTGACGACGGCGCCGCCGCTGCTGCCCTCTGCACGCCGCTCCTCCCAACCTTCTACAATAACAATAACAATAATAATAATAAAAATAATAATATTATTATTATTAATAATAATAACGATAATAACAATAATAATAATAATAATAATAATAATAATGAAAAATAAAAATAATAAATAAAAATAATAATAATAACAGTAATAATAATAATAATAATAATAATAATAATAATAATAATAATAATTACATTATATAACTGAAAAATTGCAGCATATCAGATAGCAAAGTTTCCACAGTAGGTTTTATATTTTCTTTCGTAAAGTCACTATAATTTAATATATCAATTTAATTTAATTTAATGCCTCTATATATAATATCAAGGTCGTCAAAACAAGTATTATTATACAAAAAGTAAAATGCAATAATACTTTATTATAAAAAATGTAATATGTAACCAGCGTATAATTTTCTGTATATATTAATAACATTATTATTGTTATTATAGGCTAATAATATACATATACTGCCTTAAAATTAATTTATAAACATGCCGTTTCGTAGATATAACACGAAACACGAGCAACGGGGTTTAAATTCAACAAGACCCTATGTACCGAGGTTACCTTGCGTTGATTTCGGGGCTCAACGTCCCCTGGGCCCAGTCCCCGACCAGGCCTCCTTAAGTAACACATGTTACGCATGTAGGGCAGAAAACAGGAGATGCCTTTTCACCCATAGGGCTATAAACCCAAGGAACCGCTTACCCTCGAAGCCGTACATGCCAAGACAATTTTCAAGTTCAAAATCCTCAGCAGCTATATATGGAGGGACCCCATATATGACAGGAGCCTGACAGCTGAGTGGACAGCGCTCCGGATTCGAAGTCCTGAGGTTCTGGGTTCGATCCCCGGTGGAGGTGGAAACAAATTGGGAGAGTTTCTTTCGCTTGATACCCCTGTTACCTAGCAGTAAATAGGTACCTGGGAGTTAGACAGCTGCTACAGGCTGCTTCCTGGGGGTAACAAAAATGAGGCCTGGTCGTGGACCGGGCCGTGGGTACGCTAAGACCTGAAATTATCTCAAGATAACCTCTCAAGATAACCCCCCTTGACAAGCCACCGATTACACGACTTGATAGTAGACCAGGACTGAATGAAATGTTGTCTTTTCATTTTCAGATGCGTGGTTTGAATATCATATCTTCAGCCAGTTATTGTCTCATCGTTGTATAATTTTGTTTATTTCCGTTCAACGTTGTCCAAATGCGAACAACAAAGACAAACTATTCATACTTTCAAACTGATAAATATAGATTTACATCATTAAGGCCGAATTATAATATCCGGTGTGTCGATTTCTGAATAAAACAAAAAGGTATTCTTATAATTTAATTATAGTACAATTTACAGTAACTTCTCGCATCTGGCACTCACATGGTCATCAATAAGAGAAAAGAGAGGAAAAGGGATGAGTAAGAGGAGCGGCGAGGAGCGTCCCGGGAGTCCCTGGCATTATTATTGATGGTACGTGAAGAAAGCAGTTCTCCAGTCATCTCGGGGCTTCTCCAGCGCAGCGGGGGCTAAGGTTTCAGACATGTCGGTCGCTCTGTCATGGGCACGAAAGCTCCAAGTCATAACTTCTTATTGGTGAAGTCTTAGGCGGGGATGTGGCAGGAGCAAGCAGATGGCAGCTTGTAGATGTCGATGAAGAGACCCTTGTAGGCATCGCAGGGGTCGAAGGAGAGGAGGCGGTGGTAGACATACTTCTGGGTGCAGTGACTTTTGTAGCAGGGAGCAAGGGCGCGGCACGCAGCTTCGGGGAAGAGACAAGTTTCCAGGCGGGCCGTCTGGGTGTAATAGTGAACATTGTTAACAATGACACGCCACTTGCCCTCAACATTCTGGGCACGCTTGGGCCTGGCGTAGGCGACGTCGGAGGGGCAGATGTAGCCCTCGGGGCCGGCCCAGTGGGTGACATCATAGGGAGATTTACCAGTGGAGGCACCAGTGTAGTAGTAGTAGTCGAAGGACTCTTCCTGTTTCTTGGTCACATATTCAACCAGATCATCAGCGGATTGGTCGGCCACATCAGCGTATTTCTTGGCGAACAGCTGGTCGGCAGTAATGGCGTTTTTTATATCATATTCAGGATACTCAGGGTCTTCCAAGCAGAAGGGGAGGGGGGAGCCAGCCGCACAGGTAGGAGGTGTTGTTGGGTCACAGTACTGGGGCTTGTAAGAGGGCTGCGGGCCGTAGGGGGGTGGAGGGCCATATCTTGGGGTTGGACTATAGGGAGGAGGGGCTGAACCAAGAGCAATTCCAGCGCACGCCAGAACAACCGACTGAAATAAAGTAACACATTTTAGTATTCATTTGGTAAGATTTTGTTGCTTATAGAATTATGAGTGTTAAAACTGCTATAGTGAGAAAGAACACAGAACACTCCAAAGATAATACAAAAGTATTTTAAAAAAGTATTGAGTAAAACGTCTGTTGTGATCTCTTGCCGGTAAGACAGAACAATGGAAGAAGAGTTCCTACCAGAGCGAGAGCCATGATGAGGTGCTGATGAGAGTTGTACTGCTGCCTTCCACTGCCACACCTCGCTATATATACCTGCCGCTGTGTCGACCTTAAGCTCCGTCACGCAGCTCACTACAAAGTATAGCCTTGACTTTCACTTGGTATAATGATACAAGTTTACAGCATGTCAACTATTTATTTGATAACAAGGATAGCAAAAAGCCGATGTAAAATTTAAATTAACAAAAAAATAAATTGCTTGTACATTTAATAACGGATAAATTAATGCCTAAATTCAACACAATAAACAAAAATCTAAAATTTAGTTTCAAGGCATTTTATTTTCTAATGTTACAACCATTTACACATTTCTTATAGTCCTATGCTTAAATAACACAAGTCTATAAGAACTATATCTATAAAATAGAATGTCCATTTGTCCATGGTTGGCCCCAGATGCTTGGGGCCAACCTCACCAGACTTTACAGGGTGACGAGTGGGTATAGTGGGACTGTCATAGGGTGGTCGGAGTCGGGGTCAGAAGTGTGTGTATTAAAAAATATTGACTAAAATCCAAACTCGCTAAATTCCAGACGCCATCCTCACAAAACTTCATCAAACATATTATTCTGTAAGTGATGAGAAAGATGGTTATAATGATGAAAATAGTGTGTAGTGAAGGTGCTTACAGTGATGGGGGTTGTGTGTAGTGTAGATGGTTACAGTGCGGAGGGTCATGTGTAGTGTAGATGGTTACAGTGCGGAGGGTCATGTGTAGTGTAGATGTAATAGAAATATGTTTACGTCATTGAAAATAAACCACGTAATATATAATTCATTTATCTCTTATCAAAGAGTAACTATTATCATAATACAAACTTAATATCCTCCGCTAATGTCTAAATTAAATATAACTAATATTCAACCCACCTTCCAGTAAGACAGCATATATATCAACTGAGAGTCTATGTTAAGATAAGTACAAAGATTTTATTGATGCAACGCGTGTCTTCCTTGGCAGTGTACAAACACACACACACACACAAACACACACACACACACAAACACACATATACACACATGCACAAGTCTCTCGGATGAACTTGAAGAAGAAGTAAACACTTCAAGAGGCGCCGAGTCACACAATCCTAAAGTAGGCAAGCTCGAATGAAATGTTTACCAGAGGAATAAAATTAATGCAAATTAATAAAAACAATCTACGTGATGAACAAGCCACAACTCAGAAGATGGAGAAGCGACGACCACCACATGACTTGATAATACCTGAGAGCCACTAACACTAGTGGCCTCGACGAGGAAAGGAAGCCGGCGGCTTGTTGAAGGTTCCCCCACCCCTCCATTTGCCTTGATGAACTTTTCCAGCTGTACTTCAAAGGTTAACAGAGTTTTGGCATTTGGTCCAGGACGGACCGAAACGTCGTTGAAGCTCCATCTTCTGAGTTTTGATTTGGTCATCATGTCTTCAGCCACGTTACTGTGACTCATCGCCTGCAAATAATCTACGTGTCCCCCATAAATTATTTTAGATAGAGTGACTGAGAAGGATACGTACAACAAGTGTATTATGGCGCCTCCATAAAGTTAACATCTTGGGCAAGTGATGCTGTACGGAGCTCCAGAAAGACTGCAACAACCTAACCTTTCCTAGCACTAGTATAGTACTTACATGTACAATATTAGGCCAGATATTGCGTATATTAGGTCTACGAGAGGTTAGGTTAGGACGTTAGGACATCTTGCATGGTTGTGTTGGTTGTTTTCTGCGAAGAGAAGATGTGCTAGTGCATGCAATAAGTCACAGTAAACTGGCTGAACAACAAACAAACCATTTCTTGCATGAACATGAAAGTGGCAGAGTTAGGATCCGGCCAGAACCCTTACCTAGTCGAAACTGATGGAGGAAAGGAGGAAGGAGGTAATATAAGGCAAGATTTAAGATGAAGAGCAAGTGGGTAAAGACAACATTTCTTCTCATAAAAGACAAGAATTCTCTGAAATTTAGATTTTTAGGAAGCCAACTTAACTACTATAATATGATTCATGCAAGTAACAACTACAGTGAACAAATCTACAAGGGCCGTGACGAGGGTTCGAACCTACGTCCGAGAGGATCCCAGACGCGTCTTAATCGACTGAGCTACGATATGGTCAAAAGAATTGACAATGGTATGTCAAGATGATTTCCTGGTTGCAGTTCTTTTGACCATGTCGTAGCTCAGTCGATTAAGGTGCGTCTGGGATCCTCTCGGACGTAGATTCGAACCCTCGTCACAGCCCTTGTGGATTTGTTCATTTGATGCATCACACTATTGTTGTTTCTGTGTGTAACAACTACAGTATACTTTATGCAAGTGACTACAAGAGTATGATGAAGACAAGTAACAACTACAGTATGATGTATGGAAGTGACAACTATATATATGGTCCAAGTGGTCTGGCACCGTTCCTTCCCTCGGTCTACCAACTCCTGCTCTTAATATATCCACCTTTCTTCCCTTTGGTGTTATGTAGCTATAATGAAAGTCTTTTTCCCAGTAATTATCATACATTCATGTGTGTCGAATGCTTACCTCTATTTTTGACAAGGTCGAAGAATTTTCAGTTTTTGTCTAGCTAATTCATTAATCCAGTCAATGACTTCGGATATAAGGAGTTTATTCATTGTCTTGTGTACATAGCAGATGTATTTACATTCCTAAATGAACTAAACAAATCTATGCAAGGAACTGGGATGAACACGTTAACGGCCACATATACAATATGTGCGTTTCGTTAGAAACTTCAAGTTTTTATAAATTGTGTTAAGAAAATATATTTGATTAACTTTTCGTGAAAAAAATATTTGCTTCAGAAAATTAATGAATGGTCATAGCAACGGAAGCAACAAAGCTTTTACCAAAAAAATTCTGAAGAGCAGATTTGCATCTCAGTATCTTTGCAAGTATCAGGAAACTATTTTAATGTCAAATAACAAAAAGGAAGCAAGGTTTATGTAAATTACGATACAATATTTTTGTTTATTAAATATACAAGTTACAGTAACTTCTCGCATCTGGCACTCACATGGTCATCAATAAGAGAAAAGAGAGGAAAAGGGATGAGTAAGAGGAGTGGCGAGGAGCGTCCCGGGAGTCCCTGGCATTATTATTGATGGTACGTGAAGAAAGCAGTTCTCCAGTCATCTCGGGGCTTCTCCAGCGCAGCGGGGGCTAAGGTTTCAGACATGTCGGTCGTTCTGTCATGGGCACGAAGGCTCCAAGTCATAACTTCTTATTGGTGAAGTCTTAGGCAGGGATGTGGCAGGAGCAGGCAGATGGCAGCTTGTAGATGTCAATGAAGAGACCCTTGTAGGCATCGCAGGGGTCGAAGGAGAGGAGGCGGTGGTAGACATACTTTTGGGTGCAGTGACTTTTGTAGCAGGGAGCAAGGGCGCGGCACGCAGCTTCGGGGAAGAGACAAGTTTCCAGGCGGGCCGTCTGGGTGTAGTAGTGAACATTGTTAACAATGACACGCCACTTGCCCTCAACATTCTGGGCACGCTTGGGCCTGGCGTAGGCAACGTCGGATGGGCAGATGTAGCCCTCGGGGCCGGCCCAGTGGGTGACATCATAGGGAGATTTACCAGTGGAGGCACCAGTGTAGTAGTAGTAGTCGAAGGACTCTTCCTGTTTCTTGGTCACATATTCAACCAGATCATCAGCGGATTGGTCGGCCACATCAGCATATTTCTTGGCGAACAGCTGGTCGGCAGTAATGGCGTTTTTTATATCATATTCAGGATACTCAGGGTCTTCCAAGCAGAAGGGGAGGGGGGAGCCAGCCGCACAGGTAGGAGGTGTTGTTGGGTCACAGTACTGGGGCTTGTAAGAGGGCTGCGGGCCGTAGGGGGGTGGAGGGCCATATCTTGGGGTTGGACTATAGGGAGGAGGGGCTGAACCAAGAGCAATTCCAGCGCACGCCAGAACAACCGACTGAAATAAAGTAACACATTTTAATATTCATTTGGTAAGATTTTGTTGCTTATAGAATTATGAGTGTTAAAACTGCCATAGTGAGAAAAAACACAGAACACTCCAAAGATAAATACAAAAGTATTGAGTAAAACATCTGCTGTGATCTCTTGCCGGTAAGAAGGAACAATGGAAGCAGAGTTCCTACCAGAGCGAGAGCCATGATGAGGTGCTGATGAGAGTTGTACTGCTGCCTTCCACTGCCACACCTCGCTATATATACCTGCCGCTGTGTCGACCTTAAGCTTCGTGACGCAACACAACTCCAGTGGAAATTGTTAACTTTCGCTTGCTCCGTTTATAGACATCTTGATCTTGAGTGCGTTTTGTTTGATAATATAATGGTGATGAAAAATTATTAAAAAACTAGTTGTTGAAGGCTTTATGTGACTGACTCCTGTCTCAACCAGCGAGATGAGAGTGGGATATTAACAATCTAATTAAACAGTACTAAATACAACTGTAAACCGACTTTTCTTTGGAACATGTTAACAAACTCTGTAACGAGTTCATCGATATTTTAACTGAATGTTTATTGGTGTTCAATTCCTGTGGCTATTGTGTGCTTCTGTAATCTTTCGTCAATCACTCTCAGGGTGGGTATGAAGGCCACTAAAAATGAACTAAACTCAAATATTTAGTTCCTTAGCTTTCATATTCTTTTCAGGAAATACTGCTTCAAACCCTGCCTTATCGTCCAATGTGTGTGTACTATTTATATTTATTATTTATGCCTGTTGAATAGAGCTGTTAGTTCTTGGACTTCGCCCTTCTAGCTGTCGGTTGTCTAATACTCTGAGTCCCCCACCTATTTTTCTCTATCATATCTACTACATATATTTCTCTCTCGCATACACATATATTCCCAGAATGCAGCCCTGTTTAACTGAAACTGTTTAACTACCAGGTACCTATTTTCTGCGAGATGAATAGATGCATCAGGTGAAAGAAGCTTTCCAATTGTTTGTCTCGTCCGGAAATCGAAGCTGGGTCCATGGATTCCGAAGTCCGAAAACTGTCCGCTCGGCCGCGAGACACCTTTTGTGTGTGTCTAAGTAACGTCATTCCTGTTACTTTTCAATTAATGCAATAACTCCCTTTTCTCATGTTCCTTGTTTTTTTTCTTTCGAAACAGTGTGTTGAGTTGGAACTTGGGCTTGGAACTCTTATACTGAAAACGTTCTTCCAGACATCTCTACGGAACATTTCTCTAGTTTCCATCCGTGAGCCATAGTTTTATTATTTCTCATTCTGAGCTTTTCATTGTCTTCCTTTTCTGTAATGTTCTTAGTATTTTGTAGGCTGTTACCAAGCCCCTCCCAGTGTTTTTTTGTCTCCAGCGCGGTGAGGTATACTTTCCTCAACACTTTACTGTAGATCAATCCCCTTGACTACCGTGAGATGCTTTGTCGTATATCTGGACTTCCTTTCAGTTTCACAGTGCTCTTTCAGGTATACGAAACTACCTCTCGGACCACGATTGTGTGCATGTTCTTGAGGAGTCATGGTCGCGGGTTCGATTCCGTCGTACAGCCTCCATATTTTATTCACAGGTTTATTCCAGGTTGGAGCTTCCTTGTGATTTTTTTTATTTATGCATTTATTTGTATATACAAGAGTTCTTACATTCTTGTAAAACCACTTGCGCACGCATAGCGTTTCGGGCAAGTCCTTAATCCTATTTTTTTTCCCCGGAATACGACCCGCCAAATCGTTTAACAACCAGGTACCCATTCACTGCTGGGTGAACAGAGGCTACAGTTAAGGATTGGCACCCGGTCAATCTTCCTAGGCCAGAATACGAACCCAGGATTAAAGCATTCGCGAAGCGCGGGGCGAGTGCTTTACCACTACTCCACGGGGACTGCAGGTCTCTGTAGGACTGCAGGTTTCTCACCACGGTTTCTAAAGGTTATCTGTGCGAATACGAAACTACCTCTCGGACCACGATCGTGTGCATGTTCTTGAGGAGTCATGGTCGCGGGATCGATTCCGTCGTACAGCCTCCATATTTTATTCACAGGTTGATCACGTTCTTATGATTTCATTGTACTAGCTGTATATTTGACAGATATATATGTTCTTTGCTGACTTTCTCTTCAGGTGCTCCTCTGGTCTAAGGTTTAGGGACCCAGAAGCCCGAAGCCTCTCGGGTTAGCCAGAGGCTTAGGGGCCGCGCAGGAATATCTCTGCAAAGGAAAATATTCAATATTTTTTCCTCAAAAATGGAAAGTTGTCCCCCATTCGTAATGTACTGTATATGGATGCTATTGCTTCTATTCCTATCACGTAACTTTGATTATATAAGGGTAGCCCTTTTTTAGACCATTTTCAATGTGTGTATAGATTATTGTTCATTATACACCAGTATTCCTATGCATTCAGCTTTTTCATTACATCTGTGTCATACGAGAACATAGATATGAAAGAATGTTTTTTCAGGTCATTGGATACTATTAGAAACAGTCCCTGCGGCTGACTCTTGGGGCACTATGCACGAAACCAATCGTTTTGATGAGTACTCTCTCACTGTGAACCTCTGTTTCCAATCGGAAAGATGATCCATTATTTATTACTCTTTCCAATTACTATAGCTTTTTTCTACAGCTGGAATAATTTTCTTGTGGTTGGAGTATGTGCATAAATTAGTATTATACTATTTGAAATTAACTCACAGAAGCAGAGTAATTCAAAGGAACATTATTATATTTTGTTGAAAATATGAATACCTTTATTTTATATAGTCCTTGTTAATTTGTTTTTTAATGTTAATGTTTAACATTATATTTTTAAAGTAAACCAGAATTCATTAAAATTCTATTCACCATTTAACTTTATTAGTACAAACTCCAGTAAGGAAATTAATGAAGAGACAATATTAATGGAAAACAAAATTTGTGTTTTTTTCTCATTTTAATTAATTATACAATTTACAGTAACTTCTCGCATCTGGCACTCACATGGTCATCAATAAGAGAAAAGAGAGCAAAAGGGATGAGTAAGAGGAGCGGCGAGGAGCGTCCCGGGAGTCCCTGGCATTATTATTGATGGTACGTGAAGAAAGCAGTTCTCCAGTCATCTCGGGGCTTCTCCAGCGCAGCGGGGGCTAAGGTTTCAGACGTGTCGGTCGCTCTGTCATGGGCACGAAGGCTCCAAGTCATAACTTCTTATTGGTGAAGTCTTAGGCGGGAATGTGGCAGGAGCAGGCAGATGGCAGCTTGTAGATGTCGATGAAGAGACCCTTGTAGGCATCGCAGGGGTCGAAGGAGAGGAGGCGGTGGTAGACATACTTCTGGGTGCAGTGACTTTTGTAGCAGGGAGCAAGGGCGCGGCACGCAGCTTCGGGGAAGAGACAAGTTTCCAGGCGGGCCGTCTGGGTGTAGTAGTGAACATTGTTAACAATGACACGCCACTTGCCCTCAACATTCTGGGCACGCTTGGGCCTGGCGTAGGCGACGTCGGAGGGGCAGATGTAGCCCTCGGGGCCGGCCCAGTGGGTGACATCATAGGGAGATTTACCTGTGGAGGCACCAGTGTAGTAGGAGTAGTCGAAGGACTCTTCCTGTTTCTTGGTCACATATTCAACCAGATCATCAGCGGATTGGTCGGCCACATCAGCATATTTTTTAGCGAAGAGTGGATCATCACTAATTGCGTGTTTGATATCATATTCAGGATACTCAGGGTCTTCCAAGCAGAAGGGGAGAGGGGAGCCAGCCGCACAGGTAGGAGGTGTTTTTGGGTCACAGTACTGGGGCTTGTAAGAGGGCTGAGGTCCATATGTGGGCTGAGGGCCATAGCTCGGTGGTGGCTTGCCATACGGAGGAGGAGGAGCTGAACCAAGAGCAACTCCAGCGCACGCCAGAACAACCGACTGAAATAAAATAAAGGGTACATTTAGAGCTAATAAGTATCATTCCATTAGGCATTGAAATGTGAATTTTACAGTGTAACAAGTGATCTATTCTTGCAATATTCACAGAACACTGCAAGAATAAGAATTCCTCATAATAGGTAAGGTAATATAAATTTGAGGGGTATTTCATACCAGAGCGAGAACCATGATGATGTGTTGACGTGAGAGTTGTACTGCTGCCTTCCACTTCCAAGCTTCGCTATATATACCTGCTGCTGCTGCGTCAGCTGCAGGAGTCATGACGCAACCAAACCCAAGAATAAGGTATACTTTCACATACTTCCGTAGGTGTACATAATATTATAGACTATTTCTTGAACTATATATATTATATTTTCAATACCCTCAAATGTTTCGGAGATAACACTTCGTCATCAGTGCTAAAAACAAATTAAACAAAAAATTTGTTAAAATACAAATAAAAAGTTGAAATATTTATATAAATCAGTGTTAATTAAATAGGACCAAGCCCATGAAACTTTAGCAATAGATATAAAAGACCTAACACCTATATTGTTGAAATATTTTAGTGATACCGCCGCTGATAAATAATAAAGTATTAAACATATCAACACAGAACACGAAATATTGGATATAAATTGGATAAGTTTAGATTTAGGAAAGATATGGGTAAATACTGGTTCGGTAAGAGGTTTGTCGATTTGTGAAACCAATTAATAGTAATAGTAGGCATCCATCAGTCTCAGGAGACTATGGAGCTGCGCTCTGGTTGATGGTCTGGAGTGGCCTCTCCAGAGCACTGTGTAGATTGTACTATTTCCATTTGCATATCAATTATTTTGCACATCTTGTACCATTTATGTGCGTTCAATTATATTGTTAAATTAAATGTTGGTAACTCTAGCGTCTAGAGAATATAAATAATAGTTCTAAGCCATAAATAATAATAATAATAATAATAATAATAATAATAATAATATTTTATTCAGGAAAAGTACATACATAGATGCAGAGTTACAAACATACTGTTGGATTTATAGATGGGTAGTGTATTGTGAAGGCTAATAATAAACAGAAACTCCCCTATGACTCTGTAATATCTCCATTGGTCAAACTATTATGTATTAGCGATAAGACCTACCATTAATGTATGATGACTTACTGTAAATATATAGCTCTTGAAATAGCCCTTTCTCTGTAACTAGCTGACATTGTAACTATAAGCTGTGAAGGATAGATGAAACTGTTTATGTAATAATCTAAGATAAGGTCTGATAAAGACCTTTTGTGCCCTTTGTACTGCTTTTTGCACTACCGCTCACAGGATGAGTATGGGGTGCACATTAAACTAGCCGCTTCCGGCGGCAATAATCAACAACAAAAGCTAGTACATATAATACCTAAAGCCACTAATACGCATAGCGTTTCGGGCAAGGTTTGAGGGAAAAAACACTTAGACTAAAACTTAATAATAATTGGGAGTAAAGTATAAATTGTGTTGAAAAAAATAAAAAAATAAAAAAGGGGGGGGGGGGGCGGGGGCGGAGAATGGCAAAAATCAGCGGTTGTACAAGTTGGTCAACAAACAGCATTGTTTAGAATAGCAAGACATGGGTTGAGATTTAGGGGGTAAGGTATGTTGCATGGAGTTAATTAGGTAGTACTTAGTTCTACTCTTAAACTGGTTGAGAGAGGTACAGCCTTTGACATGGTTAGGGAGATCATTCCACATTCTGGGTCCCTTGAGTTGTAGAGCATTTTTATTTTAGTTAAGGCGCACTCTTGGAATATCAAATAGGTATTTGTTTCTGGTGTGATGCCCATGGGTTCTGTTACAACCTTCTAGGAAACTTTTAAGGTCAGGATTGACATTGCAGGTCAGAGTTTTAAATATATAGAGTACACATGAGAGGATGTGCAGTGACTTGATATCTAACATATTCAAAAATTTGAGTATGGGTATATGGATCTGCAGCTATATTAGTTTAGTTTAGTTCATTTATTGTGCACCCCATACCCATCTTGTGGGTGGTAGTGGAAAGGGTTACAGAGGCACATAATGGGCTCAGGGACTGATTATGTGCCTCTGTAACCCTTTCCACTACCGCGCACAAGATGTGTATGGGGGTGCATAATAAATGAACTAAACTAAACTAATATAGCTGCAGATCCATATACTTTATATTATTAACATCATATATTAGCGTTACCCAGCGCCTGAGGCCTGGGTAATGAAGCGTCTGCTTGAAAAATGCTTTCACCGAGGTCCAGGGAGGTGCTGCCATCTGTTGGCCACCGTAGAAATCAGTGATTATTCGTCCCCTAGTCCTCCTCCTCCGCTAAGTGCACTTGCCTTATACTTAACACTATTTACTGTACCTACATTTTGCAGGTCGTCTAATGCAATGACTTATAATCCTTTTGTTTCTTGTTTTATTTGCAACTAGAAGGAGTAATCAACGCGGTGCTCAGTATACTCTCTCTCCTCTAACCCCTGTTCTCACCCTCTTCTCTCCTCCATTCCCCCTCTTCCATCCTCTCCTTTTTTCCTTCTTCCCTACCCCTTTCTCCTCTCCCCTCCCACCTCTCCCCTTTTCTCTCTTTTACCCTCTTCTCTCCCTCCCCTTCTTCTCTTCCTTGTCCAGGCACAGACATTCGTGGACAGACATTTTCATTTTTCGGTTGAAGAAATTATCTGAGGACTCAGCCAGCCACCTTTTACCGATTGCGCTGAAGTCACTACTGGGCTTTACCCCCTCTCCCTTCTTAATAGGGCCAATAGGACCGACCCTGAGCACCCTCTGTTCTTTCCGTACCTGAGGCTATGTACGCCGCGTCTTTGGAGAGACAAACACAAACAGACAGACGTTCTCTCTTATAGATTAGAGCGAAGAATGGAGTCAACTGTTTCATCCAATGGTGAAACAGTTGGCGGTAGTATATTCTACCAAGTATGGTGATAGACATATTTCTGGGTCGATTGATTAGTTCAGTGATGTTGGCCAGGATATCTCTGGCGATGGTCTGTGTGTAGAAACGATGTGAGCTTCGAAAAAAACAAAAAATCTCATATAAAAAATTACTCCACCTCGTAAACCAATTCTACGGGGTCAAGTGCGTAAAAAAATGTAATGCGTTCAGTAAGAGAACGGGTTAAAACTAGACAATTATCAGAGTTATCCTGACCAACAACACCAAAATAATCGGAAGACAACAACTGAAGACTATCCACAGCTAAGGCATTATATTCAACGTTCATCCATCAACAGCCTGTTTACCTTCCTCTAGATCAAGAGAAAATATCCCACACTCCACACCTTCTGACTATTCATATTTACAATGGCATTAAACTTCAAATAGAAAGAGAGGGAATATTATGCGAATTTAAACCTAGAATTCTCAAGTCTTTTCATGCAACTTGAAGCCCTGAACAAATAATTAGAACCGGAGAAAAACACAGTGAAAAGTTAACGACTCTTTCCAGACAATTGTGTCATTATTATTTATCCCTTACTCATAAATATATTATTTTTGTTGTGATGTGAGGATAACGAGCAGCGATGGAACGGGAGTCATTCAGCGCCAGAAAATAATTATATGTTCTAAATTATCATGATGAGGTTTAGAGAACTTGCTGGTAAATAAGCAGAATAGTGTTTGTCAATCTATAAATATGATGTTCATAATTTTCACTATAGGATTAAATTCAGTTAATGGATTAAATGTAATGTTATGTGAAAGAGGGATAAACAAAATGAGGCAAACGAAGTTTTTGTTTATTGGAAAACTAATTACAAGAACTCTCAGCATCTCGCATTCACATGTTGTAGTATAAAAAGGTTACTTAGTTGGTGAGAAAGACGATAATTTTAGACTATAAGCATGTGATGAAATTTCCAAGTGGTGGTGTTGGGGCGGTACGTAAAGAAAATAGTTCTCTGGGCCTCCTGGGAGCTTCTCAGGAATCTGAGGGACGTCCCAGTGATGTGGGCGACTCTTGGGCCAAATCGACAGGACAAGTCAGGCGGACAGTCTCAGTATTTTAGTCAGGCACATTGCTAATAGGGGAGGTAGTGTTCCGGTGTGCATAGTGTGCATGTCCGGTGTGGGTGAGAATCAGGTAAAGAAAAAGGTGTAAAGATGTGAAGATTGGTGATGGATTTGCTCTTAGGCAGGGATGTGGCAGGAACAGGCAGATGGCAGCTTATAGATGTCGATGAAGAGACCCTTGTAGGCATCGCAGGGGTCGAAGGAGAGGAGGCGGTGGTAGACATACTTCTGGGTGCAGTGACTTTTGTAGCAGGGAGCAAGGGCGCGGCACGCAGCTTCGGGGAAGAGACAAGTTTCCAGGCGGGCCGTCTGGGTGTAGTAGTGAACATTGTTAACAATGACACGCCACTTGCCCTCAACATTCTGGGCACGCTTGGGCATGGCGTAGGCGACGTCAGAGGGGCAGATGTAGCCCTCAGGGCCGGCCCAGTGGGTGACATCGTAGGGAGATTTACCAGTGGAGGCACCAGTGTAGTAGGAGTAGGAGAAAGCCTCTTCCTGAGTTTTGGTTACCATGTCGACCAAGTCATCAGCAGACTGGCTTGCCACATCAGCGTACTTCTTGACGAAGAGGAAATCAGCACTGATGGCGCCCTTGATATCATACTCGGGATATTCAGCATCCTTCAGGCAGTAGGTGAGTGTGGAGTTGGCAGCACAGGCGGGAATGGCTGTTGGATCACAGTAGGAGTTCTTGTAGACAGTATGGCTGTAGGCAGGTTGTTGGCCATAGGGCGGTGGGTGGACTGATCCCAACACCATCGTGGCGCAGGCTAGAATGAGTGACTGAAGAGAAAAAATGCTATACAAATGCGGTATAAATCTGAGAAAATTACAAATAAATCATTCAATTTTCCACCTCTCAAAGACCACAAACATATTTAAACCTATTTTGTATGATAGAAAGATGTTTAAAATGTGTAGTGTTAAACCTGATTGAGGAGGATGAAGTAAGGTACTGCTTCAGTTAACAAATCTTTACCTTGAAACCTCAGGCTTGAAGGTAAAGTAAACTAGAAGACAGTGTAAAGTGGTTACGGAGGTACAAAGAATAGTTAATTGGAGGACGTTATATAACAGCACAGGAGGTACAGATGGCAGCAAACTGGTACCTTGCTATAGTGGCGCAGGACAAGTAGGCTATTAGTGAAGTAGAATCATGACCAACTTGTATATTAACGTTGGGGAAAAAATCATTTTTTTAATATAATTATCTTTCTATGGGGGTATGGAAGTTGAGGCGAACATCTCAAGGTTAGAGACCAACCCCAGTTCCGAGTAAAGACGTACCACAGTAAGCGCCATAGTTAGTGAGCAGATGCGAGAGTTCTTGCTTGTGACACTCTGTGCCTCCAGCCTGGGACACAGGCTACTATATACGCAAATCTGCGATGACGTCAAATGAGCGTAATAGCTGTGATTGGCAGCCCGAGTGACTTTCACTGTCGAGAGGAAGTATTATGTGGAAGGTGGGGGGGGGGGGGGGGTGGCAGGGGAGGATGTTTTATGATGGGGGAAGGGGGGAAGTAGTGCCATTAAGTCTCAACAAATGGTGTAGTGTGCTTTCCACCGGGTCCCATTAACTTCTCCCTAGTTCCATTCCTCTATTAATCACTCTCCATTTCCAGAACCCCCATTCCTACCAGTCCCCACTTACCAACCCCACTTCTACCAGTCTCCACCACCCCAACTCCACGCGCCTATGACATTACTACCACCATTATCATTTTTATTACTTGATGAGAAACATACGAAAGTGTGGGCGTGGCTGGTAGCAGGGCGTGTGTATGGTTACCTGCGTGTGGGCGTGGCTGGTGGCAGGGCGTGGGTATGGTTGCCTGCGTGTGGGCGTGGCTGGTGGCAGGGCGTGGGTATGGTTGCCTGCGTGTGGGCGTGGCTGGAAGCAGGGCGTGTGTATGGTTGCCTGCGTGTGGGCGTGGCTGGTAGCAGGGCGTGTGTATGGTTGCCTGCGTGTGGGCGTGGCTGGTAGCAGGGCGTGTGTATGGTTACCTGCGTGTGGGCGTGGCTGGTAGCAGGGCGTGGGTATGGTTGCCTGCGTGTGGGCGTGGCTGGTAGCAGGGCGTGGGTATGGTTGCCTGCATGTGGGCGTGGCTGGTGGCAGGGCGTGGGTATGGTCGGGGAGCGCCAACACATCAGGTGTAGCGGGTGTCAGAGGTGAAGTTAATGTGGTCTTTACGATACGTGGGAGGAGTCTGTGGAATTGAAAAAGGAGATAAGTGTTATAACCGAATGCTTAAATTCCTCTGCCTAAGATAAGAACCTCACTAAAATCTGCTATGGCCCGAGTCCAAAACATTGACACAGGGATACGCATCGAATTGTTAGAGGCGTAAATGACGCATGTGTTGTAAATTAATAAAAATTAACGCATTGATTTACATATTAATGGGTAATATGAAAGGCAGCCCTTTATAATGTCTGTCATAGTGAGAGAGGCACAACGGTTTTATATTTTCCGGCCAGTCTTGAGAGAACTGAGACGAATCTTCTACTCTTCATTAAAAGGCGAAATAAGACGTCAACTCATCATTCAACAGCTATGTGTTTTCTTAAATTAATGACGTGTTAAGCATATCTTCACCGTGTCAAAGAGAAGCTACATTTGCATTCCAATGTTTTCGGAATGTGTGTTTCCAATGTGTTTCGTGCTCGCGTTAATGGCACAAATATATATATATATATATATATATATATATATATATATATATATATATATATATATATATATATATATATTTATATATATATATAGATTCCGGGAATATTGGATGTTTGAAAGATAAAGACACCAAAGAAATTAAGAAAAACATGTTAAATCTACGAGGCGGTGGTCCTTGCTCGAAGGATTCGTACCGAGATATATTTACCTGAACTTACCTGAAGACCACTTATCTAGGTCATCGCACTCTTTCTGATCATTTCTTGCATCTGGATTTTGAGCAGAAGTGTTGTCTTGCCATTTACGGCTTCGGCGGGTAGGCGGTTCCATGGTTTTATACACTTATGCGTGAAAAATCACCTGTTTTCTTTCATTGTGGCTTATGTAACATATATCGCAAGTTTCAAAACCATTAAATGCTACATACAACGTCTAGTGGGTTCATGAAATTAAGCCCCTATGGGCTTAAGTATAAGCACTCATGCACCGCCTATAAAACATAAACAAGAAACAAGTAACACTTAGTGAGCCAGCCAGAGGCTTAGGGCTCGCGCAGGAATATCACCGGAAAACCAAAAAAATAAAACTACGATGAAGCAGCTGACGAATATAGGTTTATTACGAGAGAAATGTGTGAAAGTATGGCACACGTAATTATACGGTAAATACAAATTAGTACGTCAACGAGCAAGGTACTTGTGGTATGAGGAGAGCCACCAGGAGCTACGTGCATGGGAAGCTGAAAGTGGGTGTGTGGTGTAGGGATGGTAGGCGGAGGTTTATCTCAACCACAACTCTCTCAACCACAGCACACGCAGTCACACTCACGCTCACAAGCACGCCACCCTCAGCTGCTGGATGAGGTGTTGGGTTGACCACCCTCATCTTCTGAAAGAGGCGACGGAGACCTTGGTTTCCACCAACTGTGTTGGTCTTCACTAATATACAGATGTTTAAGTATCTTTTTAGCCGGGTGCAAGAAAATCAATTAATTACTTGATGGGAATAAACTGTGTGTATGTGTGAGTTTGTGTAGGTGTGTATATGCATATGTAGATGTGTGTATGTGGGGGGGGGGGATGTGTGGATGAGAGAGGACAGATTGAGTGGACAGAATATTTACATGAGTGGTTGCGGTAGTTGTTGTTTTGCAAATCGTTGTAGTTGATAGTGGTTACAGTGCTGATTATATGGTGACAAACGTGCAAGTTAATTTCCTGTTGTTAAATACAATTAATTTGATATCAGTTTTGCATTACGTCCTGATAGAAGACGAAAAAATGCTATAATTAAGGAATGTATTCAGCGTGAATCTGGGCGAAGGATAATGGCACGGCAGTTCTCGACCACCACGGCACTTACCAGTTCGAAAATTGATTGGAAAGTTGGTCGAGGCATTGTGTTCGTCGCTACCAGACTGTAGACCATGTTGGTGATTACTAACATGTCTCTCTAGAGCCTCTTTGATGCTTGTTACCCCCATGTTGAAATGTGAGTGTTTTGGACAAAATGAGGGAGAGTAGGAGGGTCGGAGGGTGGGTGGTTGGTCAGGTGGGACTGTATGAGGTCAATGTGTGGTCAATGGCTAGAGAGAAGGTATGAGGGTGTCTCAGACAGGCACCCATAACCTCAATGATGTTACTTGTGGCTCTCAGCCTGTGTGTATGTGTGCTCAGCCAAGCACTAAGCTTGCCACACACACACACACACACACACAATATATATATATATATATATATATATATATATATATATATATATATATATATATATATATATATATATATATATATATATATATATATATATATATATATATATATATATATATATATATATATATATATATATATATATATATATATATATATATATATATATATATATATATATATATATATATATATATATATATGTATGTCGTACCTAGTAGCCAGAACGCACTTCTCAGCCTAATATGCAAGGCCCGATTTGCCTAATAAGCCAAGTTTTCATGAATTAATTGTTTTTCGTCTACCTAACCTACCTAACCTAACCTAACTTTTTCGGCTACCTAACCTAACCTATAAAGATAGGTTAGGTTAGGTTAGGTAGGGTTGGTTAGGTTCGGTCATATATCTACATTAATTTTAACTTCAATAAAATAAAATTGACCTCATACATAATGAAATTGGTAGCTTTATCATTTCATAAGAAAAAAAAGAGAAAATATATTAATTCAGGAAAACTTGGCTTATTAGGCAAATCGGGCCTTGCATAGTAGGCCGAGAAGTGCATTCTGGCTACTAGGTACGACATATATATATATATATATATATATATATATATATATATATATATATATATATATATATATATATATATATATATATACATATATATATATTATACACAAACATATATATACAAACACGCCACGACGACCACAAGAAACTAAGAAGACCGTCATATTACGAAAGAGGAATGTAATGAGCTCAGATTTTGATTGTAGCCCATACCAGAGAGACAAGGTGTATGTGAACTATGAGTGTGGCCCACGGGGATGAGTCCCTAGACAAGACGTATACTCAGCCCGTTCTCACGACGCAACGTGCGTCAGATATGACGTGGGTTTCGTCTAACCAGATTTGATGACCAGATGATTTATTGTTATTGGCGTTGGTTGTTTATGTAATTTGTTAGTCCCATTGTTTGTTAGCTGTATCTGTTATTTGATATTTTAATTATTTACTTTTTAGTCATATCATTTAGTCATCTAGTCATATCATTTAGTCATTTAGTCAGTTCTAACTTTTGTTTGTACATATTTTCTATACAGAACTTTAGGTCGTGGATAACTTTAAAATAAATTAGATATAGTGAACAGTTTTCCACGAATGGGGGGGGGGGGAAAGGTCGCCTATTAGAGAAAGAGAAACTCTCAAAATGTGTCCAATTTTCCCAATTATTGGTTGCGTGAGAGCTGACAGGTTCTTGCATGCAGTGTGTATTGGTATGTGTATGTGTATGTGTATGTGTGTGTGTGTGTGTGTGTTTGTGTGTGTATTCACCTAGTTGTGTTTGCGGGGGTTGAGCTTTGCTCTTTCGGCCCGCCTCTCAATTGTCAATCAACTGTTTACTAACTACTTTTTTTTCCCCCCACACACACACACACACACACACACACACACACACACACACACACACACACACACACACACACACACACACACACACACACACACACACACACCAGGAAGCAGCCCGTGACAGCTGACTAACTCCCAGGTATCTATTTACTGCTAGGCAACAGGGGCATTAAGGGTGAAAGAAACTTTGCCCATTTGTTTCTGCCTCGTGCGGGAATCGAACCCGCGTCACAGAATTACGAGTCCTGTGCGCTATCCACCAGGCTTCGAGGATGTGTGTGTGTGTGTGTGTGTGTGTGTGTGTGTGTGTGTGTGTGTGTGTGTGTGTGTGTGTGTGTGTGTGTGTGTGTGTGTGTGTACTCAGTAGTACTTGCAGGGTCAAGCATCTGCCTTAAGCCCTGCCATTCGACCATCATTTTTTCTATGCAGTGACTTTTTTTCACATCTCTGTGACTCACCTGTGTGTCCAGAATCCAATTATGTCCTCTAGCTCTATATTCTTTACTCTAAACTTTGCTTCTCTATCTACTTTGTCAGATTCCCTTAGTATCTTGTACGTTGTTATCATGTCTGCCCTATTCATTCCCTTCTTCAGAGTAGTTAAGCTTTCATTTCATTTCTCTTATGAGCGTCATCTCTCTTTCCACATATTAATAGATTACCTACATTCGTTCAGAATCTGGTGTTATATATATCTGTACTTTCTCAATCGTTTCCTGTTCTGACCTGTTCTGAATAAAGTGTTGGTTCCATGCTGGTGCTGCCTTCTCTAACATTCGGGGGTCCCTGAAACTTTCTTCACAGTGAACAGCTTTGCACATGCCGCTGATGTTATCTTGTCTGTGTGTGTCTCATGGGTCGGAATATATGCAATATTCATTCGCAGGTTATTGTTCTTTGGGTCTGGAAGCTTTCCAGAACCATAGAAAATCTGGAAGCTTTCTAGAACACCTTCGAATAAAATGTTCCCCAACTTAGAATTATTGGAGAAATAGTCAATAAATCCTTTGTCAGTTTGGAGTTGCTTGTGGCTGGTCACGACGCAGATGCCTCTGGAGAGAGTGGCGGAGTGTTGTGCTGAAGGTGAAGACGCTGTAGCAGCTGACCTTGAGGGCTGCTTCGGCGTGACTACACCCACGTACCTCCCAGTGTCGCGTTGTGTGCGGGGGAGCTGGGGTGGGGCGCGGGACGTGCACCCAAGTAGTGGGCGAACTCTCCCACTACATGGGAGAGGGCGAAAGAGTGGAGGGTTGAACTAATGAGTTAACTAGAGTTGGGTGAGCGGTGAGAACTTGCGTGGAGATGAAGAAAGGGTTCTTAGGGGGATGAGTATGAGGGAGAGTTGAAAGTTAGGGGGAGTGGAGAGCACCTCTAGGGAGAAGGCACATGAGTGGTTACATCACAGTGAACTTAGTGAAGGGCGGGGTCTGATGAGGCAAAATGACTAGCCGGGGGAGGAAGGGGAGGGAGGGGGGGGGAGGTGATCCCTCTCTTGCCTCCCCCTCCTCTCTCTTTTTCTCTCTCTCTCTCTCTCTCTCTCTCTCTCTCTCTCTCTCTCTCTCTCTCTCTCTCTCTCTCTCTCTCTCTCTCTCTCTCCCTCCTCTTTTGCTTCTCTCTTTGTCTCCATCTCTCTTTTGTATTTATCTTTCTTTCTTTAAATTCATCAATTTCATTGTCTCCTATTATTTCCTGTTTACTCTATCATGTCTCACGTTTGCCTGTATGACTCCCTAGCAGTACCCAAATTTTCACAGTAATTACAGTTGGGTACATGCCTATCATGATCGAGTCAGAGTTGGCACCAATTAAATGAGCACAGCTTGCATGGTGCCATATTGACCCTGTAAACCTCCAGGCATCTCTAGGACTTGCTGGATTAAACAAAAACTCTAAAATAAAATTAAAAACAAATTTATTTTTTACTAAAGAGTAAAATATTGGACACTAATCTTCATAAAATAGTAAAAATAATTCTATCTGTTATACTTTAGCCATAATAGGCAAAGAATGTTCATGATGTCACCACCGATTCCGTACACTTCCCCCAATCTGAAGCAATTGAAGAACAAACCCAAAACTCTCACCCCCCTCTCTTGCTCCCCACACAGGTACTCCCCTCCATCCCACTGTATCTTGCATCTCCATCTTGTCATATGCCCTCTCTCTCTCCAATTCCTCTACCTCCCCTTCTATACTCCCCTTCCTGGGAAGAGACAAAAGTAATGTGTTGACATATGTTGGGTGCCTAATGTGTTACCATTTATTATCGTTGATTCTCGGCATTCTACCGGATTTGATGATGAAGCGAGTTAGGCTGATGGAGAATGATGTAGAGAGAAACTGCTTCATGGTGGGTAACCATCAGATGTTATAATAACCTTCATCTTCACGCTGGCCTTGTACATGGTTACCACTGTACTAGGTACAAGGTACATATTAAGGCCACCGACACCACTACCGAACACTCTCTTAATATGTAGGGAAACAATAATAGAAAATCAAGGAGTGGGATGAGTCGTCTTATGCAAGTTTTCTACATGGTTTAGAGACCGTTGCCACGATGGGAGGACGATCACTTAAGAGCGGTCTGTTGATTGATTGATGAAGATTAAGCCACCGGGTAGGAGAATCCCATAAGACGGTCTATGAACTAATGTGTGTTTGATACAAAGTGGGTTTGCACGTCACATTTGTATCTTTGCGAGTGATTGGCTTGCTCAGTACTCTTGGCCCGGCCTTCGGTCTTCTATTACGAAATTAAATTAATGACACTCCTTATTTCCTTCAAAACGCTTAACCTTAACATATTACTCTTTTATCACTCCTCTATATTCATATATCAAATTCTTATATGAATTTTGGATTTAACAAAATTCACACATCCAGTCGATGAGTCACAATACTGTGGGAGAAGAGTTGACATACAAGCCACACATCTGAAAACAGGAGAAACGACGATGTGATTGATTGTTGCGGCCGAAGGCAGCTAGTTTATTGTGCACCCCATACTCATCCTGTGAGCGGTGGCGTAAAAGCATTACAGAGAGCACAAAAGGTCTTTATCAGATCTCATCTTAGATTATTACATAAACAATTTCCTCTATCCTTCACACCTTATAGTTACAATGTCAGCTAGTTACAGAGAAAGTGTTATTTCAAGAGCTATATATTTACAGTAAGTCATCATACATTAATGGTAGGTCTTATCGCTAATACATAATAGTTTGACCAATGGGGATATTGCAGAGTCATAGGGGAGCTTCTGTTTATTATTAGTCCTCACAATACACTACTTGTTTCTGAATCTCATATGTCGTTCATCTACTGGAAGCGAAATGTGGATACAGTGCAAGGATTTCAGGTAATTTATCCATGGTAATAAGATAGGTTGCCATATCATACAGAGTGAGCTTAGATTTATCTCTAAATGGCTCAATTTTACTACAATCCAAGATATAGTGTTCGAGTGTGTGTCCCTGTCTTTGTCCACACACTTTACACTGTACTTCATCTAGATCCCTATACAAGCCGAACTGCCAGAGATACTTGTAGCCAAGTCTTATACGAGCTGTGACAACATCTGTTAGTCTACTGACTTTGTTACTTGCCCCATACACATGTTTTACTTCACACATTTCATTGTGATGAATAATGGACCTGCTAATTCCAGTTTGCATAGTTCTACTTTCTTCAAATTCATCCAGGAGTTCTCGTCTAATGACACTTTTAAGGGACCTAAAAAAAGGGCACTTTTTTAGGGAGCCGGTCGGCCGAGCGGACAGCACATTGGACTTGTGATCCTGTGGTTCTGGGTTCGATCCCAGGCGCCGGCGAGAAACAATGGGCAGAGTTTCTTTCACCCTATGCCCCTGTTACCTAGCAGTAAAATAGGTACCTGGGTGTTAGTCAGCTGTCACGGGCTGCTTCCTGGGGGTGGAGGCCTGGTCGAGGAACGGGCCGCGGGGACACTAAAGCCCCGAAATCATCTCAAGATCTCAAGATAACCTATTTGATAACTCAAGATTCCGTTCAATACTGTCTTTATTTACTGCAACCTTAGCAAGGGCGTCAACTTTGTAATGTTCCTGCATGCCAATGTGAGAAGGAATCCATAACATTTTTATATATACCCTCTTGCTAAGTATTCTTATATATCTACGTCTAGCTTCCAAGACAAGCACGTTATTACTTGATTGCAAACTGTTTATTGCTCGTAGTGAGGAAAGGGAGTCAGAAATAATTAAGCTGTCTACTTCAGTGTTGTCAATAATTTCGAGTGATATATTATCAGAATTATAAGAATAATTATCAAGTCGTGTAATGACTTGATAATAGTCCAGGATGGACCGAAACGTCGACGTTTCTTCATTGCCAGATGTGTGGGTTTGGTATTAATATCACAAAGCTTTGTGACATGTTCAGATCTTAATTATAGAAATGTCTGTGTGCATAAATTCATATTTTAAATGTTATTGCTTTGAGATGTCTTTAAAAACTCTTTCAAATTATATGTGGGTCACCTCTTCTCGCTGCTTCTGGCTCCATATTTGTACATGTACTCAAGTTCTCCTTTTTTTTCCTTATTCTGATGTTGAAGAGGAGCCGCATGTGCTGGGATTTCGCTTAATGAGCCACGTCGTTTTAAACTTGTCTCTGATGGTGTTCTCGGAGATGCCCACTCCCGGCCACTTGTGGGTATCCCACTCCCGGCCACTTGTGGGTATCCCACTCCCGGCCACTTGTGGGTATCCCACTCCCGGCCACTTGTGGGTATCCCACTCCCGACTACCTGTGCCCATCTCGGCTTGATGTCATCCATTGTGTCCAATATTTTATCCACACCCACACTCTGCTAAGCTTTACTTCCCTACACAGGTAGACCAGTTAAATTTTTTATAGTGGTCATCGTTGCATTTTCATATGAGATAGAGAAATTTATCGGCTGCGTCCATCATTCCTTCTCGGGGTCTTTCTTCTGAGTCCTGAGTCGTGTGGTACCATAGACACAAAATATCACTCCGTATGCTAGACGGTTAATACCATCTTTCTTCCTCCTCGCGCGTCTCTCTCTCATTGCCACAAGATAGCCAGAAAGTATGGAGACTATGCATGTATGTTTCCATACATGTATCTTTATGTAGTGATCAGCGTAGTAAGCTCACAACCGAATGGTTTTATTCCTGTATAGGGTGAGACGCTTGGGAAAGTTTCCTTGCGCCTGATAAGAACCCATCAATAAACATGTACCCCAAAAACTGGCGACAGTTTTGGATGGCACGGTACATATCAGAGCAAATGAGCCCATGAATGTATTTCTTAAGTGCAAGGGTAATGAGTAAAGAGAACGAATTACGAGGGAATTATTGCTCATACTTCCATTCACAGTGTCAGAAGCATGTGACAAGGAACGAAGTAACTGGGTCACTGTATTTGGCGACTGACGAGCTGAAGCATCTGCTTGTGAACCGGGTTAAGTAAAAATTGTTGTGTAAACAAGACAAGGGGCATAAGTAAGTCTATGACAGCTAATCAGGTCATTAAATGCATTTACTAAATTTTCTGGGAAGTTCCTTTTTTAAGCTTTCATTTTTGTCATTCAACAAGAAAGGAAAAGGTGATTAAAATAAGACAGGAAGCTGGAATAGTAATTCTAGGTAATGGGTTTCCTGCGGAACCTTGAGAGAGAGAGAGAGAGAGAGAGAGAGAGAGAGAGAGAGAGAGAGAGAGAGAGAGAGAGAGAGAGAGAGAGAGAGAGAGAGAGAGAGAGAGAGAGAGAGAGAAGGAGGAGGAGGGATGGAGGGAGGAAGGGAGTACTTGCTCCAGCACATCTTAGAAAACAGTTAATAAAGTTCGACGAAGGTGCTCAATTGACAACGTTCCAATACATGCCCCAGGCAAGGAGGCCATTGTCACCTTGTGTCTGTCTCGGAATGTCTCGTACCAGGGTCCATGATAAAAGATAATTTAATAGAGTTGATGTATGCTGATGGGGAAAAGAGACAGAAAAGTGTTTTACATGTTTTGCTCCATTAACCCTTGCCTTCCTTTGACCCTTGCCCCTTGCCCTTCCCCGACCCTCAGACCCCCACTGGCACCCTGCCCCTATCATATAGCATCTAATATAATTAAACTTTGATACTGAAATAAACTATTTACTCAAGTTCTATGTGACGTCAACCCGTCCTAAGGGTGTGCTCGCCCAAGCAGAGGGCGTCCTCAACGCTGCATTCGTCAATGTCGTTATTTTGTGTTATCAAAAACGGTATTTTCTAAAATAAAAACAAAATTAAGAAACTTACTGAAACGTAGTGCTTCAATGAAGGTGAAGTAAAGACCCACATATATGTGTAAGTGTATTAAACACCAAATTGTCGTATGTAACCTACATCCTTTCTCAAGGTACTGTACACATTGCATATAGCAAAACTCAAAGAATCTTGTCCAGAACATTTTATACAACACTTTGGGAAAGGATATAGGCTATATCCCAAATTTTGTATTTTTATTACACTTACGCACATATATGTGGAGTCTTTCCTTCATCTTCATAAAAATAATACTATTATATATTATAGTTTACTGTATAGATGACTTAGGGTATTTTAGTAAATATGAAATGTTAACTCTTTACCTATTTCACTGGAATTTTACAATTTTTAATATGTTTGTTTTGGTAGACATGTATCTAACCAGCAACGAGCAATGAACCAACCTTGTAATGACACATTATATATAATAATTTCGTGACATAAACGCATTATTTAGTATCTCTTAAATTAGATTACAGTGTTTTCGTCTGAATCGAGAGATATTTCCAGCGCCTCGTCTCAGGTTTATAATGACCACTTTCCGTTTTCCCAAACAACAATATCACTGAGCTCATAAGAACCTGTGACGAGTCTCTGTGACATCTGCTTCTCTCGTGTCAAGTATATTATACTAATCACTTAAATTTGACTAGTTTTTGTTTCCCATAAAAAACAGAGCTATTAACCCTCCTATTGTTGACCTTGTTCCATGAGAGACCATTTCATTAATTCTTGTTTCATTGTGTTGTAATATAGCTGTGGCGCTTTCACATAGAGCAGGATATATTTTCAGGGAGAGGTGTACCCTATTTCTCATTGTATATACAGAAAGGGTTTACTATAACTCTGGACAAAGTCCAGGACTAAAGTATACTTGCTTTGTTAGTCAGTAAACTTTTGAACTCTCTAGAGGTCAACAGACCTTAAGCCCAACACGAGACATAGGTCTCGTATTGGGAGACATATACTGTATAGACATATACTGTCTAAATTGTATATGCCATGAACTTGTATGTAAACACGGAACAAAATATTAGTAAGCAACTTGCTCTCTCCTTCCTAAGCTCTAATATCATGATAGGTCAATATGGTTATATTTGCACTTTGATGGAGAAAAACAATACGAGTTAGATTAGTGATCAGGATTTTTGATATATGTTAAGTAGTAATATTTAATTTCTTCAGCACGTCAACATTAAACATTAATAATTTCACACAACAAATATCCATACAAGGATGGGATCGGAAACATAGAAATGTCCTAAATTCGAGATTTGCTGTCACCTGTCGTCTAGCAAGAGGTTCCCCAATACGTGTATACTTCAGGGATATACCCGACATTCGTCCCAAGTATATCGTCCTAGCACAAAGCGTTATGATTACCCTCAATATATAAAGAAAAAAACGTACCCCATAAGGCTGTGAGTAATTAAATGATGGAAAACTTTCATAGCATCAGATCTCAGCAACAGACCTCAGCATCGACTGTTGGCTCATTAAGATTGAGAGTGATAATTGCAGTCATAACTGAATCACGGTTGAATCACGAGCGTGAATTTAGCGCGAGAACACACGAGAGTCTCAAATGCGCCGAGAAACTTATTGCGAGAGATGACACGAAGCTGACAAGCTGATGAAATAACAAGTATTGTCTTTATCACCAAGACATACAAAACATTAATTACATTTTGATATTCAAGTCTGATTAAATGTCTGGATCGACTTTAAAAGAAAGGACTGAGAAGGCGATCACCATACTATTCCCACGGCTGACTCGTTACTTTCAACACCCCCCCCCCCGTCCCGTCCCGTCCTGTCTAGTTACGTCATCACGCTGTGTAACGATTACGTACGCAGATCCAATCACCAATTAGCTCGTACAGTAATTTGGAACGATCGTTTCCCACCCGAGAAACTGTGTGCCAGACCAACCACACACCACTCAAGCGTAGTTCGAGCTCCATTTGTTTACATTTGCTTGTTAAAACATACATAGATCGTATAGATAGAGCGCTCTATCACCTGGGCTGATAGAGCGTCGGCCCTCATAAGCTTGGGGTACCAGGGTTCGAGTCTCCCAGGGGAATGGAATACATAGATCGTATTCTGGTACAGCGGCGCCCTCATCAACTACAACACTGGTAATCATACTGTAGTAATCATACAGTGGTAAGAATACAGTACGCATATAGTAAGTATATGGATATCATATAGTAACTATACAGTGATTATTATATAGTGTAAATTAGAGAGGAGAATTATCACGGTGGTAATCAGGTAATAGAAATCATATGGTGATTTATCGCACAGTGGTACACATTTAGTGGTAATCATGCGGTGATAATTATAGTGTGATAATTATAAATTGTGAATTATAGTGAGATAATTATATATTATAAATTATTGAGTGATAATTATGAATTATATAGTAACAATCATGTATTGATGCATAATAGTGGAAATCATGCAACTATAATCATACATTGATAAAAATATAGTTATAATCATACAGTTATACATTTGTAACCACAGATCTGTAATCATACATGGCAATCCCACAGCGATAATTATGCATTTCTGTACTAGGTTATACACTAGAATTCTACATACAAAATTGGAACACAAAATATCATTCACGTGAAAATGTATGAGGCCTCGCGTTCCTACACAGGACTCTGTTCAGAGTTCACATTTTCATACAATCTTATATACACATCTAGTATGATCAATACCACCTTCTGAGTTTGTGATCGGTTGTGTTGGCTATTTATTAACATTGTATTTTTACACTCAAATGTTTGTACCTAAGAATTGATGGGATATCGGAATTTATTTTGTATTGGAATTATCGGATATATGAATGTTAGAGTGTTTAAAAAAAAGATATTCAATTTATGTTGCTTTTTAAGGTAAGTTTTAGAATTTTTTTCTTTTTGGTTACAGTGACCCCTGGCAACTACCTGGCAGCGGGCGCCCTCGTAGAAGTCACGTATATAAGCCACAGTCGGTGCCAGTTTGGCATCAGACCTTCCTCAGCTCTCCTCCTGTGCCCACCTGTGCCAACTACCCAACATGGGCTTCATACATGTGGTGAGCGAAATCGTTCCTGCATCTTTGTCCATAATGTCTTGATGTTCTATACCTCGTGCAGCGATTACTTCCGTTTGGTGTTTGTGTGTTTTGTGGCCACGTTAAGGAGACGCGAATATTTGTAGTGTGTTTGTTGGTGATGACAGGAGGTTGTTAGATGTTTTGTTTTTGTTGGTAGTGGGTGTGTGGGTGTTGGTAGTGAGTGTGTGAGTTGTGTGGGTGTTGGTAGTGGGTATGTGGGTGTTGGTAGTGGGTGTGTGGGTGTGTGGGTTGTGTGGGTGAGGTAGTGGGTGTGTGGGTGTTGGTAGTGGGTGTGTGTGACTTGCGTGTGCTGGTATTGGGTGAGGCTTTCGGGTGTTGATAGTGGCAGTTGTCTCCATAATCTTAACTGCCGCGCCATTATACTGAATACATATGAGTGTATTAAGAAGCCACAGCCAAGGACCAGGAGCGAGAAACTCATCTCTGTGGTAAAGACGAAACATTTTTGTAATTCTCGACCTAACAATAAGCTCAGTTTTGTTGTATAGAAATAAGGAAGTGAGGCATGGTGTGGCTCCTCACCCCTCACCTCATGGTGTGGCTCCTCACCCCTCACCTCATGGTGTGGCTCCTCACCCCTCACCTCATGGTGTGGCTCCTCACCCCTCACCTCATGGTGTGGCTCCTCACCCCTCACCTCATGGTGTGGCTCCTCACCCCTCACCTCATGGTGTGGCTCCTCACCCCTCACCTCATGGTGTGGCTCCTCACCCCTCACCTCATGGTGTGGCTCCTCACCCCTCCCCTCATGGTGTGGCTCCTCACCCCTCACCTCATGGTGTGGCTCCTCACTTCCCTACACTTGCTGTCACAACTTCGCGACCACATTCACATTTACTGTTAACACCGCTGGAGGATATCAACACAGTCATAGCTTACTTCAACATAATGATAAAACCAGCCACTCATTACACTATTAAATCTCAAGCTGATGTTTGGTTGACTTTAATAGTATTACTGAATAAATTACAACTACAATTTATTTTTTATGTGGTAACAGTCAGCCATATTGGTGGTAACTATTCTAAATCTTATACATCATTGTCTGACAGCTTGAAAGGTACTAATATGCACGTAAAATTAGTTGCAGTTTCGACTGGATTTCTTTAGATACTAAAAGCATCGTGTTTCATGTTGCACTGATGACTGACGCAAGGTTTTGAGTAATAAGATGGTGATGTCTCTGGTGCTACAGGTCGCTGCGGTACTAGTGGGCTTGGTAGCGGGGGATGCTGATCCTGATGCAGCCATTATCTCGCATCGAGGATCCTTCTTCCACCCGACGGCTGCTCCCCACCACGCCTTCGGTCCCACCCCGGCTTATGGAAGCGTCATTCCCTCTTACCATGCCGTTGCTTCTACTTACCATGCCTACCCTCCATACCACCAACCCTACAAGTGCCGCAGCTACAACAAGATCCCTGCTTGCTCCTACAACACCACCAAGTCTTGGTGCCTCTACGACCACGAGTACCCGGAGTACGAGATCAAGGATGCGCTACAGTACCACAAGGCCAGCGTCCTGCCCCTGTATGCGGACGTCGCCGATCTCGACACCTCCAGCTCCGTCTACCGTCCACGCTACCTGCTGGAGGAGACATATCTATGTCCCTCAGAAACCAGCTACGTCCGTCCTCTGAGGGCCGTTAACACCGATGGACACTGGAGAATAATTGTCAACAACGTGAACGTAAGTTTAATTGTTCGACTCTTAAATAATTAAAATACACCACGAACCTTTTCAATCTGACAACATTTTTATAGAGCTCATACCCTCATTACTGAGATACATTTAGGCTGCAGCCGCTTTGAACTGACACGGCGGATTTTTCATTCAACACATACAATTTTGTATTCTATGAAACAGTTTATCTTTCAAAGGCATCCCATGTATCACCGCAGGTGGACTACGAGTTCTTCACCCAGACGACCCGCTTGGAAGAGTGCCTGGGGTATAGCTCGTGCCCACTCGTCCCTCACTGCTACGAGTCTAAGTGCCTGCAGAAGTCCACCTTCCACCGCTTCCTCGTCTTCGACCCCTGCGACCAGTACTTCCCCTTCAGTGTTGAGACCTTCAAGCTGCCCGCCAGCTGCTCCTGCCAGCTTGGCGCTTACTACATCGACCATTAACTCCTCCTACTGCTCCCCTATATCTTTGATAGGAAACTTAGCGAGTTATGTATCCCTTTAAGCAAGCATTCAGGACAGTATGATAGATTCCCCGTTGAGGTCCTTAAATCCTTTTTTTTCGTGTTACATCTATGTTGTAGAATTTATTATGTTGTAGACAAACTTTTCTTCACTTTTTATATTAAAATAGAACATTATCGTGAAGCAGTGTAGTGAACGTAGACGACAGAGTTCCTGTCACAAGCTCGTTAGAGAGAGTGTTAAGCTTCTACTTTCAGGCCAAAGCATCCTAACCACGATGGTACAAAGAAAACTGAAATCAGATACAAAATTCCAGAACTTAGCCAGAGAGGCTGATGATTTTTTGGTGTTTAAGGTCCTCCTGTGAATACAACTCCGCTTCCCTAGTACCGTCGTGTTTAAACAAATGTCCTCGTATAAAAGAAATCAAAGTATACAAGCACGTAACACGTATATATTCTAGAATCTCAGAGTAGAATAGTTGTAGTGCATCTTCGTCTGAGGATCTCTTAGATATTTAAGAAACATTCTTATAGTATTATAAGTCCTAACTTACGCAGCAAGCGACTCTTTCCTAGGTGTCCCAGGAATATATATGCCTTCGTTTTTGCTCTTATGTGAACGATTTTTTTTAATAAAAAAATAACCTCTCCCTTAGACCAACAAAACAATGCCTTTGCATTGTAATAAAGGAGGCAGCAGCACCGCCCCCCCCTTCTATGATGGTACAAAGAAAGCAGTTCTCTAGTCATCACGACCAAGACCCCTTTGTTCCTCCCTCTCCTCTCTCCCACTCTCCCTCCCTCCTTCACCTGCCAGACATAAAGTGAAGGCCAATACATGTATGCATATATATCCGCCTCTCGCCCATCGTGTCTTTCATGTCCATTTATGTACTAAAAAGTATTTATATATATATTTATTGGAAATAAAGGTTATTGTGTAATTAAGTTTTTTCTGCCTGACAATCAGTGTAACAATCAATTCATTGTTCCAGACGTTATTATTATGTCTGCTGAACGGCTCACTGGAAGAACATTAGTGTTTTGTGCAGGCGATGAGTCACAATAACGTGGATGAAGTATGTTGACCAGACCACACACTAGAAGGTGAAGGGACGACGACGTTTCGACTTGAGAATGGTCCAGGACGGACCGAAACGTCGTCGTCCCTTCACCTTCTAGTGTGTGGTCTGGTCAACATTAGCGTTTTGTGTCTTGGACACATACCCGACTTGAAATTGGCCTTGGTCAGTGGTCTATTATGCCCCTTCCTATACTCAATTTTTCCAGTCTATCTCTCCATCTCCTCCCTCCCCACTCCTCCCCCATGTCTCCCCCTACCTATCTCACCCTCCATCCCGTTTCCTCCATTAATACTCCCTCCCTCAGTCCCCCTCTCCAGGAAGGAGAGCGTAGGAATATTATTCGTTTTAAACATTATCACATAAATATCAGCAATGTGAGTCTGCAATAATGTTACTGGATGGACGGAGAGAAGAGGAACAGGTTGGGGAGGCGGGAGGGATAAGTGGGGTAGACAGAAAAAGAGAGGTGGGAATGACAGGAGGAACAGACAGCAAAACAGAAGAGATAGGTGGGGGAAAGAGAAGGAGAGTGGGAGAGACAGGAGGGACAGATGAAGAGGACAGGAGGGGGCAGGTAGGTGACGCACATGAAAGAGTTACGGAGGAATAACAATGCAAGTCAATACGTAGGATGACTGGCACAATTTTTTTAATACAGATACATCCCATCATCTTCAATGCCTGATTCGACGCCCTCCTGAGGACCCGAAACCATTCCCTTTCCATGGACTGTCTCACAATCCTTAATTACAGACTTCCCACTAATATTTCCTCTTCCCCTCCATTCCAATAACCACTTTCCAATCCTGATATTCCTATCCCAATCCTGCTGTGACTGCTGCTATGCTCCCTGAAGCTTCTCCCGTACTTCCAACACTCTTTTCACCCACAGTCCTTAGTCAATTCTTCCCCCCTGACTGCAGACTAAAAGTTAAGAGACGGGGGTCCAGGAGGTGGAGTTCAACCCTCAGTACTAACAAATTTATCCACCCGAACACACTATCTTACCAACACACATATATGTAAAGCTAGACAAAAAGTCAACACATACACACAGCATAAACACACTTGCGTCTCCACACGACACCAAACACACACACGTTTTCCCAGATAACACTCAGCCACACACCTGAAGCACAAGCACCCTCAGATGCCACTGGCCTTATGCCGTGCTGTTGGTGCATAACGGACACGTTATGCGGCTGTACTGCTGCCAGCCAGGTGTTGAGTAGTCACGTGAGAGGACGGGAGGCCGCCACTGGCTGGCACGCGGCCCACCACCTCACATGATGACGGCTCTGCCACTCAGGCTGCCACCCACCTGTCTGCACTCTCCACAATGATATTTATTGGTTTGGTGTCCTGGTTGTGGCCTATCAGCCGCGGGAGGCCTAGTGGCTTTACAAGAATATGCAATTTTATCTGCACTGACAACCCACTGCACCTTCTTTGCATGTAAATAAAGGAATACAAATATATTAAGGCCACCACAATAGCTTACTGACCCGCCAGCAATTGTATTTTAATCCTTAACATAAGTCAAGACTAAATACACACTGACTACACATACCGAGAAGTGTAGTACACTTCACGGAGCATAATACCTCTCTATATCATATATTTAATAATCTAATTAGATGTTATTGTTGATAATCTTCGATTCTACAGCTTGTGTAAATTGATCTGGTCATTTGAAAAATGTAGGGCTAATTACGGATATTTACAAATGGGAATTGTGTGGTATTTAAGAAACAAATAATTAGGGAGTTAAGACTGGCGCCTATAATTACAGAAGAGTCATAAGGCAGGTAGTATTGGTGCCCAGTCTCAAGACTATGAACTTGAACTGCATAAAACTCTGCTTAAGATTAACGATGACACTATCAAGTGACATAATAACCTGTTTCATAATCTTACTAATACTTCAATCAATGAGAATATTGGTAATGAGGAATGTAAATATTGTGAATTATATTGCATTACACAACGGTTATAAGGGGGGATGGGGGTAGTCTCATAGAAAACGATGTCAAGCGAGGAGGACTCTTGTAGATCTGTCACCCCACTCACGTGATCTCACTCCCACTCATATTGAATCGCCACTCTATGCTTTTAAATGACCATATCCGGCGCTTCGTTCCGTGTACCTTTAGGAAATTGTATCTTGCCTGTATCATCACAGTCGGTCCACAACCGAAAGGTCCCAGCATCCGCTTCCAAGAGGAAGGCTAATTGTTTGCCTTGTGTGAAATAAGAAATCAAACCAGTTACTTTCCATACCCAATGAGATCACGATAGCGTGATATAACAATGAGTTATAGCGCCGCGTGTGTCTGGGGTGACCCAGGACGCTGGTACCATCCCCCTTTCTGCTCCTTAGATTTTCTCAGCTACTTTAGGTTCACACGTCATAGTACCAGACTTGTAAAACTACTCTGCACGCTAACATGAACGTGTATCAGGTTTTCCCAAGGATTCATACACCAATACATTGAACTTCCCCTGTCTAGGCTGTGGGCAGAGAAGTAGTGGGGGAGTGGGCGGACGAGAAGGATGGTTTGGTTCAGCAAGAGGAAGAGGGAATTTAGCATGTGGATTGAAGAGCTGCCTTGCGACCTGTCTTGCATTAATCAACTCCGGGTTGCCTACAACACACACGCAGAGTGGTAGACGGTTGGAACAAGTGAGGAGGTGCTGCACGCAAAACCCGTCGGTAGTTTATAGCGTCATAGACAAAAAGAGTATTGGGAAGACGGGACACCACAAGTATAGCTCTCATCCTGTAACTACGCAGGTAATTACACTCAGGTGATCTCACACACACACGCACAGAACGATTGATACAAGGTCTCTAACCTCTTCTCTACCTCTTCTCTAACCCCCATTACCACCGCTGCTCCCTTCATCAATACTTCTCACCTTCGTTACAGACAGCTGCCGCTCGCCGTCTCTACCTTCGCCAATATAACAACTACTGCCTAATTCTAGTAACTAACATAGCTATTTTGAACGCTAATTATTATTATTATTGTTGTTTATAATTATCAAAGTTATTAAGAAGAGTCGTGGCTTATTCCACCAAGCCTAGAGTGTAAGATTTCAAAGAGAAGAAGTATTACTACACCAGAAAAAGCAAGACCCAATAAGGTGGCTGAAAACCAACACGTGTGAAATGAAAGTTACGACGTTTTGGCCCCGTCTTAAACCCTTTTCAAGTCCTGTCACGACTAGACAAGGGTCCGAGACGGACTGAAACATCGTTACTGTCCATTCACATGCCTGGGTTGGGTAATTTACTAAAATGATCTTCTCGGATCATGCCGTAAGAAAAACTTCAGGTTTTCCACAGTAAATGTTTTGACCACAAGCGAGTGACAGCCAGAGGTCTGCTGTGCTGCTCATGTCAAACGTGCGATTCAAATCTTTACTAAGAAAATATTAATTATGGAGCATTGTTATTTCGCCTCACCACCTCATACAGTCTCACACACACACACACACACGCGCCTTGCAGAGAGAAGGGAGTGAAATGCTCAGCTGTGTCAAGGGCACTGTGAGGCAGGCGTGGTCCTCACTGCTCCTGTTTACATCAACACCTTCAGTCATCACTATCTGTCTCCATCAACACCTTCAGTCATCACTACCTGTCTCCATAAACACCAGTCATCACTACCTGTCTCCATAAACACCTTCAGTCATCACTACCTGTCTCCATAAACACCAGTCATCACTACCTGTCTCCATCAACAACTACAGTCATCACTACCTGTCTCCATCAACACCTTCAGTCATCACTACCTGTCTCCATCAACACCTTCAGTCATCACTACCTGTCTCCATCAACACCTTCAGTCATCACTACCTGTCTCCATCAACACCTTCAGTCATCACTACCTGTCTCCATCAACACCAATCATCAGTACCTGTCTCCATCAACACTGTGAGGCAGGCGTGGTCCTCACTGCTCCTGTTTACATCAACACCTTCAGTCATCACTATCTGTCTCCATCAACACCTTCAGTCATCACTACCTGTCTCCATAAACACCAGTCATCACTACCTGTCTCCATAAACACCTTCAGTCATCACTACCTGTCTCCATAAACACCAGTCATCACTACCTGTCTCCATCAACAACTACAGTCATCACTACCTGTCTCCATCAACACCTTCAGTCATCACTACCTGTCTCCATCAACACCTTCAGTCATCACTACCTGTCTCCATCAACACCTTCAGTCATCACTACCTGTCTCCATCAACACCTTCAGTCATCACTACCTGTCTCCATCAACACCAATCATCAGTACCTGTCTCCATCAACACCAAGTCATCAGTTTCTCTGCATTGCATGACTTCCGCAGGCCTGTCGTTGATATACAAGTTTCGTAAAGCAGGAAGATACATTTTTTAACTTTTATAGGTGGTCTACGTATCTTGTTCCCGGTAATACATGGTGTGTTAATAAAACAAAGAAAACTTTAACACCTGCAATACGTGTATCTTGCACACACAAAATAATGATGACATAAAATATGAAACAAAAAGCTTAAACATAAATTATAACTCAATGACTCGACAACAAAATAATAAAGTACAAAAACACAAAACGTTACATTACCTTCACGACCCACAACTCTTACCGAACTAACTGAGCAGTTCAAGTACCTTTATTGAGACAACACAATACTTCTCGAAGGGGATAGAGTAGCTGAGGATATTTCTACCCCTCGACTGGAGCAGTTCAGTAAGATTAGTGTAGTTTTGACCTTCACAGACCAGCGTCCAAAAACGACTGAATAGTGGCATAGTTCGCCGGCACTTGACGTGACCTCCCTCCCCCCCCCTCCCCCCTGGAGCACGGGTGGCGTGATCCCAAACTACTTGACTGGGTAGTTACATGGTGAGCCATAGCAAAGGCACAGAATGAAAGTCACACACCAACGAACACATAATACTGTGAAAAATATAATAGTTTAATATCATAATACAGAATGATGTATACATGGTAAGGGTATACGAAGCCTTGAGTTGACGTGAAGTGTTCGATAGCCAAACCCCGAACACATGATAACCCGAACACAGACACAGAGGGTTATCATGCGACACCGCCGCCGTGTTTACATAAACACGTCACAGGTAGATGGGATGTGGAAAATAGGTCTTCAGTCTCGTTTGTTTGCTCTAATGTTGCTCTTTTACCCATAAACCCTTGTTTGAGACACAATTGTCTTATCAGCTGAGCTAACGGCTGTCTCTCGTTACCTGGGGGGGGGGGGCAGTCGGCACTGACCACGACACTGACCACGGCACACTGACCACGGCACTGGCCATGGTCAGTGCTCACTGGCACTGAACAATCTCGCTGGCAGAACAATCAAGATCACGCTGTGATGAGGCCCTTCAACTTAATGATATTGCTTTCCTAATCTTCTGTGGCCTTTGGGAAGGTTGTGTCTATAGATTTTATTCCGAGTGCAATTGTTTGTGTCTGTTGGATGCCTTGCACGGTAGTGGAGAGAGAGAGAGAGAAGGGAAGGGAACTATGAGGAGGAAGCGCCAAGCCATTAAGAGAGAGAGAGAGAGAGAGAGAGAGAGAGAGAGAGAGAGAGAGAGAGAGATATGAAACCCTCAGACAATTGCATTTCCAGGTATATTCCTTAATAAATACGTGCGTTTCTCAGTACCTTTCTCAATCAACAGCTTTATTTCTCAAAATATGAGTCCATCACCTTCATTCTTAAATTTCAGGAAGGAGTTATTTCCTGTAGTACACATAATATGTTCTCTGAAATCTCCCAGATATTATAGATAGAGCTATCTCTGCACTGTGTGGTCACCCTCTCTTTCTCCATTAACATTTGAATTAATTGAAAACGCCTTGTTCCAAAAAGTAATTTGATCTTAAGTGAACTTTTTAGAAGTGTGTAATCCACTTTGAATAAGCGAGTGAACATAGTTTTGGGCTTGTGTAGGTTACTTTATTTATAAGTGACGCAGATTCACTCCGGACGACTGGTCATATAGGCAGCTCAGCCAGTGTGTGTGTGTTGGGTCGCGCATCAGTTGGTGGGCGATCATGATTACATAATACAGTGGATGAAGAACAAATGTATATAAACCTCGGGTGAGCCAACATCCTTACAGAGGCTCCTCTGAACACGAGGCAACATGACACTGAAGGCACTGGTAAGCGCCCTCCACTCACTGGGTGGAGAGCTGCATGGGCGAGGTGCTGGAGGGAATCACTATAATGTGAAAAGGAAGATCACACGAACTGTTATACCATTATCAAGTTGCAGAAATTGATAATGGTTCAGGACGGACGAAAACGCCGTCGTTTCTGCAATTCTTGATGTGTGGTTTGGTCATCACACGATGTGTTGCCTCGATCTTATTCGATAAAATGAATTCCCTAACAAATGCTTCATAAATAACTTAGTCCTAGAGTTTCCTGATAGATTGAGAGTTACTAAAAGGGCTCCTTTTTATATGATATCCATCATTTTGAAACAATGATAATGTTCACACCTAGAAAAAAGATTATATTTGGTTTAATATTTTTGTTTTAACAATTCAAGTATTTTTATTTATTCTTTGATTAAGTTTGACTTTTTCTGCATCTTTTCCTATCTTTCACATTCGTTTCAGTCGATTAAAATATATATATAACTTAGGAAAAACGATGCCAAAATATGATTCCCAGAGCGTAGTCAGGAAGATTATTAACGTGACTTTCCTGTACTCTGACAGACGCTGGTGATGGCGGTGGTGGTGTCAGCAGGTGCCACCTCGACCAGCCATGTGAGCATCAGCCTCGGTAACGGAGGCAGCATCCAGTATGGCAGCGACCACGGCTCATCACACCATTCCTCATCCTACGATGCACAAACACCAGCCCGGTCTTATGGCCCAGCTCCGCCCTACCATCCTGCTGTACCCGCCTGTGCTGCTCTCACTAACTCTTTCTTGTGCCTCGAAGACGAGGAATACCCTGAGTACGAGGTCAAGAACGCCATCGAAAACCACTTGGACAAGTTCAATTCTCTTTACGCTGACGTGGCGGAGCTTGACACCAAGGTCTCCGTAGAGCGTCCCAATACCTTATACGAGGAGACTTACCTCTGTCCCTCAGAGACCTCTTACATCCGCCCACTTCGTGCTCAGAACACCGACGGCAATTGGCGCGTCATCGTCAATGGCATCAGTGTCCATTACAAGACTTACACACAGACCGCCCGCATCGAGGAGTGTCTCACCGCTGGCAAAGACTGTCCTCTGGTGCCTCAGTGTTACGAGTCCAAGTGCCTACAGAAGTCCATCTACCACCGCTTCCTCGTCTACGTCCCCTATGATCAGTACTTCCCCTTCGCCATCGAGACCTTCAAGCTGCCCGCCAGCTGCGCCTGTCTCCTGGGCGCCTACACCATTTACCACTAAACGTCTTATTCCACGAATAACTAGTATTTAATACTGAATCTAAACATTGAATGTGAAATTAACGCTGTGTCCCACACCTCATGACTATGTCCTTTTGTAACTCCTATATTAGGTGATATCCAGTCCCTGTGGGACTAGATATCATGTGGTGGTTCGTGAAGAAAGCAGTTCTCTAGTCCTCCAACGTATCTGCATCATTCGCTGTTGTGCATTATACTCAATAAACATGGATACGAGCATCATAAGTACTTAATTCACTCATTTCAGCCACATTGTCATTTATGTGATTGAGGAAATATTATCAACAAATATTGTTTTCTTTTTTAGTGAATAATAATGATATTTTATGAGCATTATATTTTAAATTAACAAAATCTTGCATCGTATAAATAATGAGAGATGCAACGGCAATTTGATTAATGTATCTCTACCACTGGAACGTTTCCCATGATAAAGCTACAGAGGATACTTTTACACGAACAAAAACGAAAAGAACACCAATGTAATGATTGAATAGGACAGAATCACTGTAAATAATGGCTTCTTGAACGGCTTTAAGTATAATTCAGATGAGAAGATCCTAGTAATTCAAGCAATTCTAAGTAACTCATAACAATTCAGGAAATATATCAACATGCTGGCAGGTAGGCAAGCATTAGCACTGGTTATAATAACCGACACTGCTGACCATATCTGCATTCCCTGCATATTGTGACCACCTCGCATGCTGGCTCTAATTGCACATAGTGACGTTTGTAAGCAAAATAGGCTGCCAGCGGACGTCCACGAGAAAGGTTAGAAAACTGCGACTGCTAAAATGCTCTAGGTCCTAGAGCCTAGGTCCTAATGTCCTAGAGCCTAGGATAATACCGTGTCTGTTCAGGGTCGTGCATGACCGAGGTGCTAACGAGTAAATAACAATCTTCAAGTCACACACACACACACACATAAAACCGTCTGCCATATAATATAATTACCACTATTCTGGCATTCCTGTCCAACGTCATACTAATAGTTAGACAAAATCATGGACAGGGCCACGAATCTACATGTAGTGAGAATGCTCCCGATTCAACGCCGTATATTCACTCTCCAACACAGAGTACATGCTCCACAATTAGCTTTTCCTGCAGCTCACTCCATAAAAGATAACGCACTTCGGTTGGGTTAGGTTAGGCTCATTTTTCTTTGCTTATAGGCCTTCTTAGGTAAGGTTAGAATTTAGGTTAGGTTAAGTTAGGTTGGGACTTACGCTCTCGGCATTTCTGTGGGTAAATCCGCGAAGCAGCCCACAAGACCGGAACAGTCCATCAGTGGGTCAAAATACCTGAACATGTGAAGCCTTTCTCAAGCTCCCACTTCCTTTAGCACTAGACGAAGGCCTGCAAGAGGGAGGTGCTCTGATATATAAGATCTTTATGCAACGATGGCTACTGTATGTATTGGCTACAGTAGCCTTAACAACATTTCTCACAATTCTAAGGTACTGAATAAGATTGGATGATCTGCAAGAGATTCAAAATTTAGCGTCATTCATAGCACTATATGGTTCCATAATGATTATCTCGTTGAAAGCAACTATTTTATAATTTATTCTCAACTCAGTTTCACAGTGTCTAAGCCATATCTGGAGGTACATTCTACACAGTCGCGACTTCCTCCTTCAGGCAATAACTCTTCCTGAACCTCTTCTTTCATGGCGGAACCTGAACCTTTTCTTCCACGGCTGAACTATATGTAAGAGAGGTATACTGCAGCCAAGATATAACCACATACATAGAAGCCGAAAATACTCCTTAACTTTCATCTCTGTTTATGACCGCAAGGGTGTGGTTTAGCTTCCCATATTCCTTAATACTTTGTTTTTTAACGACTAGAGAATAGTTTTAGCTTGCACTTCAGTGGGTCACCTGAGCGAACTTGAGCGTTATGCATTGCAACCGAGTTTCAACACGTTTAAGCTACTAAACGTGATATTTCGAGAACTTGGCTCGTTTTTTCCACCCATTAACATAAATCTAATTGTTTGCCTTTATATTATTCTTAAGAGACTTCAAGTCATTGCTTAAGTCAGGGTTGTTGCCCGTGAGTTTATTTAATATCATAAAGTTGTTCAAATTGACACATCGTAAATAAAAGGTTAATTCAGTGTCAATTTTCTTGTTGGTCATTTACTCAGTGATCCTCATTAGTGAATTTATTCCATGCTATTTGACATACATACACAGACACACACAACTGGGTGAATACACACACACACACACACACACACTCTCTCTCTCTCTCTCTCTCTCTCTCTGACCGTCACCACAAACAACCGCATTTAGTGGACTAAGATCTTCTTAGCCTTACCTGTGTAAAGCTGTCAAACATATTTGCATTTTTGTCCATTTTCATGTTGACTTTCCCTTCCAACATTTCATTGCATATTTAAATAATTCTAAAAAAATACGTTTTCACTGCAGAGTTTGATAAAAATAAATAAATATTTACCCTCGTGTTATAATATCCCTGTGAGCTTCCTCTTCATAATTACGTAACCTTAGTATACATTAATTTATAGTATGAAGTTTGGTTGAGAAGGGAATCAATAGTTTAACACATTGTACCTTGTTCATCAGCACCCTCTCAAGACACTATACTTCACAAGCCTTCACACCATAATACCAGACTCTCGTTATCAGTGATTGTGATTTATCTTCAGAAATCGTATTGAGTTGGGCTGTGTTTTAGGTAGAATATGTATTATCCACGATATATGACGTTTGGGTTTGGGAGTTATAAATTACTACTGCTTGGAAGGGAGAGAATGAGAGAGAATGAGAGAGAATGAGAGAGAATGAGAGAGAATGAGAGAGAGAGAGAGAGAGAGAGAGAGAGAGAGAGAGAGAGAGAGAGAGAGAGAGAGAGAGAGAGAGAGAGAGAGAGAGAGAGAGAGAGAGAGAGAGAGAGAGAGAGAGAGAGAGAGAGAGAGAGAGAGAGAGAGAGAGAGAGAGAGAGAGAGAGAGAGAGAGAGAGAGAGAGAGAGAGAGAGAGAGAGAGAGAGAGAGAGAGAGAGAGAGAGAGAGAGAGAGAGAGAGAGAGAGAGAGAGAGAGAGAGAGAGAGAGAGAGAGAGAGAGAGAGAGAGAGAGAGAGAGAGAGAGAGAGAGAGAGAGAGAGAGAGAGAGAGAGAGAGAGAGAGAGAGAGAGAGAGAGAGAGAGAGAGAGAGAGAGAGAGAGAGAGAGAGAGAGAGAGAGAGAGAGAGAGAGAGAGAGAGAGAGAGAGAGAGATATTCCCTGGAGTTAAGGAACTGTTGATGAAGTTGCATGCTAGAGAGGGTCAGTAGTATGACCTTGAAGGTAAGGGGGAAAGGGGCACCTCGATACAAGCCTTAAACATATATATAGTATATACTAAGGTTTTCTCTCCCGGTCAAAACCAATTGCAGTCCACTGATCATTGTAAATACCTCAACTCCCTTCTTAAGGTTCCAGGTTCATTGGTGGCATTGTTGAGCAGTTGTTCCCTGACTCCGTAACATTCCTCGCGGTCTGATGCATAGCAATGTCAACAAGAGCTGCTTGAGAGAAAGGGAAGCTCTCCTCCTCGTTGCACACGCATTGATCCACCGGTGATCGCCTTGGCTGTGGCTATGTGTACGGCACCGATGGTTTTGTTTACACAAGAGGTAGGGCTGGTATCACTGCTGTGTGATTTATTTGTTGTTTCTGCGTTTGATGGTGTTTTTGCTGTTATTGTTTTGATTTTCATGTTGTCAGTTTGTTTTTGCTGTTGGTGCTGGTGACGGTGGTTGTGAGTGTGTGAGTTTTTCCACTTCGCTATATTTCATGTTTGTTGTTGATGTGTGAAGGGTTCTCTGCCTGGGAAATGGAAACAAAGAAACCAGATATCAACTACATAATGTAGTAATTAGCACGTCCGATTCTAGGTGGGATCTGGGATTCGTGATTACTAAGTTATCTGTAACGAAGTAAATAATGGATAAGTGTATGAAATAGAGCCAATAACTTAATAGGATTTATATCGGTAGTAATGGAAATTATGCTCTAATCCTTTTAATTGACATTACTCAGATAAGAACCCCACATGGCTTATGTGGTTCAACTTCTACTATAGGTTACATTTACTTTTTCCAGAAAGTGTTTTGATATTCCCAAGCATTAGGAATCTTCCTTGTGATGAGAGCTTCAGAAAGCTAACTTTACGTCCGGCGCAAAAACAAGAAAAACATTACTGAAATATACCAGTGAAAAAGATGGTTAATATTGGAGATATAAAAGGGGCCCATACATTACCAACTCAAGACTGAACTTAAAAGAGTGAATTAAAATTAGAAAAGTTTAGAATTATAAAATAAATAGCTAAGAAATTGTTGGGAAATAGGAATATAGATGTATTCACCTAGTTGTACTTGCGGGGGTTGAGCTCTGGCTCTTTCGGACCGCCTTTTCCAAATATATGGAACCATTTATGAAGTGGCATCATAGGCGCAAATACAATGGGTAGGTTTACAGCCAGTTGGACAAAGCTGCGAATGAGAATAATTTAGTATAAATTGGGCTTGCCTTGCATAAGCCCCGAGGCCTTCAGCTTTCTGTTCGTTACTCCCATGATCTTATTTAATAATAATATCATAATTTTTATACATCACTTAAGTATACTGGTTTATCATCCTCATCACACATACACACACACTACTCGCCATTCACGCAGTTGTACTGATGTTCTTACTGTCTGTATCGTCCAATAAAACCTCAACCATCAAACAACATAACAACACAGATATGGATTATTATTTTAACTGAAATTATAATAACTCTACGTCAGCACACAGTTGCCAAACAAACTTGTTTTATATGACGACTGAAATAACAACCATTTCTGAAACTATCATCGCAGCCGCAGTCAAGGGTAAACAACACTATCAAGGTCCCAGACCTTACGACATGGCCACCTAGAGGACCTCCATGACATGGCCACCAAGAGGACCTCCATGACATGGTCACCAAGAGGACCTCCATGACATGGCCACCAAGAGGACCTCCATGACATGGTCACCAAGAGGACCTCCATGACATGGTCACCTAGAGGACCTCCATGACATGGCCACCAAGAGGACCTCACCTACCTCTTTCACTGAGCCTTAATTCTTCCCAAAGTAGCTGCTGTTAACTCCCCTTTACTGCCACCACCAACGCCGCCTTCAACACGCCTCAACCACCACTACCACTACTACTAATACTCAATGTATAGGTTCGAACCCTCATCACGGCTCCTGTGGATTTGTTCTTTGATATGTCACGTTAATGTGATTTCTCTGTGTACTAACATCACTATCATCAACACCACCACCATCATACACTATAACACCATCAGATCACCACCACTGCCACCACACACCTCCTTCACCCACAAATACAACCACAACCACTATCACTACGACCACAACCTCCACCACTAACACCACAACTACCATCACTAACACTACAACCACCACTACTAACACCACCACTAACACTACCCAAGAATACCGGGTGATCTCACCACATCTCCCGGTATTATTTCAGCACTTCCCCTGAGTCGACAAAAATCAACCCAAGGTCAGTGTCAGTTGTTGGGGTGGAAGATGTCTGAGTGAACAGTCGGAGCTCTGGAGGTCACAGTGCTTCGGGAGGTCACAGTGCTTCAGGAGGTCACAGTGCTTCGGGAGGTCACAGTGCTTCAGGTCACAGTGCTTCGTGAGGTCACAGTGCTTCGGGAGGTCATAGTGCTTCGTGAGGTCACAGTGCTTCAGGAGGTCACAGTGCTTCGGGAGGTCACAGTGCTTCAGGAGGTCACAGTGCTTCGGGAGGTCACAGTGCTTCGGGAGGTCACAGTGCTTCGGGAGGTCACAGTACTTCGTGAGGTCACAGTGCTTCGGGAGGTCACAGTGCTTCGTGAGGTCACAGTGCTTCGGGAGGTCACAGTGCTTCGGGAGGTCACAGTGCTTCGGAAGGTCACAGTGGTGATGTTGATTATGGTGCTTACCAGTCAATGTTTACGGGGGATTGATCGATGAAGATTAAACCACCCCAAGAGGTGACACTATCAAACTGAAGTTCTTGGGACCCGCCTTTCCAGCGCCCCAGTTGTCTGATGCGACGACGCCCGGCCATTTTTTTCTATCGTATCTACTTTTAAAATTATAAATAATGTTCGATTCTACAATATCTCTCTCTCTCTCTCTCTCTCTCTCTCTCTCTCTCTCTCTCTCTCTCTCTCTCTCTCTCTCTCTCTCTCTCTCTCTCTCTCTCTCTCTCTCTCTCTCTCTCTCTCTCTCTTTTTCTCTGTTACTGCTTACGTCTTTCTTTGTCCCTGTCTCTGCCTTTGTCTGTCTGCCTGTCCGTCTGTCTATCTCTCTGACTCTTTTTAACACCTGCTTTACCGCAGTCCCACCTCCAGTTCACTTATTCTGTCTCACCAACCACATAATTCACACCGTGAAACGCGCCAGTCTCAAAAACACCTAATAATCCCGGTAATTGCTTCAAAGACGCTTATAATTATTGTGTGGCTATGTGGTTTCTGTTCGCACGGAGGACCTTCTGTAGTCATTATTTTTATAATGATCACTTCGAGGGAAATCGTGATGAGATGTTTGATCCTCATTTGGGCCGCACCCTACCCTGTACTGAACACAGGTTACATCTGTATCTTCTTAGAGACACTTACCCCCGTCTGTAAATCCCTGTCTACGCTTGTTCACTTCTAGAAATACCTAAAAACACACGCTAACTTTTCGGCATGGCTGCTCAGACACGGAAAAAGGTGAAATGTGAGCAGTTTCGTCATAATATTTTGCCCCTTCCTCATAGCCAAGTCAAAACTTTCAGCCTAACATCAATATATTATCACTAGTTCACCATCGTAAATAAACTTGGCTAACTATCATTCACTTGGCGAAATTAACCTCTATTAATGTTAATACATCAAGTAAAACACAATTAAACCATCAACTGTGACGTTAGATGTGGGTAGTGTTGCTTTAATTAGCTGGAGACTTTCACACCGACGGCCCAGTATGGCAGCCAGCAAGGCAAGCTGGAGGTTTTGGCGGAAGGGTGAGGAGCAGGTGATGGCATTGTCGTCACTGACAATTGGAGCTGAGCCTTCTTAGTCCAATGTACAAAAATTGTGTCAAATTTCAAGTGACAGTCATGGAAATACAGACAATAAATCACAATATCGTGGCTGAAAGCTAGACACCCAACCCACACATCTAAAAATAAAGGTGACGACGTTTTGGTCCGTCCTGGATCATTATCAAGTCTTGGATGGACCGAAACGTCGTCACTCACTTTATTCTCGGGTGTGGGCAGGGTGTCAGTGGAATATACGTGACCTTCACGATGGTCAAATTCACATTTCTAATTACACCTCGGAAACTAAAAGAACCACATACTTCCGGTTTGTTCCAGATGAACTAAACAAATATTTATGTAAGTCATGGTATCTAATGATCTCGTATATTTTTATTTCAACAATATATTGCAATTATTTGGCCATCATTGCCGCCACCACCACAAGCCTGAACCTTCAATCGAGTACCTTGAGGCTTCGGTACTTGGAGCAGTTAGAGTTCCCGGAAATTACATTTGATGATAAACCTTCGGAATTTAATTTTCAATTTTCTTAATATCTTCTCAGAGTGATTTGTGATTGTATAGGGCAATGATTTATTTTTATTTAATATGTTAAATTGTTTGTTTTCTTGTGAGTCTCTAAAATTCCCGTGTGTAGACCACATATTTATGAATAATATAGGAATTATATTTTATATATGCCAGCATTTTTAATCTTGAAAACTCTCGCATTCTGTTGGCGTCATAAAGAAACAGGTAAATACATTAACTTTGTTTTTATTTTATTTTTATTTTTTTAATCTCGAAAAATAAAAACTAACAGATTCCCATTGATTATTAACTTTAAATGTTACAAGAAAGGGATTTTTGACAAGCATAAATAATTTTTGTAAAACTAAAACACCGTAAAGATTATGACAAAAACATGGCGACACTTCACCATGTGCACATGACACTTATATATACGAATTTAGATAGTACTGTGCAACACTAACGTCTATAATTTTATAGCATAGATCAGCTAAAAGGAACTTGTGTCCATCTATAGGGTGCAGAAAACAAGGAAGGAAGGAATTATCAGGGGGAAAGTGTAAAGCCATTATGACAGTATAGAATTTGGAAGGGGTCAAGATAAGAATTTGGGATGGGACGGGGGGGAAGGAATGGTGCTCAACCACTTTGAGGGTTAGGGATTGAACGCAGTCCTGTATGAAGCGAGACCGTCGCTCTACTGTCCTGCCCAAGTGGTCGGGCACCACTAGGGAACTGGACGGGAACTGAGGAACAGTTCCCGTCCAGTTCAGGGCAGAACAGAACTGTCTCCCGAGTTCCCAACAGAACAGGGCAGACAAGGAACTGAGATAAGTAATGGGCACGGATAAAGAAAAGTATTGTTTTAGCAGCATAGACTTGTAATCTACTTATATGTTAAAACAAACTAGGTTTCTACTTATTATCTGTTAAAATGATGATACATCTGACTTTACAATTCTGCTCTTTATATGATGCTTAAAAGAAAATTAATGCTAAAAGGTTTGCTAGTCTATGAAAATTTAATTGATTTTAATGCTGTATTACAGTGTTACTGTATAACTTTATTAATGCATTTCAGTATCTCTGTATTACTGTAACATTGTATTACTATATCTCTGTATAAATGTACTACTGTATTTTTAATCATGGCACAAACTGTATCTCTGTACTGTCTGCCGAGTCCCTCCCCCAAGTGATGACGAGACATGGAGACGTTGTGACAGAGAGGTCACCACCCTACCTCTATTCACCTTCCTGTCTCCTGAAAGGTACCGTAATATATCAGTGCTCCCTCATGTAGTGAGTACCTATGTTTTTTCAGTGCTTAAATTAGGATACTAAGAGAAGTCATAAATAATCGTAATCCATTATTTTATTTGAGTATTTTTATAATATTTGCGATTACATATAACGGAAAACTTAACACAGCTAATTGTAACAACGCAAAAATGAGAATGTAAGCTGAGAGCTCATTGTAATGGAAACATAAAGACATCAACAACCAACAAATGCATATATTGAAATTATCGAACTGCATTCTTCACGTATTTCGATGTTTGTAGTGATCAGAGGCGGAGTCCTGCTCCACCTGCCCCAACGCCACAGGGAACCTCTTGCTTAGCGTGAGTGGCTAAACTTGTTGAAAGACTTTAAATTATTTTTGGCCTAACGTACATTATTTCTAACATGTGGAGAAGTATTTGAATGTCCTTAGTGGTCGATGGTAGATGCGTCCAGGAGACAGGCGCAGCTGGCGGGCAGCTTGAAGGTCTCGATGGCGAAGGGGAAGTACTGATCATAGGGGTCGTAGACGAGGAAGCGGTGGTAGATGGACTTCTGAAGGCACTTGGACTCGTAACACTCAGGCACCAGGGGACAGGCCTGGCCAGATTTCAGGCACTCTTCTATACGGGTACTTTGTGTGAGAGTCACGTAATGTGCCTTAATGTTGTTGACGATGACCCGCCACTTGCCCTCAGTGTTCTCGGCACGCAGAGGTCTGACGTAGGCGGTTTCTGATGGGCAGAGGTAAGTCTCCTCCTTCAGGGTCTTAGGACGATCAACGGAGAGTTCTGTATTCAGGTCTTCTACTTCAGCATAGAGTGAGAGTACTTTTTCATAGTTGTTCTCAACAGCGTGTTTTATCTGGTAGGTGGGGTACTGGGAGTCTTCGAGGCACCAGGACTTGCTGGTGTTGCCGGCGCAGGCGGGGAGTGCGGGGCCGTAAATGAGAAACTGAGGAGAGGAGATCCTTGGGTGAGAAGAATAAGCTTGTGGGAGGGACGTACGAAAAGACGACTCGCGCTTCTGTATAGAGTCTGGGGATGCTTCAGGTGATAATGGCGTAGTCGGAAGAATCGTTGTTGTTTCCTGGGAAGGTGACGAGTGCTCTGAAGTTGTTGTAGACGAGGCGGTTGTTTCTTGCGTCTCAGATGTTGAAGGACTTGGTGAAGTTGATGGTGGCTGGGCGGTGGTTGTGGGCGGGTGGGGCCCAGAAGGCTCCGTCAAGTTTGTGGGTTGGGTGTTAGGAGAGGGTGTTGTAGGGGCTAACGTAGAGGAGTCTGGTGAGGAAGTGCTTGACGGGGGAGGTGAAGCTGCTGGTGTAGAGGAGTCTGGTGAGGAGGTGCTTGATGGGGGAGGTGAAGCTGCTGGTGTAGAGGAGTTTGGTGAGGAAGTGCTTGATGGGGGAGGTGAAGCTGCTGGTGTAGAGGAGCCGGGTGAGGAGGTGCTTAATGGGGAAGGTGAAGCTGCTGGTGTAGAGGAGCCGGGTGAGGAAGATCGAAAATCGTAGACCACCCGAGAATTTACGTGCGAGGTAATGGAAGCCGTTGCCATGGCAACGCCCATTAAAATCACCTAAAACAATTACATTATCGACTATCAACAAAAATAGGGAGCGACATTTATGAAATGGTGATTTATCAGAACTTTAAATGTTTAGTTTAAAATAGATAATTATAGGAATAATTATGTAACAGTAATCAATAACATCAGCACTATATGAATTATTCAATAAATATTTATAAATATATATGAATTAATCGATATTTACAAATTTATATGAATTACACAATATTAATAAATATAAATAATTAATTTATCATCTATTGTTATTTTAACACTATGGACAGGTGACTATAAACACAATGATACAGCGCATATATTCAACTAAATGGATATTTACAACTACGTGATATCTCATATTAATACGATACAAGTTTGTAAGTGACTGACGAGAGTAGAGAGAGCCATGGTGTGTGTAGTGGTCTCCGGAGGAGCAGGTGGGAACACTGTTGCTCTCAACGCCCCAGCCCCGTCTTATATAGTGAATGCTAATGACGCTCTCACTATTACCCTAAGATTACTTAATCATGAGCCGTTTTGGCGGGTCCTAAGGCGCTAGGGGTCACTTTGGTGTGTCCTGCAGAGTTGGAGGTAAGTTGGTGAATCCTACAGCGCTGGGGATCACTTTGTTGGGGCCTACGGCGCTGGGGATCACTTTGGCAGGTCCTACGGCGCTGGGGGTCACTTTAGCCGGTCCTACGGCGCTGGGGGTCACTTTGGTGGGGTCCTACGGCGCTTGGGGTCACTTTGGCGGGTCCTACTGCGCTGAGGGTCACTTTAGCCGGTTCTACGGCGCTGGGGGTCACTTTGGTGGGGGTCCTACGGCGCTGGGGGTCACTTTGGTGGGGGTCCTACGGCGCTTGGGGTCACTTTGGCGGGTCCTGCAGATTTGAAGGTAAGTTGGTGGGTCTTTCTAAATTTTAGTGTATAATTTCGGCTATTTGACTGTTTTGGTTTGTCCTGAGGAATCCAAGGGGCTGTTTCAGTGCAATGGAAGAGAATGCCTCTTTTAGCGTTTGATTTGATGTGTCTGTTATCGCTCCAGCGCTTGAGCTGCTTTGCTGATTATGATTAATATTAAATTTATGCTATATCACGCAGAATTTTGGAGTGCCATGGGCAAAAATACTGGAGGGCCTGGTGCCAAATCAACACAGTAAAATAACAACATACTGGAGTGAACGATATGGAAGAAAATGCAGAATAGAACCAATGAAGAGCAAAGGTGCCATAGGTGCAATCAGAGAACACTGTATAAACATCAGAGGTCCACGGTTGTTCAACATCTTCCCAGCGAATATACGAAATATTGCCGGAACAACCGTGGACATCTTCAAGAGAAAACTGGATAATTTCCTCCAAGGAGTGCCAGACCAACCGGGCAGTGGTGGATATGAGGGTCTGCGGGTCGCTCCAAGCAACAGCCTGGTGGACCAGGCTCTCACAAGTCAAGCCTGGCCTCGGGCCGGGCTTGGGGAGTAGAAGAACTCCCAGAACCCCATCAACCAGGTATCAAGCAGATGGTTAGGTTACAAAAAAACTTTTTCCAAAATTTTCTGAGGTTACTTTATAAACTTCGCTAATTTGAACGATAAACCTGAGATGATCTAAGAAGGCTCTCCAGCCTTCCTAGATCATCTTTACGCCAGGGTTGTTTAAAGAAGTCAAAACGAATCATAAGTAACGCTTAGGATTTTCAAGCATGTCTCTCATTTAACATTAAGCGCATTTCAGAGCTCCTTGATTTATTTTGGGTGATATTTTATATTGCCTTTATGTATTTTTATAATTATCATTTTTGATAATTATAAATTATCATCGATTATCATCTTTTTGTTTTGATTATCATCGTTATGTTTATTTCCATGTTATTATTGTTGATTTTTAGCAGTACTAACTTGAGTACACCTTTCATTATCATCATTACCGTCACAATCATCACAGTAATCATTATTATCATTATCATAGTCATCACAATCATTATCATCAATATCGATCTAATTATCATCATCATTATAATTCTAATCATCATTATCATCACAATAATCATCATCATGGTCTTCACTATTGTTATTATCAGTATGATCATCCTCATCATCATCTTTACAATTATTATCAGAATTTTCATCATCATTGTCATTATTATCAACTTAATCACCACAGTCATCATTATCATCACAATCATCATTATCATCGCAATTATTATTATCATCATTGCTATTTTAATAATTATAATTCAGCAGGTTGTGGAGATCATTTAGTCCTCTAAACGTTTAAATGACTTATTCTTGTTTGAAAGTCAAAAATACTTAATAACGTAACAAATTCAAGTCCAAGGGTAAGTTCAAGTCCCACTCATTCAACCTGGTCCAAGGAGTAAATTGAAGTCCCACTCATTCAACCTGGTCCAAGGGGTAAGTTCAAGTCCCACTCATTGAACCTGATCCAAGGGGTAAGTTCAAGTCCGGTTCACTGAAACTGGTCTAAGGGCAAGTTCAAGTCCAACTCACTGCAGAGAACATGTATATTTAAGATCCATGACCAGAGAGGAAAACAAAAGGCCACGAGCAAGCTATATTTCACATTATAATGTTCACTATGGAACTCTGTAGTATTTAAATAAATAATTTCATCATTATTTTATATCAGAACGAGCTGAATTTATTAATTTATTTAAGTTGTCAGGCGCCAGGTGAATACACACACACACACCACCCTGGCAACAGTGGGTTGTGGGGTTGTGGTGGAGCCGCAGGTGAGAGAACAGCTGAGAAAAATTACCATCAAACTCCCTGGCGTCAGTTTCACTCATCAGTCGTTTCTGAAATATTACTTTAATAAGACTTAAGTGAAATCCTCAGATTAGGCAAAATTGGAATTAAATTTTGTCAATAAAGATGTTAATAATAATAAGTCTGAAATATTTAGCCATGAGTCTTAATTGTTCCCCTTCTCTTCTGCATAATATACGAGTTATTTATTTCCGTTTTATCTATTCGTATTACGGTCTGTGTATGTTTTTTTTTTTGAGATATATACAAGAGTTGTTACATTCTTGTACAGCCACTAGTACGCGTAGCGTTTCGGGCAAGTCCTTAATCCTATGGTCAATGGAATACGATCCCCTGCCGCGAAGAATCGTTTTTTCATCCAAGTACACATTTTACTGTTGCGTTAAACAGAGGCTACATTTAAGGAATTGCGCCCAGTAAATCCTCCCCGGCCAGGATACGAACCCATGACATAGCGCTCGCGGAACGCCAGGCGAGTGTCTTACCACTACACCACGGAGACTGCTAATGTATGCAGTATTCATTTATTTGAATGTATTGCAGATTCATTTATTTATTATACACCCCCATGCCCCATCCCGTGGTGTATATGTGTACTTGTTGTTGTCTAGCTTAACGCCACTTTAAGGGTGAAGTTCCCAGCTTGACACTACTTCCGGGGTGTAATTCTTCAACTTGACACCACTTCAAGGGTGGAGTCCCTCCAGGTTAACTCAGCATGTGTATGCCTGTCACAATGACACCTCTACACGGGTGTATGTGAGCCCCCAGACTGACACCACTGAGAGTGTGGTTCACCGGCCTGGCGGTACTCTGGTGGCGGGACGTGAGAGCTGGACATGGAACAATGAGCCAGTAATTACTTTTTAAGGTTTTGTCTGCCGAACTTGACCACTAGACCATCTGCTATGTATTCACCTAGTTGTATTCACCTAGTTGTATTCATCTAGTTGTGCTTGCGGGGGTTGAGTTCTGCTCTTTCGGCCCGCCTCTCAACTGTCAATCAACTGTTACTAACTACTAACAATTTTTTTTTCCAAACACTCACACACACGCACACACACCCAGGATGCAACCCGTAGCAGCTGTCTAACTCCCAGGTACCTATTTACTGCTAGGTAACAGGGGCATCAGGGTGAAGTACACTGCCCATTTGTTTTTTCGCCAGCTGCCGGGATCGAACCCTGGTCCCTAGGTTCACAAGTCTAGAGCGCTATCCACTCTGCCAGCCAGTTCCCTAGACGTGTGTGTACGTACCTAATTGTACTCGCCTAGTTGTGCTTGCGGAGGTTGAGCTTTGTCTCTTTGGTCTCGCCTCTCAACTGTCAATCAACTGGTGTACAGGTTCCTGAGCCTATTGGGCTCTATTATATTTACATTTGAAACTGTGTATGGAGTCAGCCTCCACCACATCACGTCCTAATGCATTCCACTTGTTAACTACTCTGGAGTCCTGAAAAAATTCTTTCTAACGTCTCTGTGTCTGATTTGGGTACTAAGTTTCCACCTGTGTCCCCTTGTTCGTGTCCCACCCGTGCTGAAGAGTTTGTCTTTGTCCACCCTGTCAATTCCCCTGAGAATTTTGTAGGTGGGTATCATGTCTCCCCTTACTCTTCTGTTTTCCAGGGACGTGAGGTTCAGCTCCTTCTGTGTGTGTGTGTGCGTGTGTGTGTGTGTGTGTGTGTGTGTGTGTGTGTGTGTGTGTTTGTGTGTGTGTGTGTGTGTGTGTGTGTGTGTGTGTGTGTAGGTGAGATTACAGAGTAAAAGTACGCTAATTATAATAACACTGCAAGTCCTCCTTGTGCAATAGTGACATGCTCGAGAATTTATTACCAGCGATGAAAGGCATGAATTCAGAAACTGCCGCACAAGTCATTAATCTAACAATAAAATAATGTAGATTATTTCCTTGTTTTTTTTTACTTCTATTTATATTAGTTAACGTTAAGTTAGTGTTTGACTTCTTAAGTGTTTATATATTGTTATTAACCTAAAATTTGAAAACTAATAATTTCCCTTCAGGTGTAAATCACTGATTGTTGAGAACTTTGTCCGGTTCTTGATTGGCCAATGTGTTGTACACAATTTATAGGGAAAGAGAGAGAGAGAAAGAGAGAGCGAGAGAGAGAGAGAGAGAGAGAGAGAGAGAGAGAGAGAGAGAGAGAGAGAGAGAGAGAGAGAGAGAGAGAGAGAGAGAGAGAGAGAGAGAGAGAGAGACAGACAGACAGACAGACAGACAGACAGACAGACAGACAGACAGACACACACACACACACACACACACACACACACACACACACACACACACACACACACACACACACACACACACACACACACACACACACACACACACACACACACACACACACACACACACACACACACACACACACACACACACACACAGAAGGAGACAGAGATAGATTATGTTGTGGTTTCATATGAATCTTGCCTCTCAACTAAATTTGTATAGTAAGACGTCCCGGAAGCCGCCAGCAAATGTCAGTCACCACAACTATATCGGTCCCAGAGACAGCAGTGAACGTCGCACTCGAGTTGGGTATATAACTGAGACCAGCACTCTTACCAGCACAGTTACTGTCCACACCCAGGCAGGTCCAGAGCGTCCCAGCTGAAGAGAACATGACAATGAGGCTCGTGGTGAGTGTGGTAGGAGTCACCTTAAGAACAGCAGCGTAGAATGTAGACGCTGTTTTAGTTTGGCTGTACTCCTTGTGTTAATCATTGGATTTGTATTCTCAATATTTTGTTGGGGAATTTAACACACAGATCGTTGCTCATGGCTACATATATACGAAGACAGATACATTCATATTATTTTTTTTTAATTCTCTACAAATCTGATATTAGCAATGAAAGTAACAATACTGTCCCATTTTCACGGCATTTTATCATTCATATTGTGAAACTCTCAGAACCGTAATTCATGACATATTGTTAACATTAAAAAAAACTCGTTGAATATGAAATTTAGTATGGTATAATAACCAGAATATTATTATTCATAATGACTGGGACTGCCAACTGCACCAGCATAGAGATTCTTCAATCCTCCTTCCTTCATTTACCTTGTTAGTTCTTATGTGTTATTAAGCAATATAAATTTCATCTAGCAAAATGAAGTATATGAGTTATCTCTGTGATTAGATTTAATTATCTCAACATATAAATACATTTTTGCCCACTTGCCATTCTGTAGAGCATACCTTGCTTTGGTATCATCTTTCATCATGTGGATCGAATTAATGTTGCGAATATGTCATTATTCGGTTGGACATACCTTGTTAGCTGTCAAATGTAAAACCTTTAGAGATAATAGTTATAAAATATATATCTTTGGATTCCCTGCAATACATTTAGAGTGTAATAATATTGATGTTGCAGGTCGTAATGTCAGCCATAGCTGTGACCATGGCTGATGTAACCTCCCATGTGAGTTCTTCCGTGGGCTACAGTGGAGTCCGACCCCCTCGTCCTCCCTATCACCAACCCACCACCTATCCCGCACACTCCGCCTATCCCCCTCCAGCCTGTGCCAACAGCACTAACAAGCCCTGGTGCCTCGAGGACCCCGAGTACCCCACCTACGAGATCAAACAAGCTATTACTGCCCACATACCCAAGTTCATTTCCCTCTACGCTGACGTAGCTGATCTTAACACCGTGCTCTCCGTCGAGCGTCCCAAGACCCTGGAGGAGGAGACTTACCTCTGCCCCTCAGACACCGCCTACATCCGGCCCCTCAGAGCCCAGAACACCCAGGGAAAATGGCGCGTCATCGTCAACAACATTAAAGCTAATTATAAGACTTACACTCAGACGACCCGTATTGAAGAGTGCTTGACCTCCGGCGACGCCTGCCCCTTGGTGCCTGAGTGCTACGAGTCCAAGTGCCTGCAGAAGTCCATCTACCACCGCTTCCTTGTCTACGACCCCTATGATCAGTACTTCCCCTTCGCCATCGAGACCTTCAAGCTGCCCGCCAGCTGCGATTGTCTTTTGGGAACCTTTACCATCGATCACTAAATCTAGCTATGTAACTCCTCGCCACAGGTTAAAGAAAATCTGACCATTAATAGGATCTAAACTCACAAGAAACAGTAACAAACCTTTCCCTATGAACTTGCCTGAGTACATATACCCTATAGTAACACTGTACTAGTGAAAAGTATCTGGTTAATCTTAAAGCTAATAGTGTTAGTAAGCAACGTGAACGAGTGTGTGGACACCAATGGATCCCACCGTCCCTGGCACGACTTCCTGAGCGTGAAGAAAGCAGTTCTCTAGTCATCTCGTTACGTTAATGTTATCAAATATACGATTTCTTTATACAATGCTGGCATCGTATATTACTCAGTTGTTTGTTGTACTAGGCAATACCGTCGCAAGTATTTGCGTGACCCATGGTGTTGCTGAGGACGATTTGATTTATCATGCACATTGCTTGTTAATTGAACCTGGCAAGTTTGTTAATATGTTAAAATTTATTAACAGTTTCTTCTGTAGTCTCTCCAGGTAATCTGCTGAAGACTAACGAGGAGAGCAGCTTACAGTGAGCCTCAGTACACTTACCATAATACAAGCACCATTTGCTCAATGCTAATTGTTGTCTTCTTTGTTAATAAACGCTTCTGTGCATTTATAGATTATTTTATTGGCATTTTAAATTTATGTTTCCTTTCAGTATTTTAAGAACATTTCCTTCAAAGACAAACAAACAAGGATCTTGTATATGAACCAAAGGATGATTATTGATATACTGTACAATGTAGTTCAAAATAAGTAAGAGGTGGAGGAGAGAAAAGGGAGAAAGTGGAGAATGATAAGGAAAACAAGAAAAAAAGAATTAAATAAGAAAGGAAATCAGTAATAGCTGTTTCTTCAATAAGGAAATGTAGAGTTATCATTTTTAATTGTATCTCTTGCCGTGTCTTACATTTCTAGCTCTTTTTTAATTATTGCTTCATTTTGTTGTTGTTATAATGATAATGATGAGTAAAAGCGAGGTGGAGTTCTAGAGCTGGAGCTCTTGCCTCGTAGCCACATCTAGGTAAGTGCACTACGAGTTAAGTGCAAAAATGGGGAACTGATAGGTGGACTTATGCGACCAATTCTCAGGTCGGTCGGTGGTCAGTAAGGCTGGCTGACTCATACTAAAAGACAAACAAACCCTTCTTAGTGTGACTTGTCATAATTATTTTAATAATGCTGCGAAGAACAAATAAACCATTAAAAATAATTAACATATTATCGCATGTGTAGAACATATTGGTTCAATGAGCCACTAAATATAAGCTGGTATACACATTAAAAATATGAGCTAAAAATGAGGGGTTTAATACTCAGTGTTAACATTAAACTGTTTCATAATAGTGCCCGCAGATTAACACATGTATGACCATTACAACATGATTACTGGAGACCTGCTTTCTTCACGTAACTTGCCGTTTCGTGGCGCCAGTGGCTACAGTTGCATCAGGCGTCATGCGGCCATATGGGGCTTTCAGGGAAGACTCTTCTGAACTTAAATAGCTGAAAGAGTATGATTTCCAGGATTTTGTCCACGTTGTTTGTTATGGAAGTTCTGGAAATGTTGGGTTTAGTAGTCGATGGAATATGCGCCCAGGAGACAGGCGCAGCTGGCAGGCAGCTTGAAGGGCTCGATCGCGAAGGGGAAGTGCTGATCATAGGGGTCGTAGACGAGGAAGTGATGGTAGATGGACTTCTGCAGGCACCTGGACTCGTAACACTCAGGCACCAAAGGGCAAAACTCGCCCGACGTCAGACACTCTTCGATGCGAGTGGTCTGAGTAAGAGTCTCGTAGTGAACATCGATGTTATTCACGATAATCCGCCACTTCCCCATTGCATTCTGGGCCCGCAGTAGCTTGACGTAAGAAGTCTTTGAAGGGCAGAGATATGATTCCTGCAGCGTATTCGAACCCTCCACGGAGAGCTTAGTGTTGAGGTCAGCCACATCGGTGTAGAGGTCGAGGACCTTTCGGTAGTGATATTCCACGTCTTGCTTAATCTCGTAGGTGGGGTACTCAAGGTCCTCAACACACCAGGTATTGCCGGTGCTGGAGGCGCAGGCGGGGGCGCCGGGGTCATGGTGGTTGTTTGAGGACGGAGGAGGGTATGGTTCCTGCTCAGCAAAGGTGCCCATCACCCCTACCAGGAGCATCTGCAATAGATATGCAAACATTTTCATATGAAGATCAAACTACTGAACGTTGAGTATGAGGATAAAGACGTTGAAAATGTAGCGTCTTACCGCAGATCTTGTAACTATCACTCTCATCGTGGTGGTTTGGTGTGTGGGGTGGCGAGGTGGCCCACCAGCTTATATACCGACGCCTCCACACCCTCCCACAACCCTAAAAATAACTTCACCAAGATTACAATATTTACCATGTTAAATGACTTCTTAGAACAGAGAACTGTATTTTTGTTATTATTATTTTGACCTGCATGTTAATTTTAATATTGAAATTATGAAATTATGATTTTTGTTTGTTTTATTATATGTCTTCTGCAATTATTAACTGTGTGTGCATCGTCACCATCACTATACTGAAAGTTAGGACACTTATTACCATAGGACTAATTAACAGAACTAGGCAATGCATAAGAATGTTTTCATCATTATAATATTGGTAAAACATAATTTATCAATACATTCTAGAGTCCTTAGCTGTTAATATTATATGTTTATTTTCTCTCTTGTGTCAGTACTTCTTCAGAAGTATTGAGACAATACATATATATGTAGTGTATACAGCCAGGAATATGTAAGTTACATGTTAGGTGGTCATACATTCATTCTAGGGATGCATAATGTGAATTATGCATCCCTTATTAATGTCATAATTTCTCGGGATTTACTCACACACAGTTTGTGTGTGTGTGTGTGTGTGTGTGTGTGTGTGTGTGTGTGTGCGTGTGTGTGTGTGTGTGTGTGTGTGTGTGTGTGTGTGTGTGTGTGTGTGTGTGTGTGTGTGTGTGTGAGTGTGTGTGTGGGAGTGTGTGTGTGTGTGAGTGTGTGTGAGTGTGTGTGTGTGTGTGTGTGTGAGTGTGTGTGTGTGTGTGTGTGTGTGTGTGTGTGTGTGTGTGTGTGTGTGTGTGTGTGTGTGTGTGTGTGTGTGTGAGTGTGTGTGAGTGTGTGTGTGTGTGTGTGTGTGTGTGTGTGTGTGTGTGTGTGTGAGTGTGTGAGTGTGTGTGTGTGTGTGTGTGTGTGTGTGTGTGTGTGTGTGTGTGTGTGTGTGTGTGTGTGTGTGTGTGTGTGTGTGTGTGTGTGTGTGTGTGTGTGTGTGTGTGTGAGTGTGTGTGTGTGTGTGTGTGTGTGTGTGTGTGTGTGTGTGTGTGTGTGTGTGTGTGTGTGTGTGTGTGTGTGTGTGTGTGTGTGTGTGTGTGTGTGTGTGTGTGTGTGTGTGTGTGTGTGTGTGTGTGTGTGTGTGTGTGTGTGTGTGTGTGTGTGTGTGTGTGTGTGTGTGTGTGTGTGTGTGTGTGTGTGTGTGTGTGTGTGTGTGTGTGTGTGTGTGTGTTTTAGGAAGTTCGATTATTTATTTAGATTGTTCATTCACACATTATCATTTATTTGTTAAATTTTCCTCGTCAGCTCATTAATTAATTTATTCATCTTCTATTTCATTTTTTTATTCCTTCATGCATTCATCTAATCTAGTTAATAATTGGTTCATTCACTAGATAAATATTATGTTCTTCGCGAATTCATTAACTTAGAATTATCGCTATTAATTCATACTGAGTTCTGTGGTTGACTTTTATGTAGTCGCCTGACCAACATTTTTTTGTGTTTACTGCAATTAGAACTCTCATTATTATCCATTATCTAAAATCGGTGTACAACAGATGCTGAGCTTCCTGCAACACTATGTTAATCAGAAAACTGTGTCGTAACAAGTGTTATTGCATGTTGCATTTGCCAGCGTGAATGCTGTCTTACCTCGCACAGTTTCTAGGATGTAGTCTACCCAACATCTTGTTTTCTTGTGATATCTGTTTTTAATATTATGGACGGAGATGCGGCTCAAGTATTTGGCCTTATAATTTGTCTCATTTGCTAACTGCCTTTACCCTGAAGACGTCTCCCCTTCTCTAAGAAGGGGAGACGTCTTCTAAGATCTCTAAGATCTCTAAGACTCATATGTACTTGTCTACTGTCCATGTAGATTATCTCCTTACATTATTGCTCATCGGTATAGATCTATTGATTACTAATGCTGATCACCAGTAAGTAGTTACCACAATAAACTAGTGAAATAAATACCAGCCAGTACCGGGCTGGTATTTGTCAAGGGTGCAGGTGAGAAAGCACATAATATCTCTCCTAGTTACGTCACTGATGAGTAGTGGGACTTCATCTCTCATTCGATGCTCGCCCCAGAACATCACCTCTTTCATTCATTTTCCTATTCTCGTGATTATGATAGCTTTATTCATTTTATCATGCAGGATGCTATTATTTCCAGCTAACACCAATTTATGTAAGCAAATCATATAGTTATACGGAAGATACTCAACTGCAATGATTTGCGTTTCGCTTTCAGACGAGCACCACTCAGCTATCATCCCTGATTGCGGGTTTTGACATCTCGGATAATGGCTGGGGAGTACCAGGGTTTCTGTTGTCAGTATATAAGAGTGCCAGGCAGTAGGTGGAGGCACAGGGCCAGCCAGTGTGAGCGTCCACAACACCCAAGCCATGGCTCTCCAGCTCGCGGTGAGTGGAGACTCGCACCCAAAACTTTGATCACAGAGATTCCAGTCATAATTTTGTGTTCTGTCCAGGATGGAAAAGATATGTCTATCTTCAGATGATATTTGTGCCATTTTAGCTGTTTTTTTCAATTGCATTTCATGTGGGGTAATTAGATGAGCCCCATATCTCGGCTTTTGGCAAGATTAATATGCAAGAGGCAATCAACAATAGCGTGGATAATAACATTTCATTCACTCATGATCATCAGAGACTAATTTCATTATTGAAATTTCGTTATTCATTATACATATTAATAAATCTTGAGTATAAAATTATTGCACTTTTTGTCAAATGGATTAATGTTATTTATAATTATCAAACATGTGATCCTGACGCATATTCTAATTATTCTGACAGATTTTTGCGGTAGTGTTTGTTGTGGCGACAACCGACACTCATTATGGAACCCAGTATGCTGATGGCTACTCTTATGCGTCAGCCCACAACACTCCAGGTTACTACGCCCGAACCCAAGGCGTCCCAGTTTTTGCCCCAACCTATTATGCTACAAGTCAAGCCCATCAGTATTTCCCTTCCGAGGCTGCTGTCCCCGCCTGCGCCTCCAATTCTAGCCAACTCTGGTGCCTCCAGGACTCCCAGTACCCAGCCTATGAGATCCAGCACTCTGCCGAGTATCACTACTACTACCTTCTCACCCTCTACGCTGACCTTATTGATCTCGACACCGCAGTGTACGTCGAGCGGCCCAAGACCTTGGCCCAGGAGACTTACATCTGCTCCTCAAAGACCTCTTACGTCAGGCCACTGCGAGCAAGGAATGTCGATGGTAAGTGGCGCATCATCGTCAACAACATCCAAGTCCATAATGGAAATCTAACCCAAACAACCCGCATCGAGGAGTGCCTGTCGCCTGGCAAAACTTGTCCTAAGGTTCCCGAGTGCTACATGTCTAAGTGCCTGCAGAAGTCCATATACCACCGTTTCCTCGTCTACGACCAATATGATAACTATTTTCCTTTTGCCATCGAGACCTTCAAACTGCCAAGCAGCTGCGCCTGTCGTCTAGGTGCATACAAAATCTAACTTGAAGGACATCAAACTACAACTCTCTCACATCTGTGAAAAACCAGAAGTAGAGCTGATCAAATATTGTGAATCTTGGAATTTTATTGTATGTATGATGTCCAAACCCCACATCAGAACATGAAGAAATGACGACGTTTCGGTCCGCCCTGGACCATTATCAGGTCGTGTAATGGGAGTTATTGTATGTAGGTTGTAAGCTGAAGTATGTTAGCGTCACTTTTGATTTTCATTTGTTGCGGCGGGCGGGTGCAAGTTCACTGCATCACTGTTGATACATAACCCACGGACCCTTTTGCCTTACTCGATATGGCAGTACGTAAAGAAAGCAGTTACCCTAGTCATCTATCATTGATAAACAGTGAATGATATACAGTATACAGAATGATATACAGTATACAGAATGATATACAGTATACAGAATGATATACAGTATACAGAATGATATACAGTATACAGAATGATATACAGTATACAGAATGATATACTGTATATCCATTCTGCAGTATGTTTGCTCAGTTTGCAAGAACAAGTGAAATAAATAATTACAATATACGTGATGAGTTGCATTTTCATCCTTAAAATTATAGCCCACAGCTGAATATTTTAAAGGCGCAATAGTTTTTTTCCGTGAATTAACTACATAAAGTTTTTCGAACTGTACCATAAAATACTTGAAACACATGTTAGCGTGTCACCCTCAGGCCACCCTAGCGTGTCACCCTCAGGCCACCCTAGCGTGTCACCCTCAGGCCACCCTAGCGTGTCACCCTCAGGCCACCCTAGCGTGTCACCCTCAGGCCACCCTAGCGTGTCACCCTCAGGCCACCCTAGCGTGTCACCCTCAGGCCACCCTAGCGTGTCACCCTCAGGCCACCCTAGCGTGTCACCCTCAGGCCACCCTAGCGTGTCACCCTAGCGTGTCACCCTCAGGCCGCCCTCGTCCAAGCTGCGTCCTCCCCCAAGGACGTAACTTTTATGTTGTGTGTAACCAAGAAACTGTTTTCCTAAATACAAATTCATTTTAATATATTTTATAATTTCGAGAAGTGTTAGGTCTAGGACAGATTAGATTCAGTGTTTTCCTTCTTTTGTTAATAATTTGTATGTGCATTAAGTTGGTGGAGCATCTATAGAAGTGGGATTTATACCACTGATGCACTGCTAAACAAAGTAAAACGCTCTATATATAGTCTAACATTTTCAGGCATTCTGCTGTAAATTCGAATTTCCATAGAGTTGTTACGAGCTGAGCTACGACTGAATAATGTCGTTCCAGGCTGCCGAGCAAGCAAGTGGATGGTAGTTGGGTCCGAGACTGGGTAATTTTCTCCCGTAACAACAAGCAACCCAACAACGTGCCATTAGCGTCCCGACCTGACTGTTTGTGGTGCAGTCGAAGCGGTCTTTTTATTGTGGTCATTGTCAGTGTTTATCACTGTCCACTGTCATAACTGTGCAACACTGCTGTCACTTTTGTTCAACAGAGAGAGAGAGAGAGAGAGAGAGAGAGAGAGAGAGAGAGAGAGAGAGAGAGAGAGAGAGAGAGAGAGAGAGAGAGAGAGAGAGAGAGAGAGAGAGAGAGAGGGAAATTGGCAGACACACACAGACACATGAGTACATATAAACAACACCCAAAGGCCGCGTTTCAACCTCAATTCAAAATTCAGAGCCTCATTAGAGAGAATATCAGTGATAAGTTGCTGGAGCCAATAAGCTAGTGCTTTACCCGGTGATTCCTACAGCGAAGTTCTCATTGTGCTTCAGAACCAACTTCGATGTCATTGGTGCTTGGTTCTAGAAGAGGAATCTTGTTCATTCTGTGGAGGTAACTTTCTTTTGCGTCCTTGACAATATTGCTCCAACATGGCTAAGGTTGGAATGTTTGGAGTTGTGTCCATTTTACAAATGTTTCTAAACCCCTCATGATCAATTGTTTTATTTCAACCTTAGCCATCCTTAACCAACCCTAGCCATCAAGATAACCTCAAGATTCTGCTTCACTCTTGCATTGAGGAGCCAGTATTGAGGAGCCAACACATTAAGCCAGTATGACTATATTTTCACTTGAAAGAGTTATGAGGACAAGGAGCTGGGTAGGAGGACAGGGTAAACAACGGTGCCTAGCCTTTTGGACCCCCAGGAGTCACAGTTACAAACCCATTAAGATTTCAACTTAGATTCAACAGAGCAGAAGAAGTTATTAAACACATATGGCAAAATCTTACTGAAGCGACCATACGAGTAATAAATACTCATACTCCGCCCAAGTAAAACAGAAATAAGCAACACTTAGTGGGCCAGCCAGAGGCTTAGGGCCCGCGCAGGAATATCCCTGCAAAAAAAAAAAAAAAACAGGAGTCAAACGGCGACCGAGGGCTTCTTGCGAAAGATATATGAATGGACTGACCTCGTGTGAACCTCAGCTGTCACGTACACTTCACCGTTTATCATTCCAGTTATTGTCGGTAAGTGATCATTGCATTTGATCCCTCGTATAAAAACGAGCAAAAGCTAACATTATGCGTTAACTTGTGACCTCAGTGAAGATAACTGAGGTCATTTATATAAAGTAACTTCAATAAATAACTTCTGACATATTGCTGCTAACAAACTTACCTTTACCTTACCAATCTAGTTTTTATGGTGTTATCAACGAGATTACCTGTTTGATCATTGCTTAACGTCTCTAATATCGAAACGAAGTCATAATTGTGGCTTGAATTAAAAACAACTAAGTTATTTATTGAAATACATTCAAATGAAATAGTGTCGTGCCAACCTGACCTCCATTGATGATCACTTGAAACTATGACCTTGTGGTTTATTATACGCTCAGGTCAAAGGTCATATACAACAGTAATACAATCACTCTTGCTGGGTTTGTCGTACCCGCTGGAGAAATTATGTTTGACGCCTGTGGTAATCCGTCGCTTCGAGTAACTCTGTGTCAATAACAATGAATGTTTCGTGATTATGTGAGCCCCCCCCCCACCCACACACACACACACAGGGTGTGGGTGGACTGCCTTTTTTTGGTACTGTCGGAAAGCCTTTGACACAGTACACCATAAAAGGTTGATGCATAAGCTGGAGAGACAGGCAGGAGTAACCGGTAGGGCGCTCCAGTGGATTAGGGAAGCAATAGGAAGCAGAGAGTTACAGTGAGGGGTGAGACCTCAGATTGGCGTGAAGTCACCAGTGGAGTCCCACAGGGCTCTGTACTCGGACCTGTCCTGTTTCTGATATACGTAAATGATCTCCCAGAGGGTATAGACTCATTCCTCTCAATGTTTACTGACGACGCCAAAATTATGAGGAGTAAGACAAAGGAGGACAGCTTGAGGTTTCAAGAAGACCTGGGCAAGCTGCAGGAATGGTCGAACAAATGGTTGTTAGAGTTTAACCCAAGCAAATGTAATATAATGAAGATAGGGGTAGGGAGCAGGAGACCAGATACAAGGTATCATTTGGGAGATGAAATACTTCAAGAGTCAGAGAGAGAGAAAGACCTGGGAGTTGAAATCACGCCAGACCTGTCCCCTGAAGCTCATATCAAGAGGATAACATCAGCGGCATATGCCAGGTTGGCTAACATAAGAACGGCCTTTAGAAACTTGTGTATGGAATCTTTCAGAACATTATATACCACATATGTCAGACCAATCCCGGAGTATGAGGCTCCAGCATGGAGTCCATATCTAGTCAAGCATAAGACTAAACTGGAAAAGGTTCAAAGGTTTCCCACCAGACTAGTACCTGAGCTGAGAGGTATGAGCTACGAGGAGAGACTACGGGAATTAAACCTCACTTCGTTGGAAGACAGAAAAGTTAAGGGGGTGACATGATCACCACATTCAAGATTCTCAAGGGAATCGACAGGGTAGATAAAGACAGGCTATTTAACACAAGGGGCACACGCACTTGAGGACACAGGTGGAAACTGAGTGCTCAAATGAGCCACAGAGATATTAGAAAGAACCTTTTTAGTGGCAGAGTGGTTGACAAATAGAATGCATTAGGAAGTGATGAGGTGGAGGCTGACTCCATACACAGTTTCAAGTGTAGATATGATAGAGTCCAATAGGCTCAGGAACCTGTACACCTGTTGATTGACGGTTGAGAAGCGGGACCAAAGAGCCAGAGCTCAACCCCCGCAAGCACAATTAGGTGAGCACAACTAGGTGAGTATTAGGTGAGGGGCGTGGTACAGGCAACACACGCACGAGCTCAAGTAGTAATAAAGAGCTGAGGAAATTAGTTATAAACGTGACTTCCTCAGAAGCAAGCGACTAAGAGAGAGAAAAGAAAAATTAAATAAAGAAGTTTCATATTCTTTCTATTTTTTGTTTATAGAAGAAATTGTTTTTAATTCTTCATTTTATCTTGTTTAATAATACGAGCAGAGAAATTTAATTTAATTAGCACACATTTCAGTAAGAGTGGAGTAGAGAGAGAGAGAGAGAGAGAGAGAGAGAGAGAGAGAGAGAGAGAGAGAGAGAGAGAGAGAGAGAGAGAGAGAGAGAGAGAGAGAGAGAGAGAGAGAGAACATGGGGGTGGGGGGGCTAAGAAGGGTGGTGATTTAAATAACGATACCAGGACACTGAAAAAAATTAGGATAAATTAACTCTAGACCTAAATATCATCATAACGCAGGGGAAAATGACCATACCTTCTTCTTGAACTGCAACATGGAAGCAAATACGTTCCACATATTGATGATACTATTATTATCATTATTGAGTAAAATCCATAATAGCCGTGATGAGGGTTCGAACCTATGCCATGACATGGTCATGTCGTGGCATAGTCGGTTAGAGTGTGTGTCTGGAAACACCCAGGGCATAGGTTCGAACCCTCATCACAGCTCCTACAGATTTTGTCGTTGATGCATCACGATAGTGTGATTACTCTCTGTGTATTATTATTATTATTATTATTATTATTATTATTATTATTATTATCATATTATTATATTATTATTATATTATTATTATATTATTGCTATTATTAGAATTATTTTCAGTATTTATATTTCAATAATTTACATCTTAACATCTTAATTAAGTTGGAGAAACTAATTAATATTTGTCTAATAAATTGAGCATCATGTAACTATTTAGAAAATAATATCCTTTATAATAAGGTCAGAGAGCTCGCTCTCTTTATTGCTTCTAACCTTCAGGTAAACTTTAATCTCTCCCAGAGCTCGGCTTTAGACGTAAACTCTTAGTAAATTACTCCGAGTATACTTCTGGGTGTATAAGGTATACCCTCCCCTCGGGGCACCTTCTTACGGGGCACTTAATACTTAATTGGTAATGATGTTTCTGATAATGGTGGCCACGACTCCAATTTGGCCTTAAAGCTGAAATAGAAGTTGAAATAAGGGTAGGTTCCACCCTTAAGGCCTCCGAGTGTGCAGTAATTGTTTTCGAGAGCCCCGTCCGGATGAGGGTGATGTGGCACTCGGGTGAGGGTATATAAGGCTGCCAGAGTGCCTCTTTGGCACAGTTCAAGCAGGAACCAAGTGACTGACTCACACACACCCCTGATGGCGCTGAAATTTGTGGTGAGAAGGATGTTAATTTTGTTCCTGTCTGTGTGTCTGTGTGTGTGTGGATCAAGAGGATACATGCCCTGAATAATCCATGGATTCTCCAGTGTGTTGCGTATGTGTGTGGATTGAGGAAATACATCCCCGGATTTCACTGGAATTAAGGTGTAGATTAAGGCACAAAAGATGTGATCGCGGGCAAGATGGGTGTTAAAATCATATACAATGCTTGGCTCAGATTTCCCCGCCAACTGCTTCTACATTTAACGTCTTCCCATGAGTTGTCAGTGCTAAATACTTTATATATATGTTGTTGCTGATTATTTATTATGTATTATTGTTTGTTTTGATCGTAGGTAATTGTGGGGGTGGCGGCGGCGGTGTTGGCTGAGCGGTCCTCTCACGTCAGCTTCAGTCTGGGCGGCGCTCCGCCTGTACGCTACGGTTCCCTGACTCCTCACTCAGCTCCTCACACTGCTCCTCACTCAGTTCCCCACTCAGCTTCTCGCTCAGATTCTCTCACAGTATCTGACTCGGCTCTTCACTCAGCTCTTCACATAGCTCCCCACTCAGCTCCCCAATCAGCTCCTCACATAGCTCCCCACTCAGCTCCTCACTCAGCTCCCTACTCAGTTCCCCAGTCAGTTCCTCACTCAGCTCCCCACTCAGCTCCCCACTCAGTTCCCCACTCAGTTCCCCACTCAGCTCCTCACTCAGCTCCCCACATAGCTCCTCACCCAGCTCCTCACTCAGCTCCCCACATAGCTCCTCACTCAGCTCCTCACTCAGCTCCCCACTCAGTTCCCCACTCAGTTCCCCAGTCAGTTCTCCACTCAGCTCCCCACTCAGCTCCCAACTCAGCTCCCCACTCAGCTCCTCACTCAGCTCCCCACTCAGCTCCTCACTCAGCTCCCCACTCAGTTCCCCACTCAGCTCCTCACTCAGCTCCCCACATAGCTCCTCACTCAGCTCCTCACTCAGATTCTGACACAATTTCTGACTCGCCTCCTCACAGGGTTCCTCACAGCGCTCTGTCGCACCACCCCGCGTCTCTCTACCACCGTCGTCCAGCATATACCCCAGCACTCACACACAGCCCACAACCACAGTATTACACAAAGCCTTTATTCCGACCCGAGCCTGATTCCCTTTCCAGCCCCCATGACCAAGCCAAGTCTACACTCCTCTCCCAGCCCAAATACAAACACGACCCTGACGTCCCCGCCTGCGCTGAAGACTATATGAGGCCGTGGTGTCTCGAGGACATGGAGTACCCCATCTACGAGGTCAAACACGCTGCTGAAGAACATTTCGATAAGCTTCTCTCTCTCTTCGCTAACGTGGCTGACCTAGGTGCTAAAACCTCCGTTTACCGTCCTAAGACCGTCGAGGAGGAGACTTATCTCTGCCCTTCAGACACTACCTATATCATGCCTCTGCGAGCGCAAAACACCGAAGGCAAGTGGCGCGTCATCGTTAACAACATCAATGTCCATTACCAGACTCTCAAGCAGACAGCACGCGTCGAAGAGTGTTTGTCATCCGGCAAGACTTGCCCTCTGGTGCCTGAGTGTTACGAGTCCAAGTGCCTGCAGAAGTTCATCTACCACCGCTTCCTCGTCTACGACCCCTATGATCAGTACTTCCCCTTCGCCATCGAGACCTTCAAGCTGCCCGCCAGCTGCGCCTGTCTCCTGGGCGCCTACACCATCGACCACTAAAACCAGCTCATCACAGATCTAATATATAATGTAAAATAAGTTCCAACTTAATACTTTGTGAACATTAGTTCCCACTGCGTTAGTCTAGGAGCAGCCTCAGGCGGTATCCTGAGGGAGGAAGACAAGACAACACCAAGGGATCCATCGCCCCAGGCATGATGAAGACACCTACGTGAAGAAAGCAGTTCTCTGGTCATCTCTTGAGATTACTTTGGTGTATCTTTCGTAATATACAATATGTATTCATATTTAATTATTCATACTCGAGCTCTCGTGGAAATAATAAAGAACTAATCAACATTCGTAAAGTTTCATAAGATAATTCCTTCTGTTATTTGTGTTCACGTATGTTAACTAAAGCCATTAGTTATTGCAAATATTTAATTTAGTTAACTGATTATGTATCCCATATCATCCTCTGAGTGGTTATTTACCCCATACCCATCCTATGAACGGTTAGATACCCCATACCCATCCTATGAACGGTTGGATACCCCATACCCATCCTGCGAGCGTAAGCGTGCCCCACACCCACCCTGTGGGCATAAGTACTTGAATCCCATCCCATGAGCGGTAGTGCACCTTAACTTCACCGTGAGCTGCAGTGGTGAAGGTTACAAAGGTAGATATGGAAATTGGAACTGAACCGCCAAAATTCGGTTAGCTAAGCTAGCCACAGAGCTGTTACAAAATTTGCTAACATGTAACATAAATCACTAAATCAAGTTTCTTCACAGTTCATCAGACTAACATCACCGTGACTTCAAAAGACTTTATCACGAAAGGTGAGTGTGTTAACTGAACCTGTTACAAACCACTTTAATTTGGCTGTCATGCACCCAACACCTGGACTTCATCCAACTGCTTTCACTGCCTACAGTTAGAAAACTAAGGATAATTGGCTAAACATTCTGGTAGAAAATGATTCTTAATGTAATACACAATTCTTTAACATGTGTTATGAAAGTTATTTATAAATTAATGATTTTTTTTGCCCTCTGGTGCAAAAAAAAAAAAAAAACTTTTGCATTCATGACAGACTCAACGTCTGTCATGAAGGTAGGACTCCCTGCTGGCCTCTTTTGTGGCCTTCCCTCTTTTGTGCTTAGAAATATGTGCCATTTTTTATTGATTTTGACATATACTTGAGATTTCGTGATTGTTTTTGCTTTGTCTGTTTCTTCCTTCTCCCCCACCCATCTCTCTCTCTCTTTCTCTCCCTCTCTCTTTCTCCCCCCCCTCTCTCTCTCTCTTTCTCTCCCTCTCTCTTTCTCCCCCCCCTCTCTCTCTCTCTCTCTCTCTCTCTGTAATGATGTGCTTACAGAGAGCAGTATGACTCATATCCCTTCCATATAGCCCATGGAAGGGATATGTGGACATGGAGCAGGATATGTTCTTCTGCACATCATTGCAGAGAGAGACAGACAGAGAGAGAGAGAGAGAGAGAGAGAGAGAGAGAGAGAGAGAGAGAGAGAGAGAGAGAGAGAGAGAGAGAGAGAGAGAGAGAGAGAGAGAGAGAGAGGTGGGAGGGGGGGAATTGAGAAAGAAACAGAGCAAAAAAATCACGAAATCTCAAGTATATGTCAAAATACATATAAAAATAGCACATATTTCTAAGCACAAAAGAGAGGTGAGGCCAGCAGGGAGTCCTGCCTTCATGACAGACGGTGGAAACAACACAGACCAGACCATGGTGCTGCTGTGTTGTAAGGCTTATGGTGTGTGTGTGTGTGTGTGTGTGTGTGTGTGTGTGTGTGTGTGTGTGTGTGTGTGAGTGTGGGTGTGTGTGTGTGTGTGTGTGTGTGTGTGTGTGTTTATGTTTCTATGTGACTCTCTGTATTTCTGTTCCTATTTCTCCCTCTCTCTGTTTCTCTTTCTCTCACACACACACAATATTATATATATATATATATATATATATATATATATATATATATATATATATATATATATATATATATATATATATATATATATTAAAACACACAAACACGCATATCATTAAGCAGTGGCAAAGTTGATCACGCGTTACCACAGTTATTAATATTGACAAACATAGGCATCAGTCGTCTATATGATTACCTCATCAGGTGTACATACACGCAATGAACGGGTATTGCACGAATGACAGCTCGGACATTCAGACTCTCTGAATGTCATCAGTGATGAATGAATACTCATCAGGCAACGGGCCACACCTCTTACCTGTGTTGTCTCACTCCTCGGCCACTTCTTGAGGCGGTCCCCAAGCAACATTAAGCGCACACTTCCTCTCACTTTAGTGGTTTAATGATGCAACTGCCGCCATATGACTACTTGAGCACTTGACTCCCTTGCCTACCTCTCCACTGGCTACGTAGACTATCTGACCACTGCACTATTAGACTACTCTTTCGGTTATCTTTCCTGGCCATTAGGATGCTTAACCGCTGTACTACCTGACTGCTAGGATATCCAACCTCTAGATTGAATAATAATAATAATAATAATGAAGTATTTATACACGAGTGCAAACAGGTTATGAACAGTGGAGACGTTGAGGGCAAGAAAAGTATAATACATAAAGCCACTAATATGCAGAGCGTTTTGGACAGCGTAATAAAAAAGTTAGTCAGGGGACCATTAAAATGACTGACAATTTATCCACCTGGCCACAATGCTTCATGACAAATAGACACCTTGACAACCTGGCCACCTGACAGCTTGACCTGACTTCTTGACCGATACGCATGTACGAAAAGACAACCAGCTATTAACAATTTGCTTAAAATATATAATAAAGAGCAAAGAATTAGGTAAAGAAGATGAAGATATTTAGAAACACAAAACCTTCGCAACACCCTATTTGCAAATGACTATAGACTCTAGAAGCAACCAACCAGCCACAGCAGGATCCACAAGTTATTCAGCACTCTATGGTCGAACTTGTGGGGATCCAAAGAAAACTTTCACCTTTACAGCACCAGTGTGCTTCTCTTCTATTTTAAGAGCAAGGGCGTCGTGCGTGTGGGAGTCAGTATATAAGGCAGACTGGGGCCTGGAGAGGCACAGTTCCCTTCCTCGCTCAAGTTCCTCCAACATGGCTCTGAGGTTTGTGGTAAGTAAGCAGCCATCATTCTCCTACTGAGAATTTACAGGGAATATAAGAAATGGAAGTGGCCGAGAAATAATAATATTGACGGTAAAATCATTATGATAAGCAAATGCTTATTCTGACTCATTATATTTTCACAGGTGTCGTTGGCTGTGATGGCCGTTGTTCTTGCCGAACTTCCTCCGCCTCCTTATACCCCATCCTATCATCCAACACGACCTACATACAAGCCGCAACCTACCTATCGTCCACAACCTACCTATCGCCCAAAACCTACATATCGCCCAAAGCCTACCTATCCCACTCAGCCTACGTATCGCCCTCAGCCTGCCTATCCCCCTAAGCCTGCCTATCCCCCCATACCCCTGCCTATCCTCCCCAAACCCCTGCCTATCCTCCCCAAACCCCCGCCTATGGCCCAACACCGGCCTACGGGCCTCAACCTTCATATGGGGCCCCCGCCTGTGCTGCTCAAACCGGCAAGCCTTGGTGTATCAACGATAAGGAGTACCCAGCCTACGAGGTCCAGCAAGCTGCCAACCAACACAAGGAGAAACTTCTCACCCTTTACGCCGACGTTGCAGACCTGGACACAAAGCTTTCCGTCGACGGTCTCAAAACCCTTTATGAGGAGACTTATCTCTGTCCCTCTGAGACCGAATACGTCAGGCTTCTGCGAGCCCAGAACACCGACGGAAAGTGGCGCATCATCGTTAACAACATTCAGGTAGATTACAAGGATTTCACCCAAACTACCCGCATTGAGGAGTGCCTTAAGCACGGTAATGCCTGTCCTCTAGTGCCTCAGTGTTACGAGTCCAAGTGCCTGCAGAAGTCCATCTACCACCGCTTCATCGTCTACGACCCCTATGATCAGTACTTCCCCTTCGCCATCGAGACCTTCAAGCTGCCCGCCAGCTGCGCCTGTCTCCTGGGCGCCTCTAACATCGAGTATTAGAGCTAACACACCACAAATCTCTCGCTACAATTAGATAATAAGAATCTAGAGTTATACTCTTATACATTTTAGTCTTTCATTATGAATATTGAGACCACGTCGTGGTCTCCGTGGTGTAGTGGTAAGACACTCGCCTGGCGTTCCGCGAGCGCTATGTCATGGGTTCGTATCCTGGCCGGGGAGGATTTACTGGGCGCAATTCCTTAACTGTAGCCTCTGTTTAACGCAACAGTAAAATGTGTACTTGGATGAAAAAACGATTCTTCGCGGCAGGGGATCGTATTCCAGGGACCATAGGATTAAGGACTTGCCCGAAACGCTACGCGTACTAGTGGCTGTACAAGAATGTAACAACTCTTGTATATATCTCAAAAAAAAAAAAAAAAAAAAAAAAAAAAAAAATATTATAGGAGCACGAGCGGGTGGTCGCCTGCATCATCAACACAGCAGGTGCAGGGGCCACCGTCCCTGGCCTATCATTCAACAAAGACGTTACGTGAAGAAAGCAGTTCTCTAGTCATCTTGATGTGAAATAATATATAAATCTATATGTAAATATTTTGTTTACAACTATAATTGTGAACTTCAGCATCTGGCTCGGAACAAATAAAATGTTTAGCTAAGATAACTGATGTGTTTTTTTAGGGCCCTGTGAAGATAGGTGTTAGGAATGTCTCCGTTCCAAGTCCCAAAACTTCTATACTGGCCTCATAATGGTTTACAGCCACACGAAATGATAATGTAATATCCAACATCAGTCATTGTATTCAACACGAGTCAAAGTATCATCAGTCAGAATATCCAACACCAGACAGTGTATCTAGTACCAATCAGTGTATCCAATACTCGTTAATGTATCATACAATCAATATTACTTCTAAAATCATATACAAACACGTCATAAAATGTGTGTTAAATCAAATACTAGTGGCTATTTTAAATGTAAATAATAGCCTATAATTAAGGGCGAGGAGATGCAATTAATAATTACATATTTCTGATTTACTGACAAAGTCAAAATCAAATAATCATCACATTAACGAGAAAAAAGCATTAACAGTAACTAGACATAGATACGTTATTTTTAATAATCTTTAATTATTATCTTATGGATAATTAAGTAAATGTTTGAAGTTTCCTTAGAAAATAATTAGAATTATACAAACACAACAAGGA